TGGTCAGAGAGGGAGCAATGGCGGTCCTCTCCGCTAGCCCAGCACTTCCAGTCACTCCGCACGCCTGGGGTTTATCCGATCGGAATTGCGCGAGCCTGCTGCCCTGCGCCGGCTTCCCTTCTCACTGGCTTCTCCGCACGTAAATGCGCGCGACTGAGCGACCCACCGCGCCTTTCTTTGTGCGCTCCGGCAGCCAGCTCGCTCGCAATCGCGCCCTCGGTTCCCTGCGCGCACCGTGCACCGCCCCGGGAATTTTTTCTTGCTAACCTGCTCCGCTGCTGGCCTCGCTCCTCGTACCGGTCCAGCCGAGTATCTAGTTGTCCTTTGGACTCCGTATTGTCGATTTTCTGTGTGGCTTGGTTGTGACTGCTGTTAAAAATAGTTGTTCTTAGATTTGGTTGTGCACAGAGGTGAGGTGGATCCTCCATCTAAGTCTCCATCTTGGCGGAAGTCTCATGGTCAATTAATTTATGACATAGAATCCAAGAATATACAATGGGGAAAGAATAGTCTCTTCAATAAATGGTGTTGGGCAAACTGGCCAAGCACATGCAAAAGAGTGAAATTGAAGCACTATTTTATATCATACACAATAAAGACTTAAATATAAGATCAAAACCATATAACTTCTAGAAGAAAACATAGGTGGTCGTATGTTCCTTGACAGGTCTTGATCGTGGTTTTTTTTTTTTTTCCACCAAAAGAAAGGCAACAAAAGCTAAAATAAACAAGTAGGACTATACACCAGACTGAAAAACTTCTGCAGAGCAAAGGAAACCATCAACAAAATGAAAACACACCCTACTGAATGGGGGAAAATATTTGGAAATCATATAACTGACATGGGGTTAAGATATAAAACATGTAAAGAACTCATTGAACTCAATAGCAAAAAACCCCAAATAATTCAAGTTAAAGTGTACAGAGGACCTGACTAGACATTTTCCCAAAGAAGACATGAAGATGGACAACAGGCACATGAAAAGGTGCTCAACATCACTAATCATCAGGGAAATGCTAATTAAACCCACAGTGAGCTATTACATCACGTCTGTTAGAATGGCTCTTATGAAAAAGACAAAAATAACAAGTGTTGGTAATTATGTGGAAAAAAATGGAATTCTTGTGCACTGTTGGTGGGAATGTAAAGTGGTATAGCCACTATGGAAAACACTATGGAGGCTCCTCAAAACATTACAAATAGGGCTATCATATAATTGAGCAGTTTCACTTTTGGGTATTTATCCAAAGAAAATGAAAATACTAATTCGAAAAGGTATTTGCACCCTTAAATTTATTGCAGCATTATTTGCAATAGCTAAGACATAGAAACAAGTCTGTCAATGGACAAATGGGTAAAGAAAATGTGTGAATATATTTGTATGAATATATCATACATTTCTTTATGTATTTATATATTTGAATATATAAGCACAAAATGCAATATTATTCAGCTATAAAAAAAGAGTGAAATCTCGCCATTTGCAACAACATGGGTGGAACCTGAGGATATTATGTAAGTGAAATACGTCAGACAGAGAAAGACAAATACTGTATGATTTTACTCATATGGGAAATGTAAAACATATGCACACACAGGCTCATAGATGTAGGGGACATATTGGTGGGACTAGAAGTAGGGAGCAAGGGGTGGGCAAAATGTGTGCAGGGCGTCAAACAGACTTCAGTTAAGAAATAAGTTATGAGGATGTAATGTGCAGCATGGTGACTATAGTTAAATAATACTGTATTGCCTAAGTGAAAGTTGCTAAGAGAGATCTTAAAAGTTCTCCAAACAAGAAAAAAAAATTTAATTTTGTAACTGTGGTGATGGGTGTTAAATATATTTATTGTGGTGATCATTTCACAGTATATACAAATATTGAATCATTATGATGTACACCTGAAACAAATATAATATATATTTTAAAAGCAATGTAAAGGAGTCTGTGCTGAAAGATAATATATGTAGCTCTGGGAAGTATATTGATACATTACTCTGTGGGTCATGTCTTTTCATTTACATCAAAGGATGCAGTACTAAATAGACTTTACCCACTTTTTTATTCTAAATTTTCTTATAGATATATGGAAAGTAAAGCAGTAGTTGTGATGTGTTGTCTTAATTAGCAGAAGAACTTTGGAAACACTTAAATGATGCCAGTTTTATATGTCTCATTTTCTGTGTAATAGAAAATCTGTTCTAGTAATGGGCCATTTTTTTTATATAGTCCATGGAATTAAAGTAAACTGGAAGTCTATTCTGTCAAAGATGAAATATTTGGTACTGTAAATGTTACTGTAAAGTAATCTAAAAGTATCAACATTAAAGAAAACACTATTTTTTGAGTTATAAAGAGTAAGTTTAGTGGATCAAGGGAGTTATTGTGCAAAAAAAGTTCTCTATATTAAGAGATTCATGTAGCAGAAAATGTACTTAGAATTTATTATAGCATAATCCTAATTCATAGTTGTATCTAAATAAGCCTGATGGTCTACCAGTAAAACAAGAGCTATAATTTTCCAAATTACAAGAATTTTTATATACATAGAGTATTTCAACTGGAAAATTTTTGTGATAATCTGATGTTGAATTTAAATGTTTTAGCAGATCACTATTTGCTATATATAAAGGGCCCAGCACAAGTAATGCCCCTTTTTTACTACATAAAAAACTTTTAATATGACATCATAAGCATGTAATTCTGTAACATAACAAAATCACACTCAAGTACACCATGTGACATTTTAGGTAAAATGTTCAAATTGCTGACCATCTCGTGCGGGACATGTACCCTACCAACCACACAGAATGGCATTACTTCAGGACCATGTTTATTTTAACACACATGTCCCACTCTATATTTACTGACTGAAATTTTTTGGTGAATCTGAGGTAGAGCGATGTTCTAATTTTTAAAACATATTCATTCTGGCCAGTTTTAGCAGTCCAGAATGTAACAATATTGTATTTAACTTTATTTTTCATTCATTCTTTTCACCTGCCATTCCATTCCTATACACTTTATCACATTTTAAAAAATATTCTATTTTTTTATTTTTAGAGAGGGGAAGGGAAGGAGACAGAGAAGAGAAACACTGATGTGAGAAAGAAACATTGATAGTCTGCCTCTCATAGGCGCCTGGACCAGGGGCTAACCCCACAGCCCAGGCCTGTGTCCTGACCAGGAATCAAACCTGTGACCTCTCACTTTGTGGAACAGCATCTAACCAACTGCAGCCACACCGGTCGGGGTGGCGCTTTATCAAATCTTGACTCAAACAATTTTGGCTCTTTCCATCCTCCTCTCTCACTTTTCACAAACACATATCAAGGACGAACTAAGTTAGGTAAATATGTCTGTTGTGGCTGCTGTTCCCTTGTCATTAGTAGATCCAGGGGTGTCCCACCTTTTGACATCTCTGAGTCACACTGGAAGAAGAAGGGTTGTCTTGGGCCACACATTAAATACATGAACAATAATGGAAAACCGGTGAGCAAAAAAAGTTTGAAGTAAATTTACAGTTTTGTGTTAAGCCGCCTTCATAGCCATCCTGGGCCACATGTGGCCTGTGAGCCACCCCTGATGGGTTGGACACAGGGAGACTGGACACCCCTGATTGGTTAAAGCTGTGGTTGCTTCCTCTTGATGGGCTTGTGAGTACTGCATTTCAACTTGCTTTCCTGCAAAAGCATTTAACTCTTACAGAAACTTCTACGTGTGCATCTTCAGCATTATAAGGCTAACCCCACAGTAATTTGGTACAATACAGTTCGATTGGTTATACTCTTAAGACAGCAATTTTCAACAGGTGTGCCAAAAGAATTTTTAAAGCATGCAATACCTGACTATTTAGCCAGGGCACTGGCCTCTTTTCCCTGAGATTGTCAAATAATAAAATGAAACAGCCAACACAATAATAGTCATCCAGTGTGAATGAGTCGGAATTATATATTTTTTTGTCAGATCAGCAAAAAAATGTGTATTTTGGTGTGTCACAGAATTTTAGTAATTAGCTTGTGAGTGCCATGAGGTGAAAAGATTGAAAATTGCTGCTCTACGACTTCGTCAGTGGCATCATCTTTCTGTTTGTAAGGCAGGCCGTGAAAGACAAATACCATATGATTTCACTTATTAGTGGAACCTAATCAATGAAACAAACAAGCAAGCACAATAGACCCAGAGACACAGAAATGAAGAACAAACTGACAGTAACCAGAGGGGAGCAAGGAGGGGAGAGAAGGAGAAGGGTCGTCAAGGAGCATGGACAAAGAGGGGGTCACTGAGGGGCAAGGATTGAATGTGGGAAGTGAGGGTGGGCAGGGCAGAGAAGAGTAATGGGGGATAACAGAGACAATGTAATTGAACAACAATAAAAAATTTTTAAGATTATAACTACAACTCACTAAATTACTGAACTTTAAGAAAATATGATAATGGCTTATTGAATCCCATAATACAACATCACTTATCTTGGATAAAAGACCTGAGTTCCTTGGTGAGATTGCAGCCATGTTAAGGATTTGATATAACAGATTCAATTTTAATATAAATAATTTTTAACAAAGGGAAAATACTTTAGGTATTGATTTCTTTGAAACTTCTTATGTGTATTGAAGTTGCTTGAGTTTATATTTAAATTGTCTTAAGTGTGTATATTTCCCCTCTAGAAATAAGATACTTTATACAAAGTCCCAGAAGTGGAGTGTTTTTTTTCTCACATTCCTTCTTTCTGTATATTTACTTGTTTGTGCCATTCTTTTATTTCTGTTTTTCTCTCCATTATCTACTGTGTGTGTGTATGTGTCTGTTTTTGAATGAAAAGTGTTTCCTGAATCAGCTGGTGTTTGAAAATTATTGGCTCTTAGTCATATGAAAACAATGTATGTAAGCATTTTGTTTGAAAATTATCATTGTTAACAAAACTTTTAAGACATCACAGGGAGAAATATTTAATTGGAGTTAATTTAAGATCAATTCTTGTCTTTTTCAATACAGTATTTCTCCAACTTTGAAGCTTACAGAATTCACAAATTCAGATCTGGCATCCTTTTCAGAGAAAGAACTTCAGTAATGTGTAAGTAGTTTTTGTTTTTCCTTTTGATTTATTTCCTTAGCTGTTTTCTGAATGAAACATTGAAAGTTTAATCTACCAGATTTCTTACTCAGAATTTGCCATATATTCACCACATAGTCATTATGAGTAACAAGTGACACAAACGAACTTACTGAAAAATGTCTTAATATGTGCCCTTGATCAGCATTAATGACTATTTTTTAGAAGTAACATCCTCGGATGTAAGGAACACTGGGTTAGGAGACCTGAGAGTTTACCCAGACTGCTGCTAACTGGCTAGGTACCCTTAAGTAAGCCCCTTTTGTGCTTTGACTATAAAATGAGGGTTTAGACTATGATTCATGATAAGATTTCTTCCCCTCTAAATGTCTATTACTCCTAGCTTAACTTTCTAAAAAATAAATCAGGAGTTGGTAATCTTTCATAAGGATGCTGTCAAATTACACAGTTATTGTTTGTTGTTGATTTTTGCTTGGGAATAGGTATTTAGAGGGGAGGTGCCTCCAAAACAAGTAAGCCTCCCTTGCTCAAGGAGTTTGCTCCACATAGTCCATCAATTTGGGTTAATAAAACTTACTTTTTTTTACAAAGTCAAGTTTGTCTTGTGTTGGTTTAACATTTTCAAAAGAAAAATTAACCTATTCTTGCCCCGAGTGCATAGTTCAGTTGGTTAGGGCATCATCCCGATATGTCAGTGTTGCTGGCTTGATCCCTGGTTACGGCACATAGACGTATCATCCAATGAATGCATAAATAAGTGAAATAACAATTAAATGTTTCTCTCTTTCTCTCTCTGTCTCTTTTTTATCTCTCTCTCCATCTCCCTCCTCCCTTTTCCAAACCCCCTTTAAAATCAATCAATAAAAAAGTTAACCTACTCTTAAATATGATGCACAAATAAGATTTCTTTTTGTTTTTCAAAGTTTCCATAGAATGGCATCATGTTTAAGCATATGGGTCTTTGGAGGGAAAACAGTGGGGAAACTTTTGGAATCTGGAAGGGAGATAAGAGAAAAAATGACTAGAGGTGGAATAAAAGTATAGAAAGATATGTGCCAAAGTAGAACTAAGTAAGAAATGCCTTGAAGGCAGAGGCTGTTGCTTTCATCAGTAATCGTCACTGGTTCCTAGAATAGTGTCAGATCTTACGAAGTTATTATGAAAAATTTGTTGAATGAATGAATCAATTACTTCTTGAATAAGTTTCTAATTTTGCCCAAGGTCCTGATGGTTTTGGGTTTTGGTTACTAGACTTAGATCATCTAGTTTCTCTATGTCTTTTCTACATTCAACAACTGCAGTATTTAAAATAGTCGAAGTTCAGAAAATGGATTCTGAATTAAAGAAAAAAAACATGTTTAATATAATATGCTTGATGACGATTATGAAGTGAACTGATCATTTATTTAACAAATATTTTTAAGCATCTATCTAGCATACTTTAGGACTAGCTGGAATGAAAAATGGGGTACTGGATATAGTAAATATGATTTTTATTTGATGGAATATTATGTAGTCATTTAGTGTAATTATGAACATTATAGAAGCGTAAAAATGCTTAATAAATGAATAAAATACAAGTGTTTATATTCTGTATTATAACTGTAGAAGATAAGGATATTGTCTCTTCTCTAAGGAAACTAGGAAACATTGTCAAATATGAACCGTTACTTACTATTGTGTACAGGGATTCTTGAATTTCTTTTTCTTTCTGTTCTTTTGTGCTATTCATAAAGTTTAAATAAAAATACAAATAAGTTTAAAAATTTTGAAAAATAGGATGACTAAAAGAGGAAATACTTTAATGTAGTTTGAAAGAGGAAAAGAACAAAACTACTTTTGAAGGACAGTAGATACATTACCTTAGTTGGGGGAAGAATGAGAGATGAAATTTAAAAAAGATGAGATTGAGACCTCTGGTTTTCATTACATAAGAAAAATGAACTAAAGTAGATTATTACCTGTGGAGTTAAGCTTTAAAAAATTTTCTCCCAGTTTATTTAAGTGCCCTGGAGTGAGGAACAGTTGGATTGGCCCATTGAGTTATTGATCATTTTTATGTATGTCTTAAGTTTGTGACTATTTATCAGGTCTGTCTCAAAGACTTTTGCTCATTTTATCATTTCAGTAATATTTTATAATTTGGTAAAACTATTATGTTCTGATTTTTTGTTTTTCTTGTATCTTTACAATGTTACTGTTGATTTCAACTCTTGCCTTTTTTGTCCTCAGGGTTAACCTAAGGAGTAAATGCTTAACTACTCTGACCTAATGGAGCTATAGAAAAAAAATTTTTAAAAAGATTCTGAGTTGTTTGGGCAGAGATTGAAAGCAAGAAAAACAAGTTGTCATAAGTTACTGAATGGGTAAGAGCATCCTTATAATGATTTCTTAGTCCTAATGAATCTTTAAGGAATAGAGAGCATATCCTTCCTCTTTTTCTGTTCTCAAAGAAAACATGTAATTTGAAGTGAAATATTTGCTGAGCAGGTATCTGAAATTTTAAGAAGATGCCTATAAACACTTTTTGAGCTAATTCCTTCAGTTATCTGTATCATGTTGAACAAAGAGTTAAAAGCTATAAATGATTAATAATGTAGTATTGAGTGTTGTTACTACAGCTTGAGTCAAGTTGTTTCAGGATTGTGTATTACTGTGAATACTTAGAGAACTGTTGGATCAAATGCTTGTTTTGTATGGTCCCCCAGCTTCTAAAATGAATTGAAAAAAATTTACCTCCCCCCAAAAAAAGTGAATGAATGAAAGACATTTTATCTCCTAATTGTTTAACAACTTTTGCTCATGTACCAAACTAAAGTTCCAAGTTTTGGTAAGACTAGGAATGCTTTCCTCAAATGCTCTTTCCAAGTGATTTCTGGTTACTCTTGACAACACAGGCATTGTGTCTGAATATCTACTTACTATTTTCCATAGAGATCATAAATTTCACATGCTAATGGAAGTTTCTTGGTTTAGTAAAGTTTTTAGGAAATAATATTAGTTATTCATTTCTATATTAAATACTTTCTTTCCCCTGTAATTTTTAACAATGTCTTTTATATACTTCTCTCTGGCCTTTGGTTTCGCACTGTTTTGGGGCCCTGGTAATTTCCCTTACATTTTTATATGCTAATCTATGCATTTAAATGGATGTGGGGGATTTATTTTCTGTCCATTTAGGTCATCTGAATGCTAAATATACTCTCATTTTTTAAAAAAGGTATACTTGTTATATACGAAAGCAAAATGTATTCTTAGTGTGTTTATCAAGGAGGTAGTGCATTTTTTGTAGTTTGTTTTGTTTTTATTTGCATACAAACCACTTACACTTATTTGGCTTATTATAGGAAAATATTAGTCTTGGACTTTCCTTTTAGATGTAACCTTCTGTAATGGAAGATGATTGAAGATAAGGGGCCTCGTGTTGCTGACTACTTTGTTGTAGCAGGATTAACTGATGTTTCCAAGCCTCTTGAAGAAGAAATTCACTTCAATGATGCCTGTCACAAAGTAGCAAAACCAAAAGAACCTATCACGGATGTTTCAGTTATTATTAAATCTCTTGGGGAGGAAGTGCCACGGGATTATATGTGTATTGATGTTACCCCAACTGGATTGTCAGCTGACCTCAATAATGGAAGTCTTGTGGGGCCACAGATTTACCTTTGCTATAGAAGAGGAAGAGATAAGCCTCCCCTTACAGATCTGGGGTAAGTTTTTTAAAAAATAATTATTGTTATGAATCCAAATGGTAATATGCCTTGTGCTTTTTGAAGTAAATGTTCAGAATTTTTTATTGATAGATATGTGGCAGCTTTAGAAAAAGATATGTATGTATCTCCAGAATTCTGTGTTCTACCACTATGTTCCCTATACCTTTTCAGTGTCCCTTTTGTCCTGTAGCTTCCCAATGCTTTGTCTAAGTTTCTTTCTATTAAAGGTGGGGGAGAGAATTTGAAAAACATTTACAGAAAAGTACCAGAAAATTAATGTATTATCCTGATAATAAAATTTTAAATTATTTTGAAAGTATGAAAAATGGATGCTTAAGTCTGTTTGAATCAAAAAAGGATCTTGAAGTAAATTAGTGCTTTTCTTAGGGTACTATATTGAACTCTGGGTTCTTTTTCAGTATAACAGCTTTATTGAGATATAATTCACATACCATACAATTTACCCATTTAAAGTGTACAGTTCAGTAGTTAGTATATTTATGGAGTTGTGCAACCATTAGTGTAATAAATTTCGGAACATTTTTATTATGCCAAAAAGAAATCCTGTAGTCACTTCAGTCACTATCCAATTCTCCCTTATCACCAGTCTACTTTCTGTATAGATTTGCCTATTCCAAACATTTTCTATAAAATGGAATCATAGCTCCATGGTGTGTGTGTATGTGTGACTGGCTTCTTTCACTTAGCATAATATTTCCAAGGTTTATCCATGTTGTAGTATGTATCAGTACTTGACTCCTTTACATGGCTGAATAATATTCCATCCTGTGGATACACTACAATTAACTTATCCTTTCATCAGATGGGTTATTTCTACTTATTGCTATTATAAATAATGCTGCTGGAAATATTCATGTACAAGTTTTTCTATGGGCATATGTGTTCATTTCTCTTGTATATTTACTTAGAAGTTGAATTGCTGGATCATATGGTAACTGTGTTTAACCTTTTGAGGAACTGCTAGAGTGTTTTCCAAAGCAGCTGTACTGCTTTGCATTCCCACCAGCTTTGTAATCCCACAGTATGAAGCATCCAATGTCTTCACATCCTACCCAACATTCTGATTGTCATTTTGATTATAATTGCCTTAATGGGTGTGAGGTGGCATCTCATTGTGGTCTTGATTTGCATTCACCTGGTGGCTGATGGTGTTGACTATCTTTCTGGTGCTTATAAGCCATGTGTATATCTTTAGAGAAATGTTTATTTAGAATCCTTTTCCTGTCTTTTTTAAAAGATTTTATTTATTTATAGAGAGAGCGGAAGAGAGGGAGAGAAACATCAGTGTGTGGGTGCCTCTTGCGTGCCCCTACTGGGGACCTGCCCTACAACTCAGGCATGTGCCCTGACTGGGAATTGAACCAGCGACCCTTTGGTTCACAGGCTGGCACTCATTGCACTGAGCCACACCAGCCAGGGCCCTTTTCCTATTTTTAATTGGGTTGTCTTTTTATTGTTGATATTTGAGAGTTCTTTATATGTTCTAGTATCAAGTTCCTTACCAAATACATGACTTACAGATAATTTCTCCCATTCTGTGGGTTTTTTCACTTTTTAATGGTAGCTTCTAAAGCTGAAAAGTTTTAAATTTTGAAGAGGTCTCAACTTTTTTTTGTTGATGTTTTTGCTTATGTTTTGGTGTCATGTCTAAGAAACTTTTACTAACAAGGTTATAAAGATTCACACCTAAGTTTTTATCTAAGAGTTTTATAGTTTCAGCCTTTACATTTAGGTCTTTGATACCTTTTGATTTAATTTTGTATATGGTTGAGGAAAGGCTCCTATCTTTTTTCCCTTTAAATTATATTTTATTGATTATGCTATGACAGTTATCCCAATTTCCCCCCTTAAGTCCCCCAACTAGCACCCCACATTCCCTCAGGCAATCCCTGCCCTTTTGTTCATGTCCATGGGTCATGTGTATAATTTCTTTGGCTACTCCATTTCCTATACTGTACTTTACATCCTGATGGCTATTCTGTAACTACCTACTTGTAATTCTTCATCCCCTCACCCTTTCACCCATTCTCCCCCACACTCTTCTACCATCTGACAACCATCAAAACACAGTCCATATCCATGATTTTATCTCTGTTCTTCTTTTCTTAGTTTGTTTTTAGATTCAGTTGTTGATAGGTATGTGTTTATTGTCAAACTGTTGTTCATAGTTTTAATTTTCTTTTTCTGAAATAAGTCCTTTTAACATTTCATATAATAATGGTTTAGAGATGTTGAACTCCTTTACTTTTTCATTTCTTTGAAGCCCTTCAATTCTAAATGATAGCTTTGCTGGGCAGAGCAATCTTGGCTGGAGGTCCCTGTTCTTCATGACTTTGAATATTCCTTGACAATCCCTTCTAGATTGCAAAGTTTCTTTTGAGAAATCAGGTGGCAGTCTTATGGGAACTCCCCTGTAGGTAACTAATGTCTTTTCTCTTGCTGCTTTTAAGATGTTGTTTATCTTTAACCTTTGGCATTTTAATTCTGATGTGTCTTGGAGTGGCCCTCCTCGCATCCATCTTATTTGGGATTCTCTGTGCCTCCTGGACTTGTATGTCTATTCCCTTCACTAAATTAGGGAATTTTTCTTTCATTATTTTTTCTGATAGAGTTCCAATTTCTTACTCTTTCTCTTCTCCCTCTGGCACCCCTATGATGTGAATGTTGGTACACTTGAAGTAGTCCCACAGGCTCCTTACATTATCCTCATTTGGGGGGGATTCTTTCTTCTTATTATTGGTTGTTTTTTGTTTCCTTATGTTCCATATCAGTGCTTTGATTCTTGGCCTCATCCACTCTACTGTTTATTCCCTATAAATTGTTCTTTATTTTTATTAGTACATCCTTCATTGCTGCCTGGGTCTATTTTATTCCATTGAGGTCCTCACTAAGTTCCTCGAGCATCCTTGTAACCAGTGTTTTGAACTCTGAATCTGATAATGAATCTGAATCTGAACTCATCTCCGTTTCATTTAGCTCTTTTTCTGGAGTTTCTGTCTGTTCTTTCATTTGGGCCATGTATCTTTGTCTCCTCGTTTTATCAGCCCCCCTGTGTTTGTTTCTATGTATTAGGTGGAGCTGCTATGACTCCCTGTCTTGGTAGTGTGGCCTAATGTAGTAGGAGTTCTATAGGGTCTAGTGACACAGCCTCTTCTTTTACCCAAGCTGGGTACTCGAGGTGCACCCTCCATGTGGGCTGAGTACACCCTTCTCTTGTAGCTGAGCCTTGATGACTGTTGGCAGGTCAATGGGAGGGATTTACCCAGGCCAGTCAGCTGTAAGGATTGGCTGTGGCCACTGCCCACCAACCTCCTTTCTCCATGGAGGATCAGCTGTGCGGGGGCAGGGTAGTGGTGCTCCGATGTGGTCAGTAATTGCCCACTGGGTGCACAGGTCCTGGGATTTCCAGTATGGTGCAGGCCAAGGTCAGCCACCCCTTGGGTTCTGCTCAGGGCCTCTCTTCCTGAGCTGTAAAGCAGTCTGCAGATGACTGCTACTTGTGCTTGGCTTGGAGGTTCCCCAGTGAACCAAACTGTGATCCAAAGCTGGTTGTTGCTAGTGGGAGGGGCCGCTAAGTGGGAGGTACACGGGCTGGGGGCTCACTGAGGTTCTTTGTTACTTATTTGAGAAGCTTTAGTAAGATGTGAAGCCTGAGCTGAGACTAGCCATTCATATGTAAAAGCCATTGTTAACAGCTTAGGTGGACCGTGGGGGAGAAGAGTGCAGAGCTTTAGGGATTCCAGGGCAGAACCAAGGCAGAAACCATGTTAGCCAGGTTGATGGAGTCTCAGATATGGCGCCCCCCCTGCTGGCTCTGTGCCTCTGTGCCTCTGGGGGGAGGGGAGGGCTCAAAAAAGAAACAGTGTCCTCTGCCCACCTTTCTGTCTGGGAAGTAGCTGTCCTCAGCTCCTGTCCCAATTACAGACACCTCAGTCCCTCCCCATATGCCACCAGTGCCTTTCAAGCCACCACTCCAGGTTTGGAGCTCAGAGGGAATGGATTTGAGTAAGTCCCTGTGTAGCCCCTTTAAGAGGCACTTCTTGGGAATCCAGTAGTCCCTTTTACCAACCCAAACCCTGCTGTTTTTTATAGCCAGAAGTTATGGGGGCTTATCTTTAAGCATTGGCACCAGAACCCCGGGCTGGGGGGCTTTTGTGGGGCTAGGACCCCTCATTCCCGAACTATCCCTCCCAAATTTTTATCCACCACCCATGGGTGTGGTGGACTGGCCTGTTCCATGTGTCCACTTCTCTGCCCATCCTACCAGTTTGGATGGATGTGGTTTCTTTAATTCCATAGTTGTCAGACTTCCATTCAGCTTGATTTCTGTTGGTTCTGAGTGATGGTTGTTTTGTAGTTTAGTTGTAATTTTGACGTGGTTGTACTTGGAGGTGAGCTGTGTTTACCTATACCTCCATCTTGACTAGAAGCCCCAATCTTAACTCTTTTGAATAGGGATATCCGGTTGTCCCAGCACCATTTGCTGAGGAGAATATTTTCCTCCATTTGAAAAAAATAATTGCCCGTAGACTTATGGATTTATTCCTGGACCCTCTCAGTTCTCTTCCATTTGTCTACATGTCCATCCTTATGCCAGTACTACACAGTTTTGATTACTGTGGCTTTCTAGTCAGTATTTACATTGAAATGGAAGTATTCCAACATTGTTCTTCTTTTTTAAGATTGTTTTTGGCTATTCTGGGTCTCTTCAATTTTCCTATGTATCTCAGGATCAGCTTGTCAATTTTTGTAAAGTTGTGGGGTTCTTTCAAAGAGAAATCTATGCATATTTTACATATATGTCAAAGAAGATTATATAAATGTAAAAATATATAATTTTTTAATAAAAGAGGAAAAATTTAAAAGGTAGAAAACTAAGATTCTCACAGGAAAACTGAAAAAAAAAAACAAAGGAAGGCTAGGAGTGCCTTCAAAATAGATGAAGAGTTGATAAAGAATGAGTATTAGCTTAACTTACAATATTTTGGTTAAAAATAAGAAACATATTGACAACCCTACTGATGTCACCAGAAGGGGCTATAAAAGTCCCATTTCCTAACATGTTACCTCTGAAAGAGAATATGTAGTCACGTTTACTAACACCTTAGGGAAGACAAGATGAATATTCTGCTTTTAGAATTCTATCATGTAATGGCTGATATCAAAAAGTTACATTAAAAATCAGTCTTTATTCTGTTAAGTCATGAATTAATTGCAATCATTTTAAGTCGATTGCAGAACATCTGCTCTGTTGCTTCATATGAAGTTTACATATTTAGTTAATGGCTTGGGAAAGTAAGCCAGCTGTTAGACTTGTTTTCAAAAGATTAGATAAGTCGTTCTTGTGACCACTGACTATCATCAGAATTTTAGCTTGTGGATTAAATGAAAGCAACATCACAGATTCTCATTTGAGTGTTGGATTTCCCTATAGTAAATATGAGGAATTTTTCAAGCATAAGAAGGATTCTCTGATAGGAAAGGGCTTGAACTAGAATGACTAAATTGACCGACCACTCTTATAGCTATCTTTACATATTTGTGATTGTGAAGAATATATTATTCTTGCCTTCAAAATCTTGCAGTTTATTTGTTTTTATTATCTTTTATTTTTTCAATTATAGTTAACATTTAGTATTATTTTGTATTAGTTTCAGGTGTCAGTAGAGTGGTTACACAATCATATACTTTACAAGGTGGTCCCCTGGATATTTCCGGTAACCATCTGGCACCATACATAGTTATCACAATGTTATTTATTATATTTCCTGTGCTGTACTTTATATCCTCATGAATACTTTGTAAATGCCAACTTGTGCTTCTCAATCCCTTGACCTTTTTAACCCAGTCCCTCAACCCCTCCTCCACTCTGGCAAGCATCAATCTGTTTTCTGTATATATGAGTCTCTATTTTGTTTGTTTATATTTACATTGTTCTTTAAATTCCACACATACATGAAATCATATGGTATTTGTCTTTCTCTGACTGATTTATTTCACTTAATATAAAACCCTCTAGGTCCATCCCTTCTGTTATAAATGGGTAAGATTTCATTCTTCCTTAAGGCTGAGTAATACTCATTTGTATGTAAGTACCACGGCTTTTTCATCCACTCATCTACTCACGGGCACTTCAGTTGCTTCCAAATCTTGGCTGGGGTAAATAATGCTGCAATGGACGTAAGAGTGAATGTTTTCTTTCTTTCTTTCTTTTTTTAACTTGTTGTTCAAGTACAGTTTTCTGTCTTTTACTCCCTAATGTTTTCTTTTAAATGTTTTCTTTTGAATGTTTTCTTTCTACTCCCTAATGTTTTGGTTTTTTTCAAAATACCCAGAAATAGTGTCACTGGTTCATAAGGCTGTCCTATGTATAATACTTGGATGAACCTCCAGACCGTTGTTCATAGTGACTGCACCAGTCTGCCTTCCCAACCAGTGGTGCACGAGGGTTTCCTTTTCTTCACATTCGCAGTAGCACTTGTTTATTGAAATTTATTGATGATAGCCATTCTGATAGGTGTGAGGTGATGTCTTGTTGTGGTTTTAATGTTCATTTCTCTGGTGATTCATGATGTTGAGCATCTTATCACATGTCTATTGGCCTCTCTAAAGAGGTGTCTATTCAGATCCTTTGCCCATTTTTTAATTGGATTGTTTTTCTTGGTGTTGAGTTATATGAGGTTTTTTTGTTTAAGATTTTATTTATTTCTGGAGAGAAAAGAAAGGACGGGATGGGGGGAGAGAAAGTTCCTCTCACATGCCCCCAACAAGGGCCCTGGCCTGCAATCCAGGCATTTGTCCTGACTGGGAATTGAACTGGTGACCTTTTGGTTCCCAGGCTGGTGCCCAATCTACTGAGCCACACCAGCCAGGGTGAGTTGTATGAGTTCTTTATAGATCTTGGATATTAACCCCTTATCAGATGTATAATTGGCAAATATCTTCTGTTCAGTGGGTTGTCTTTTCATTTTTCTATGCAAAAACTTTTTAGTTTGACATAGTCCCCTTTGTTTATTTTTTTGTTTCCCTTGCCCCCTAAGGAGCTATATCAGAAAGAAAATATTACTAAGAGAAACAGCTGAGATTTTACTGCCTATATTTTCTTCTAAGACTTTATGGTTTCAAGTCTTAAATATAAGTCTTTAATCCATTTTTAGTTTATTCTCATATATGGCGTAAAAAAGTGGTCATTTTTTTTTGCATGTAACTGTCCAGTATTGCCAACATCATTTATTAAATAGACTGTCTTTATCCCATTGTATGTTCTTGCCTCCTTTGTCAGATATTAATTGACCATATAAGTATGGTGTTATTTCTGGGCTCTCTGTTCTGTTTCGTTGATCTGTATGTTTTTATGCCAGTACTATGCTGTTTTGATTACTTTAGCCTTTTAGTATAGTTTCATATCAGGTAGTGTGGTACCTCCAACTTTGTTCTTTCTCAAGATCGCAGGGGCTATTTGGAGTCTTTTGTAGTTCTATATACATTTTTGGAAAATTTATTCTAGTTCTGTGAAATACACCATTGGTATTTTGACAGGAATTGTGTTGAATCCATAGATTGTTTTGGGTAGCATTAATGATGTTAATTCTTCCTGTTCGTGAACACAGTATATGCTTCCATTTATTCATATCTTCTTCAGTTTCTTTCCTCAGTGTCTTATAATTTTTTGAGTACAGGTGTTTTACATCCTTGATTAAACTTATTCCTAGGTATTATTTTTTATGCAGTTGTAAATGGGGTTGTTTTCTTAGTGTCTCCCTGATAGTTGGTGTATAAAAATGCAACTGATTTCTGTATATTTATTTTGTAGCCTTAAAAGCTTATAATTTGGACAAGGAGTGTTATCTAACAGTATAAAAATAAAAAAATAGCCCTAGCTGTAGCTCGGTGGATTGAGCACAGGCCTGCAAACCAAAGGGTCACAGGTTCAATTCCCATTCAGAGCACGTGCTTGGGTTGCAGGCCAGGTCCCCAGTGGGGGGCACATGAGAGGCAACCACGCATTGTTGTTTCTCTCCCTCTCTTTCTCCCTCCCTTCCCTTCTCTCTAAAAATAAATAAATAAAAATTTTAAAAATAAAAAAATAATGTAAAATATCTACAGCAGCACAATATATGATTAGAGAAAATAGGCATCTTATGTATCACATGTTTATATTCTACATCTTTTAAGAATTTGAATAAATGGTGGTTTGTTTTTCTGTGTTGTATTTTTGTTTTATTTTTAATTGAACATCTGTGTACCAGGCACTTATTGGAGACCTGACTTATTCTCTCATCTAATTTTCTCAAGATCCTATGAGTTCATTTTTTAAATTTTAAAGCTGAATAGTATAAGGCTCAAAGATTAAGTAACTGCGTAAGATGCAATAGTCAGTAATATGTGGTGGGAATTTGAATTCAGATGTATCTAATTTCTGTCTGTTAGAGTGCCTTTTTTCAGATTAAAAAACATCACACAAAAAAAATCAAATGGAGGAGAAGGAATAAGCAATTAAGCCAACAATAGGATAAACATAGTTGCTATGATTAAACATTTAATTTGCTCTAAATATTCAAAATAAAGTACTGAGAAAATTTCTTTGTTGACAGGACAGAAAGGGAAATTAAATATTATATTAGATTACCCTGACTGATTTGGCTTAGTTGGTAGAACATCATCCTACAAAGCAAAATGTCACTGGTTCGATTCCTGGTCAGGGCACATGCCTAAGTTACAGTTGGGTGTGTAGGAGAGGCAACTGATCAATGTTTCTCTCTTTCTCTCCCCCTTCCTCTTCTCCAAAAATCAATAAACATATCCTCATATCTAAGGTTTAGAAAAAAGAAATAATTTGACCAATTTTTGGCACTAATTTTCTTTGTATAATAGGATTTTACAAAAGTGAATACTGATCGATGTTGGGGATGTTGCCTGTTAAAACAATTTCTATAGCAAAAACATTCAATATAGTAGACCTTTAATTTTTTGAGTGATGCAAAGGACTTAGTTTAAAGTCAAATCAGTGAAATCTGTGAAAGAATAAACTGTTATTCAAACATGACATTTTCTTTGTGTCCCCAAGTGCTTTAAGTATAGTATTTAGAAGACTTAAGGAATGGATGCCTGGCCTGCCCTTATGAAAAGCCTATGATTTTACCATAATAAAGAAGAAGGGGAAAAACAAACCTATGTTGTTCACCCATAATTTTGAGGTTATTTTCTCTTTTGAAAGCCTAAATTTATCTCCTAAACCAGAGGGGGAAGTATTGGAAGTAAAATTGTACAAGCAGGTTCTATACCTTCTGGTTAAGGAGCCTCTTAAAAATTTTAATTTTGGCTACAATACAAAATTGTTTTTTATCAAGAAGATGCTTGGTTTTAGAGACAAAAAATAAATAAATCCATTAAAGGGAATGCTAAAGCAAGTACCTTTGCCCTAAATGGTTGATATCCTGTGGTTTATGTCAACAAACACAAAGTTTAATCTGAATCTTTCCTGCATTACTTAAATTTTAGGTAGAAAAAACAGTTATCCTTTAATTTTACATGGGACTGTGCAGTTCAAACTTGCATTAAGATTGGAATCTCTGCTACATTTAAGGGTCGGTTCATGATACCTGCTAATATTACCTTTCATATCTCAGGGTGCTTTGTGTTTGTGTATTCATTTACTTTATTTTTTTTTTTAGAGTTTTATATGACTGGAAAGAAAGATTGAAACAGGGGTGTGAAATTATTCAGAGTACTCCCTATGGACGCCCTGCAAATATTAGCGGCAGTACCTCATCACAAAAGATTTATATCACCTACCGAAGAGCCTCTGAAAACATGACTCAGAATACCTTGGCTGTCACAGACATATGTATTATTATACCCAGTAAAGGAGAAGGTCCACCACATACATTCTGCAAAGTCGACAAGAATCTCAATAACAGTATGGTAAGTAACTGTATGGTAATTTTACACTGATAAAATTAGCCACTGATGAAAATGACCATAACCTAAAATCTTTGGAAAACAGCATAGCATAATTACTGAAGTAAAAATGTGTTTTTAAAGATGTTGGATATTTTATGTTTAGGAAAGTACTTTTGCTATACTTTTAGCAAGAGCTATACAAAAAGCCTTTTTATTTTAATTTTTAAAAAATCGCCTCCTTACTAAAAAAGTAATGTACTAGCCTACGTTGACCCCTCCCTCTGCTTGTGCACCAGGTCCCATACACTACTCACCTGTTTGAGTACACAGCTTCAGCAGTTCTTCTTTCTTACTTTTTGAATCATCCGTTTTTCTCTCTATTGGATTATTTTCTCCAACATGCACACTGTGTTTCTCCCATGTTTACAGAACTTGACCCCTTTCTTCTCCTCCATCTATTGCCCCATTTTATTGTTCTCCTTTACAATAAAATGTCTCAAAAGAGTTAACTGTGTCCTGTCCCCTTCCTTACTTTGACTTTTCAGTTAGACTTTTGTCTCCACCATTCTACCAAGATTGCCCATGTTGAATCAAATGATCAGTTTTTCGTCTTATGTTCAGTAAGTTTTGACATAGATGATCACTTCTTCTTTCTTGAAACAGTTGCAAGAAAAGATGATGTATTCTTTTTCTACATACTGTTTTTCCTGCTACCTCACCAATATTTCCTTTTCTGCCATTGCTGATTCCTTCCCATCTCCCTAACCTCTCTACACAGTGGAATGCCCCAAGGGTTAGTTAGTCTGCAGGCCATTTATCTTTACCAGCTAAACTCACACCCTTGATGATCCAAATATAAGCTATGTATGAATGACTTCTAAATGTATCTGTCTACTAGATTTCTAAATGAGGAGGAAAAAAAAAAACCAATATAATGGACAGGAGGAAATATGTGTTGAATTTTTTCTCAAGTCCCTACATGATTTTTGTACCAGGCTTACAGCTTTGGCCTCAAAAGAACCTCTTCTACCTCTCCACCGCCCCATTAAGCTTATATACAGAAAGAGTTTCAAGAATTATTAGTTTTTAAACTTTGAACCATAAGCCTTACATGATTTGGATTTGATTGATTTTGAATAGAATCATATTATTTTAGAGCTAGAATGGTCATGTGATACAAAAATATAAAAATTTGTGGTTGAGTATACAGCTGACTTTTGGCAAATTTGAGACTCCTCAGTTTTTGAATTATTGAGACTATTTTCTTTATACTCTGTGCAAATGACCCTATAGCCAGCATACTCAATGGGCAAAAACTAAAAGTGTTTTTTTTAAGGTCAGGAAAAAGACAAGGATGTCCACTTTCACCATTCTTATTCAACGTAGGACTGGAGTCCTAGCCACAGCAATCAGAAGGCATCCAAATTGGAAAGGAGGAAGTAAAACTGTCATCATTTGCAGATGACATGATATTATACCTAGAAAACCCTAAAGACTCCACAAAAACACTATTAGATTTCATAAATGAATTTAGCAAATTAGCAGGATACAAAATTAATATCCAGAAATGAAAACAATCCCATTTACCACTGCAACAAAAAAATGCAGTACCTAGGAATAAACTTAACCAAGGAGGTAAAAGACCTGCACTCAGAAAACTATAGGACATTGAAGAAATAGAGGAAGATAAAAACTAGTGGAAGCATGAACCATGTTCATGGACTGGAAGAATTAACATCATACTCTATGTAATGCCTCTTGTTTTGCAGCCTTTCAAAAATGCCAGTATTTATTAACTTTATTTTTGTTGTTCACACTATTACAGATGTCCCCATTCTCCCCCCTCTTTTGCCCACCTTCACCCAGTCCCCACCCCTTTTCCATCTGGCCATCACCACACTGTTATTTGTGTCTATGGGTTATGCATATATGTTCTTTGGCTAATCCCTTTACCTTCTTTAGCAAGTTTATTTAGAAAAGTAGAGTTATTAACAAAGCAAGTAATTAAATCATATACCTAATTCCTGAATAAAGAATGCATCTGAAGGTGTGTTTTTGCCATGGCAAATCATAATATGGATAGTTTATAGGTTAAACATTTAAAGTATTTTTAGAACATGGCTCCTCCTCCTTTTTCTTTTGTGTGGCTGAACCTGGTATGTGAAAAATATTTAGAAATTCTCTTGTAGTTTTGATGTGATAGCTAATTTTCTCCAGAGCCCCATAATTTTTACTGTATCTCTGAACATCTGGTTTTCATTTTAAAATAATCCTCCATATCCAAATGGTCATATAGTTCCCTTTTTATCATCACAAAGGTTATCATTGAAGGTTTTTCACCCTCATAAAATTTGGCTTATTGGGAACTATAGTTGGGACTTTTCAATAGAGAACCTTTATTTATTTATAATTTTTAAAATCACCCGATAAACTAAAAGTCCAGTTTGATCTACACTCATATTATCTATGCACTTGACTTTTATGCATCCACTCTTTTAATACAAAAATACTAAAACATTTATAAAAATAAAATTCTAATACAGCAATGAGCTGTCCTAAGGATGATTTAACAGTTGATCTCCTGCAGACACAGAAAAAATATTTAAGAAAGCAAGAAAAGTTTCTAGATGAGGAGCCAGTTTATTGCATCATTGTTTATAATGGCAAAAAGAAAAAAGGAAACAACCTAAGTGTCCATTAGTAGGGGGATGGGCAAAATAAACATTTATTCACTAATGGAATATTATCCAGTAATTTAGATCAATAAATTAGATTAACTTCACTGATTCTCAAGAACATATAGATGAATAAAAAATAAACGATAAAAGCATATATTCAGCATATCATCAGTTATGTAAAATTTGTTTATTTATATTTTTAACAAATTTTTATTGTTATTCTATTATAGTTGTTCCAGCTTTTCCCCTTTGCCCTCATTTATGTAAAATTTAAAATGCACAAAACAATAATGCATACTTATAGGTGTGTATATTTGTATAGTAGAAAAATTTTAAATGCATGTAAATGTTATGTACTGGCTTTAGGTTTAGTGGTTAACTCCAGAGACCAGAAAGGAGTGGAAGATTAGGCTTTAGCTAAACCTATAATTTTTTGGTTTTCTATAAATTAAAATAACTGAGGCCAATATGGTAAATTGTTAACATTTGTTAAATCTTGGTGGTAAGTGGGTGTTTGTTGTGATAAACTCTAACATTTAAAAAATATTTCTTAAAGGAAGGTTATTTTCTTTATATATTTGTCTTCAATGCTATGGATCTGTTCTTATGTACTGGTTTATGCAGGTACTCGGCCATGTGTGCACAAATGTGTCCTGTCTCATGCAACACATATTTTTAAAGCATTTTACACAAAAGGCACTGTTTTAAGTGCTACAGATGTAGTAGTGAACAAAACAAAGCCCTTGCCATCTTGGAACTTGTAGTTTAGTGACAAGAGGCAGATAATAAATAAGAAAATATACAATATGCCAAAGGTGGTCAGTCTATTCAGGGAACAAAAGTGAGATAGAGGTGATAGGGAGGCACTGGGAAGCTTGTTATTTCATTTAAGGTGATGAAATCATAAAGTGACATTTGAGTTGAGACTGAAAGGAGGTAAGAAAATGTGCTATGTGCATATATCTGTCAGCACCTAATGTCAAGTGGTAGCATTGTCACTTCAGACCTCTTGCCTTAGCTGCATTGGACTCTCGCGTGTCTAATAGATGTTTCAAACTTAACATGTGTAAAACGGAACTCCTTTTCTTCACCCCCAGATCTACTTTACCGAGTCCTCCTCATCTCAGTTTCAGCTGGGACTAGAACATTAAGTTGTTTGGGAGTAGCAGTTATTTAAAACCATCCAACTAAATGTATGAGGTCATTTAGAGAAAGTAAAGCAAAGAAGCGATCCCATTTAATGATCAGGAAGAGAGAGTGGATGCTAAAGAGGAGACTGAGGGGTAGCCAGAGATTTGGTGAGGAGGGGCCAGGAGGGTGTGGTGCCTCAAAAGCCAGGAAAAGAACATGTTTCTGGAAGGGTGTCATTGGTGGTGTCAAAATCTGCTGAGAGGTTGAGTAAAATGAAGACGGAATCAACTATTAGATTTGGCATCTTTAAAATAAAGGCATTCTTTAAGGAATGGTGAAATTAAAACCTCTTGAAGTAAATTAAGGAGAGAATGAGATACAAGGAAATGGGTATGGCAAATTACTACTCTTGAGTTTGGGTATAAAGAGCTGTTGAAAAATCTGGCAATATCTGAGAGGGGTTATGGAATCAAAAGGAAGGTAAACACACATGAGTAGATATTTCCTGGTTTATCCTTTCTTTCCAAATTTTGGATATAGAATAAAATCTAAATTGTTGTGGCTTAGTTTTTTTAAGTATATTTTATTGATTATGCTATTACAGTCGTCCCATGTTTTTTATCCCCTTTAGCCCCCTCCACCCTGTACCCCTCCTTCCTCCAACATTCCCCCCCTTAGTTCATGCCCATGGGTTGTACATACAAGTTCTTTGGCTTTTCCATTTCCTGTACTATTCTTAACCTCTCCCTGTCTGTTTTGTGCCTACTAATTATGCTTCTTATTCCATGTATGTTCTTCCCTATTCTCCCCCCTCCACCTCCCTGCTGATAATGCTCCACGTGTTCTCCATGTCTGTGATTCTGTTCCTGTTCTACTTGTTTGCTTAGTTTGTTTTTGTTTTCTAGGTTCAGTTGTTGATAGTTGTGAGTTTGTTGTCATTTTACTTTGCATAGTTTTTGATTTTCTTCTTTTTCTTCAATTAAGTCCCTTTAACATTTCATATAATAAGACTATACTTTCAGAGGTAATTTCTATAGTTTGTTATTAATTTTGTTTTAAAGGGAAAAAATTTTATGTTATTGCCGTTACAAGGAAAAAATAAGTTAATTTTTACTTCTGAAAGAAAAGTGGGCAGTAACTCCAATAAAATACTCCCAAAATAACCAACTGAAAAATAGTTAACAGAGAGTAGTCTTCTATATCTTAGATAATACATAATAGAAAGATCAGAAAGATTCCATTTTATAAGTTTCTACCTTTTAAAAATAATATTTTCTTTTTTTAATTCAGTGGGGATCAGCAGTATACTTATGTTATAAAAAATCGGTGGCAAAGACTAACACTATATCTTACAAAGCTGGTAAGTATAATTTTTCATGGGATACTTAATATAGAAATGTATTATGGGGACCAATAATATTAAAGAAAATAAACAAAACCCATGTTACAGTGCATTAGTGTCAGGCCTGAGACTGCAGCCCATATTTTTTTATTCTGTTTTGTTTTCATCCATAAATTTATTGGATGCTTAATGGAAGATAAATATTAGAAAGAAGGTTTTCTTTTAAACATTTGGTTTAAATAAATAACTGATAAGTAAAAATTAGTTCTCTAAGTTTATAAATTAATAGAAAATGTGGGAAAGTATTTTCCAGTTAAATTAAAGTTTCTTTAGTATTTGTATCAAATTTAGTCAAATCCGTAGTTCATGTATAATTGGTTCATGATAATCTGAAATATTATAAACTAATTTGTGATTTTATAATACATAGCTGAGAATTTCAATTGCCAGAAACCTCAAAATATTAAACAGACTGATCTTATTTGCCAGAAAGCAGATTCAGCCTTTTAACTAATACAGTTTTAAAATTGGTGTCCTAGACTTTTACCTTTCTGTTCTACCTTTGATTTTTCAGGATCTATAATTCATCACTACTTCTGAACTACTTAAATCCTATACTGTTGCCTCATGACTTGAGAGAGTAGTGGACAGTTACCTGTAGACCCTTGTGGGGTCTACTGGCTGGCCAGCATATAATTAGAGAATTTTAGAACTGCCTTGGACTTTGGTATATCTAGTTCATCTAACTTGTAGATGAGAAAACCAGAGTCTTATAGATAAATGATTTGTCCCGTATCACTGAGATTTTAGTGGCAGACCAACCACAGGTATTCCTAGTTAACATTTTGTTTTTATGGTCATATCTAATGATAGTTTCCACTTTTACTGTTCAAGTTCAGGGCAGCTATATTCTGTTTCTCGTCCCACAAGATCTAGTACAAGACTCTGCTGGAGAATGTGTCCAATAGAAGATTCCTTGACCACTTTGTAGACTAGTCATTCAACGTGAAAGCATAGGCCACTTGAAACTTTATCTTCATATAATTTGGGATTGTTTAGAAACTGGGATTGAGTTGATATTATTCTGAAAATACTGTAAATGTAAATAGATTATTCTTCTATTTTTATAAGTATATTTCTTGTATTTGTGCTAGAAGTTGTGTATGTAATCCTATGGGATGTTTATTTTAATGTGTAAAAACCCCTGAGGGAAAGTTATTGAGAGCTGATGAAGTGGATATATGCAGGTATATATTTAAAAAATAGTATATTCATATACTTTAAAATAGTGTGACCACAAACTGAATTTTGGGGTATGTGTGTATTTATGTTTATTTCTTTAAGATAATCTTTTCTGCCCTGGCTGGTGTAGCTCAATGGATTGAGCGTGGGCTGTGAACCAAAGTGTCACTGGTTCGACTCCCAGTCAGGGCACATGCCTGCGTTGCAGACTAGGTCCCACTTGGGGGCACACAACAGGCAACCACCCACTGACGTTTCTCTCCTTCCCTTCCTCTCTCTCTAAATATAAATAAAAATAAAGTCTTAAAAAAAAGATAATCTTTTCTGCCTGCCTTTCTTGGCCTTTCTGGATGAAGCTTGATAAATATTAAGCAGTTAATATGAATAGTTATAATGTTGAAGGATTAAAATCTGTATGAATCCTTCTGAGCCATTCAGTTATTTGATGAACGTACAGGGTAGGGCAAAAGGAGGTTTACAGTTGTTCTTATGGAAAATAATACAAGAATAAACTCTGTTTCACATACAACTATGAACTTACATTTGCCTCACCCTGTATATGTAATGTTTTGAACTTTGATATGTGTTAAAGTATTTCAGCATCATTCAAATTATGAGCACTAAAATTCAAAAGATGATAACCTGATATTTATTGTCATTTTCATAGGTCTAATTTGTAGATATCCTCAAGAAGATTATGAGTCATTCTCACTTCCAGAATCTGTTCCCCTATTTTGTTTACCAATGGGTGCAACAATTGAATGTTGGCCATCAAATAGCAAATACCCTCTCCCTGTATTTTCTACATTTGTGTTAACTGGAGCCTCAGCTGAAAAGGTACTATGTGTTTTAACAAGTTATATGAGTAAATTTCTTATACATTTTTAATTTAAGTTTTATATAATGCAAGGAACAATAGGAGAAAATAACTGGTTAAACTGAATCCATTATACATACCTCTTTCATTTGGTAACTATACCAGGGACATAGGAAAAGAGAATTTTTATTCTGTTCCATATATTCAAATGCTTTCTTGTAAATGTGGTCAATGATTTTTTAATGATCAAATGATGATCCTTCGTTGCTTTATTTTCTGTGATATTAAAGCTTTGAAAGTAATGTAAAAGACATTATTAAATATTTAATGCTATTCAGAATCATTGACTGTCATAGTTGGAAAGGACCTTGGAAATTATCTAGTCTGACATCCTCATTTTATAGATTGAGAAACTGAGGTGCAGAGAAATTTAGTGAATTGCCTGAAGTTGGATTTTATATTTTCTTATCTAACATTGTCTTACTGTCTACCTACTAATAGTTCTTAATAATTTTCTTATAGAGAATATTGACACAATTTTATTCTTCATAAAACAAATGCAAATTTAATTGAAACATTTTTTAAAATAAAAAGATACACAAGTAGTAGTTATATAGTTTTTACATTTTATTTCATTTTTTAATATACTTTAAGAAAGCAAAGAATGATGTCTGTTCACTACCATGTTCCTGGTACCTGGCACCTTGCCTGACTCGTAGGCGTATAATGGCTCATTATGGCCTGGCTCATAAGGGCTCATTCATTAAATACTTAACTAATGATATGATTTGAGTAAATGATACAAGGTATATGTAGTAAACATACCACTTTGTTTTCCAGGTCTATGGTGCTGCTATTCAGTTTTATGAACCATATCCTGAGGAGAATCTCACAGAAAAACAGAGACTCCTTTTGGGTTTAGCATCATCGGCAGATGGGAAGTCTGACAGTTCCAAAACAGTTCACACTAGCAAGTGCATCTGTCTTCTTTCTCACTGGCCTTTTTTTGATGCATTCAGGAAATTTCTGACTTTTTTGTATCGTTATTCCATCTCTGGGCCTCATGTCCTTCCAATTGAGAAGTAAGTTAGAAGCCTTCCTGGTTCAAAATTTGGCAGATCTTTCCATTATGTGTGGTATACTTGTATTGGTAACTTAATTACATTGGTAAATTTTATGTGGAAACTAGGTTTGTCATGAGTTACTTGGAAAAAAGAATTTGCTTTTTAACCAAATATTTTTCTGTTTTAAATAAATTTATCTCTAACAAAATGAATTGCTTCATTTTTTAATGTTCTTGTGAAATTTGGAGATTCTAATTGGCATTTTTAAAATAGTTTTGTAATTCTTATTTTACATGTAATTTGGGTTTATTATGAACCTTTAAAAATATTTCGTACTATGTTTAGCTATCATGAATTTAAAGGAAAAATTAGTAAGTACGTTCTGTATTCTTTTTAAAATTTTAGTGATTTACTTTAAATTATTCAAGCTGAATAATGTTTCATGCAGTAAGATCTGATGCAAATGAGATCTAAATTATATCCATTGTCTGACTATTGCTTACTTACACCATCAATCACTTAAGCTCTTTTGTATTTTTAGGCAGAATTCTCTGACTCTAATGACAATTGGAAAGTGATAGAGTTAAGAACATTTGGTGTACAGGACTACTCTTTAATTTTTCCTGGCACTTTTATATTCTCAGTGTCCCATATAGCAGTTCTCAAATCTTTTGGTCTCAGGACCCCTTTATACTCTAAAAACCAAGGATCCCCCAAAGAGCTTTTATTTTATATGTTATATTTGTTGATATTTACAATAATAGAAATTAAAACTGAGAAATTTAAAAATATTTGCTATTTTTAAAAACAATTTATATGTTAATGTACATTTTTTTTTGGAAAAATAATTGTTTTCCAAAACAAAAAAAATTAGTGAAAAGAGTGACATTATTTTACATTTTTACAAATCTAATGTCTGGATTAATTGAGCACAAGTAAGTTCTCATATGTGCTTCTGTATTTAATCTGTTGTGATACATTGTTTGGGTTGAAGTATATGAACCTGGCCTCACACAGGTAAGTAGGTGGAAGAGGGAGGGCATTTGGATAGTGTTTACAGAAACTTGTGGATGTCCTTTTTGTCATTGCACCCAGACTTGTGGACTTTATCATAGGGATCAGCAGACATTTGGTCCTGTCCAGGGCATCCATGGAGACATTTTGTCCACACTGACCCAACTATCTAGTCCCATGTGCCATTACCAGCTAGGTTATTGAGGAGAAAATGGTTATTATTAACAGAATAGCCACAACACAATTAGATCAATAAAATTCAGTAGAGTTTTTTATGTATTAATCCTGTAAACCAAAAGCATAAATAATGTTATGGGTGTAGGTATTTTTGACCAGACCAAATATCAAGGACAATTTGTTATGAACCAAATATGCTCTTGGACATTCTTCATAGAAGCAAATACCAAGGACCTTTCAGCATGGACCAAACGTTGCTGTGGACTAATGGTACAGGTGCTTTTCTTCAGGACAACCATCACACTGCTACCTATAGCAGAAGTGCTTTATGCATGCTTCCCCTTTCATCACGCAGATTATTTTTTTAAACATACAGGGTCAAAATTTAATAAAATTAATAATATTTATTGCTTGGTCAGAGACATTCTTAAGTGAAACTGAATACAATGACTACTAATACAGTTTGGTGCCTTGATTCATAGTGAGATGCCAGCAGTTTTAGCCACAATGGTTTTGCACCATCAGTGCAAATACCAACAGTGGAAAAGGCAAACGAAATCTTACTATAAAAGCAGTTTTGACCTTGCAGCTCCTCCCTGAATGGATCTTGGAGATCTTTAGATGTTCATGGATTGCACTTTGTTTTCTCCTGTTATAAATACTTTAGATAATTCAAGCAAATGTGTGTCCTCTGGAACTCATTCACCTTACCTTCTTTTCCTAGGTTATGAGTACCTTCATGGTGTAAAGTGGTAGTAGTATATGCCTTTTTAATAATTCCCATAATTTCTGTCAGTGTTATACATAGCATACAGTCAAAACATGTTTGCAAAATTGATAAATTTCTAATGTTTTTTATTCAGTTGAAATTATCCCAGTTCTGAAACCAAAATGATTTTGAAATAATGTTTAAAAGTAATACAGAACTAAAATAACTTTTTCCTTAAAAAAAAAAAGGAAGGAAGAAAGAAGAAAGGAAAGAAAGAAAAAGAATTTTTTACTATAGTTGCCTTTTTTCTTTTCCATAGTGTTCAAAACAAAACACATCAATCTGGCTTTTTATCCATTTTCTTCTGGGAAACCCCCCATAAAATCAGCAATAGGATTTTTAACCTCTTGTTAATAGAAAGTACAGATACACCTCAGAGATATTGCAAGTTCCATTTGAGACCACTTTAATAAAACAAGCATTGCAGTAAAGTGAGTTGTGATCTTTATACTGGTGGAGGGTCTTACATTTAGTTTGTAAAAAACATAATATCTATAAAGTGCAGTAAAACAAAGCTCAGTGAAAAAGGGGACTGTCTGTATATTCATTTTAGAGACAGACTCTTCCATTTTTCTGGAGCAGTCCAAATAGTGTTTCATTTTTCAAATATGAGCAGTTGACTGAAACATATATTACAAATGTACAAATTAGCTTCTTTGTTAATGTCCTCATCTCTGATATGTTGTATATTATCTACTTAGAGGGAGGTAAAAGTTAAAATGGCTTTTGAGGTAACATAACATAAACATTTAACATAAAGATTATTTATCCCATTAAAGCTGCTTGTACCTAAATTCAGTTACTTCTCATATTAATTGTTGTTCACATTCAACAATCTTTATGTGAAGAAAGAGACTGTATATCCATTCAATAGATTCAACAATCTTTATGGTGAATGTGAACAACAATTAATATGAGAAGTAACTGAATTTAGGGACAAGCAGCTTTGATGGGACAAATGATAGTTGGTTGTTTGTTCACCTGTTTTTATAGTAGCAAGGATGTAGAAATTACAGGTTCACAGAACTTTTGACTTAACTTGAATTTGTGGAGACATGTTGACCTTTGTAGTATATTGCACTCACTTTGGAATCAATTGGCTTTTTGTTGTTTGTTTTTAAGGCATATTTCTCATTTTATGCACAAAGTTCCTTTCCCATCTCCTCAGAGACCACGGATTTTAGTTCAGGTAAGATTTTTTTTTTAATGTAAATGCCCTGTTGAATGCATATTGGCTCAATCAACATGTCACAAGAATAACAGTTTTAAATGGGGGGGGAGGGGATCAAATAAGATCAAAAGTGAGCAAGGTGCTGTTTTATTTTTTAGTTTAGGCCCTTATTGTCTTATTAGCTGCCTCTTGGATGACTAATTTTTCTCCCTTAAATAAAGGGTTTCAGAGTTAAAGAAGGAGGAGGCAGTAACATTTCAAACATACAAAAAGGAACTTTTTAAATTCTTTAAATTCGTTCTAGGTGTTTGAAAGTTCCTCTGTGGCTTTGGCCTTTATTCCTTGAGCTAAGTATATGAGAAAATATAGAAGTAAAAGTTGTATGTTTTCATGTATTGCAGGAAGGAATGCTCATTCTTTGTGTCGGGGCAAGTTTAAAATGAACATAAATTATTTTCCCCATCACTTGCCCCAGTTGACTGTTTCTTTCTTCTTTTGTTCATATTTTTTCTGCTTTTACTCTTGAATGTAAGTTTCTGCTTATTTAATCATCATTTATGAAGTGATTTATATATGACAATATTTTCATGTAACATCACTCTGTTTTTGTATATTTATCACATCCCTTAATGGGGTATTATTCACAATTAAAAATCATTTGGCAAACAGATATTTACAAATTTGTGAAAACCTGCATACATTTGAAAATGTGGAAAAATAATTGCATTATTATATTGATACAGATAAAATGTCTAGAAAAATATCCTTTGATAAGTTTCATAATCAGTCTGCATATTTATATATCATCCCTGCCTTACTTCTTGATATTAGTGCCAGAATATAGCACACTCAGTTTGAATACACATAAAAGATTTTTTTTATAGCAGGAGTTGGCAAATTTTTTTCTGTCAAGGACCGAACAGTAAATGTTTCCGTGTTTATAGGCCACACTATCTCTGTTTACACTGCTCAGCTCTGCTGTTACTGCACAAAAGCAGCTAGAGGTAACATGCAAATGATGAGTTCCGATTAAACTTAACATAAACACAGGTGGCCTGGGGATTCACCCTGGAGGCCATAGGTTTGCTAACTCTGATTTTATGCTATTAAATGAATAATTGAGTCCTTTGATACAGATGTGTTAAAATGGCATCAAGAAAACATCGAGGAACAGAAGAAGGGTAGAGAGTATAGAATAGAAGAGTCAGTAGTCAGAAGAGGTCAGTGATCAGGACATAATTTTCAGGATCTTAGTACATGGTTATGTAATGAATGAATATATTGAAACTTCGTCATCATTAGTCTATGTGTTTTTACCAAGGAGGTGTTTCAAAGTTTTTTTTCAAATACTTTATTTGAAATCTCTTCCAGTTATCACCACATGATACTCTGATTCTCAGTCAGCCTGTTTCATCTCCTCTTCCACTAAGGCAAGTAAAACTACATTTCCGTTTGTTTCTCTAAATCTAGTGTGAGCTAAAGTAACATTCAAATATCTTCTCTCTCTCCTAGGTAAAATTTCAAATGTTGATGGAAGCACTTCTCATTTAACCATTTCTTACTACATTCCTTTACTGGTATTTAGAGTAAAGTTCACTAAAAAAAGAGTTTTATACTAGTGTTTGGTATTTTATGTATCCATTTGTTATCATCAAGTACTATTACATCTTAGGTAGTTATGGATGTAGATTATGAAAAGTTATTTTTAGTTTTAAATATCCTCTGAAGAACATTCAAATGCAGTTAAGTTTCAATTTAACTGCAGAAGATGGTCATAAATATTAAGCAATGGGATGATAGAACAATGTACTTCTTCACCTTAAAATGTCAGAGAAATTATTAAATGTTTTTTCTGTGGTATCATTTCTTGAAGTTTAATTAGCTACGTATAATTTTTCTAGCAGAGAAATAGTTACAATATAATTAAGCTATTCCATAGCATGTGTCTAAGGGGTACTAGGTGTGCCATCTTTGACATTCATTTTGTAAGAATTGCAGGTTATTTCATCACTAGATTTCAGCCTCGAGTGGCCAGTGTTTTCTCAACCTTTGTTTAAGCCAAAAATAAGCTACAAAAACTAAGACTATGTAGAAACGATTCTGAATTACCCAAGGACTTTTTTTTGTTAATAGCTTTTATTGGCATATAATTCACATACTATGCAATTCACCCAATTAAATTGTACAGTTCACTGGTATATTCACAGAGGTATGCAACTAACACTATAATCAGATATAGAACATTTTCATCTCTCAAAAAAGAAGCCTTATATGCTTTAGCAGTTTACCTTCCCTATTTTTCCCAACCCTACCACACACAAATGACACATTTCCCCAACCAACAATTAGTCTGCTTTCTGTCTCTACAGATTTGCCTATTCTGAACATTTCATATAAATGGAATCATACAATATTTGGCCTTTTGTGTTTAGCTTCTTTCATTTAATATAATGTTTCCAAAGTTCATCCATGTTGTAGTATGTGTCAGTACTTCATTTCTGTTTATGTACAACAAATATTTCAGTATATGAATATACTACATTTTATTTATCCATTCATGTGTTGATGGCCATTTCAGCTACTATGAATAATGCTGCTATGAACATGCATAAGTAGTTTGGGGGTTTTTTTGACATGTTTTCATTTCTCCAAGAGACTTTTGTTACTAGTTTTGCTTTATTTTTAAAAACATTAATTCAGTGAAGCCAGGTATTTAGCATTATATAGACAAAATACTGGTTGGCTTACTGGATTATTTACTTCATCAACCCAGTATTTTGTTACTACACAGAGCATCTGAGTTTGGGTTATAAATCTGCTTTGCATGTGTGTGTCACTTGGGAGCTCTTGATTGCATATTACTGTTATCATTACAGTATGACATATTGTCTGTTCATAAATCTAAATTTTAATATGTGTTTTTACTTTAAGGTAGGCCAGAAGGTCATGTAATTTTTCTGATTATTACAGTGGAAGATGAGCCAAAACTTTCATTAAAGGATTTGTTTTCAATCAAAGCATTCCTCTTCTAAATTAAATTCTTTATTTGTACATTATTTACATGGTAGATCTTTCATGTAAAAGAAAGCAGATGACTTTTTATTTTCCATATTGAATACAATGCAGAAGAACTGAATGATTTTGGAACCTCATAAAACATCATTGTTTTCATAGTGTGTTTCTGATGCAGTGTTTTCTCTACATAAGATCAGCCATCACATTTAAAGTTGAATATATAATACAAATCCTACCCTAGGCATGATCTTCTTTTCTATTATTTTGGGTAATGAGATCATTGGATCTTTATTAATTGCATATTTTCATTTGGATTGACAGTGGTGGCAAGTTTTCAACACTACTTCAGAATTTAGGCCCTGAAAACGCAGTGACGCTGCTGGTGTTCGCAGTAACAGAACACAAGATTCTCATCCATTCCTTACGGCCTTCGGTGCTTACCAGTGTGACAGAAGCACTAGTGTCTGTGAGTATCGCAGTTTCGTATTGTGAAAATGTACAATTCAAAGCCATTTCAATGCTTAACTAAAATTCAAAGTGTAATGAATTTTTATGTTGTGAAAACAATCTAAATTTTCTGAACATTGACACTAGTTATAACTATTTAACTCATTGTCAAGCATTAGACTTTAGGTAAAAGTATTTAAAAGACATTTTTGTGTGTATGCTGATAAATTATGCTTCAGTGTCAAACAGCTAAATATTCTCCTATCTTTTGTTTATCCAAGATGATATTCCCTTTCCACTGGCCATGCCCATATGTTCCTCTCTGTCCACTGGCTTTAGCTGACGTCTTGAGTGCACCATGTCCATTCATAGTAGGAATTGACTCAAGATACTTTGATCTCTATGACCCTCCACCAGATGTTAGTTGTGTTGACCTTGATACCAACACCATTTCTCAGTAAGTATATTTTAGTGAGTCTACACCCAGTAATTTACTTCATAATGTATGTAGTTGTTTATTTTATGAATGCTTATTAGAATTTTCCTTTAGCTATATTGTTTTTGTGTTTGAGATTATTACCATCTTTGAATCAGCTCTTACTATACTTCAATGGGATAGATTTAGGGCATTGGAGAAGGTTTTATTGAAAAAAAATGTACCTTTCATCCTTAGCTTTTTAAGTATTTAAGAAACATTATAAACTTACCAAGAAATTTAGCAGAAGGGAAATTGAGATTAGAAAATGTTTATTTCCCTTTAGTCAGATGAATATGGGTGAAACACAAATTGAATTGAAATAGTATTCCTTGATTAATATTTCATACCTATTTCTAGTGTAGTGTAATACTATTAGAATACTCATTGTTCATAGCAAAATTAATGTAATGTTTTTAAATTTTAAATAACTTGTATACATAATTGTTTTCCTTTTATACCCTAGGAGTGAAAGGAATTTATGTTTCCCTGTTTTAATGGAATAATATTTAAGTTCTACTGCTGGAGCTATATATTCATAGCTTTTTTTTGTTAGTCCTTACCCAAGGGTATATTGATTGATTTTAGAAAGAGAGGAAGGAAGAGGCAGGGAGGGAAGTAGGGAAGGGAGGTGGGGAGGTGAGAAAGAGAAAAGAGCGAAGAGAGAAGCATCCATGTGAGAGAGAAATAGCGACTGTTTGCCTCCTGTACTCGCCAGCCAGGAGTCAAACCTGCTCCCTCTTGGTGTTTGGGACAATACTCCAACCACAGAGCTACCCAGCCATGACTACTTATACCTTTCTTTATAATTAAATGTTTCTCTTCTATCCCTTATTTTCAGTTTAATCAAACTTATGCTATTTAGGGAAGAGGAAATTAATGCAGTGACCACACTGAATCCACAGAACATACTTAAAATAACTACAAGTTTTTCTGTCAGTAAAGCCCAAAAGCTAGTATGCCTTTTAAGAACTTAAAAATGTATATGTGAAATATTTTGTCTTCATTTTTAAATATGCATGTTATATTAGAGCCTCTTAATTTAATTTTGAAATCTTACATTAATTCTAGTTTTGTCATATGTCAAAACTTCAGATACCTAAAAGAGTTTAGCAAAAAAAATAGTTTTCTATTATGAAGCATCTATGCTGTCAAAAAGCTCTTATCCAGAGAAAGCCTAACCAAGAATATGTGGGATGTACTTTGTGCATAAAAGCTATTTTGTACATGAGATCGATAGAGTCAGAGATTCTTTACCAGGAATATTTAATTCTTTAAGTGTTAAAGTAATATTTTTTCCTTGCCAGTTGTTAATGTTACATGACATAAAATTTTAAAAAATTGAAATAAAGAGTGGTAAATGAGTATATACTGTATTTATTATGGTAATAAATTACATTTCCCTCTTTTTGTTCTTTCCCTCAATTTATTAAAAGCAGTTTTAATTATTACTTTTCTTTCTGTTTGATCACTGATGAGTTAAACAATGAAAGAAACATGGGTAATTTCACTGATCAGTATTCTTCCTTCTTGACATCACTCACCATCCTGACAAACCTTGGAACAGTCTAACCCATTAAACCAACAACTTTCTGCCTTTCTTCATCCAGAATTCCTGGAGCCCCAACCTGAAATTTGAAAGAAAAACAAGTTCTGAGTATGAGAGTTTGGGTTTTCTTTTTTCCTCTCTGATTCTTAGATACATATAATACAGGAATGCCAAGAAATTTCTGAAGAAAGGGAAATTATCATCTAATATGTACTAGGCTTTCAGCTGTCTGCATAGCCTAAGTTATCTCCTGTTATGCTGTGCCTGTGACAGATAAGAAAGACGGAGCTTAGATTTTAATTTATTAAAAGCCACATAACTTATACTTCCAGACCTGGATTTTGAAACCATCACTGACTGACTGTAAACTAATACATTTACCACTAATTATTGGCTATTTATGTAATAGTAATATTGTAAATGATGTTACCACTAATGACAATGCAGAAGATTATCACAGATCCCAACCCAGGTACGAAATAAAACTGTCCTACTCAGCCAAGTTGTGAAGTGAAGAGGTCAAGGGTAAGAGAAGGAAGTTAATTACTTGAATAAATAATTAGATGTAATGAAATGATAAGATATTTTTCATTCATTTATGCTACAGACTTATCTTGAATACCTGTTTTTGCTAGGCATTGGGAATAAAAAGACAAACCAAGTAATACTCCCTTTTCTTAAATGTCTGATAACCTAGTCCAGCAAGGTAGAGTGCACAGCGTGCCTCAGGCCCAGTGGGAGTGTTGTGTTGCAAAGTTTTACCATGAGAATGGCGTAAATAGTATTTCTGGGTTCTTGCTGTAAAGTAGGATTCCATGCTCCTGGTCACATTATAAATGAAATAAAACCTTCACAGGAGGACATCTGCAACTTGACCATGTCCTATCAGTGTTTTTATTTTCATTTGTGGAAAGATAGGATGGATTCCAAGACAGTTGTTCTCTGTCAGCTTTAGCTTTCCATCTATTCTTTTTTATTTTTTTAGTTTTTCAAAAGAGATATTTACCCTTTTTTTTCTGTGGCAAGCTTAGGGAACATTGAAAAAAAGTTCAGCAACTTTCACCACACTTGTGCAGTTATTGTCTTTGGTGGTTAGAATGTGATACTTACTTCCCCTTTTCTGTACAGTTTTCAGTTTTTCTGAAATGAGTATTCATTGCTGTAGAAATAGGGAAAAAAAGATTTAGTAAAGAATGGAATAATCAACACTATAGCTAGGCCCAAAACCTTTCTGATGTTGTATCAGAAAACACCTACCCCATATAAGTTGAAAGAAAAACTGTGTTGTCATAATTGTACTAAAGTAGGTTATAGAAGTGTGTCATAGAAACAAAATTACCACTTTTGAGCACATGTCCTTTGTGGTTATAAAAGTATTTTGGAAAAAAAAAAAAAAAATGTACTTGAAAAGTAACTAAATAAAAAAAAAAAAAAAATATTTTGGATTGTTGTAGTTTATTCAATTAATTTAATATACATTATTTCTTTTCTGAAAGAAACAAAAATAAATTCTACTTTTAGGAAACTAAGAAACAATATTTAAATATACCAAAGTATTTTGATAAACTCATTGAAAGTTTCTCTGCAGTGCTATCTTAGAGTCTATAACAATAACAACAACAACAAAATCCACATAGTAGGATTTTCCCAATACTTAGGTATCTAAGGCATCTTTAATAGAATTTAAGAGTAATTACCACCACATCAAGTTTGGTAGTGATTAGCATGATTACAATACAAGTAGAATTTAGTCAGTACCGTATTTTAAATATTCAACATCTCAATTTACCCCAGTAGTGTTTTTCTCCTGTTAACTAGAATATTTTTGTGTTTTATTTTTTGTTTAATGTGTTTTCTATTTTTCTTTTCTAATATATATTAAGTACATACCTCCCCTCCTTCCCTCGCCCCCCAAAAATGTCCATCTAACAAATATATTATTTTTGCCATTTAATCTCAGAACTGGTGACAAGAAAAATGTACCCTGGAAGATACTCCCAAAGAAACCTTGTAAAAATCTGATGAACACACTGAATAATTTGCACCAGCAATTGGCAAAATGTAAGTGTCTAACTTAATTAAAGGAAGTGATTTAATGTGAGAAGAGGACTCCAGCTACTTTTCCTTATTTGTAAAAAAAAAATAATGTTTATCTAAAGGAATGCATTTTGCAATTTTAAAGGCAAATGAGCATTTGCCTTTTTTGTTAAAAAAAGCAAAAATGCAAAATTTGTTAGAAGCTGAATGGAAGATTTGTAAAATTTGTTTTTGATACTACATTTTCATAGAACCATTTGAGAATAATAAAATTAAAAAAGAGGTTAAGGCAGTTACTTAATTTTACCATTACTGAAATGCAAGGGGGAAAAAAAGAATTTCTACTCGTATGCTTCCTTCATACATGGAATAGAAAGTCAGTTTTGAAAATCTAATACAGATGGTTTAAATTACATTAGAAAATGCTGATTTCCAGTGGGGCGAGAGCTAGGTCATATGCTTTTCACCTTCAGGGGATCTTAATACTGTGCTTACCTCAAATTGCTGAGAGCATTAGGAAATTAATAAAAATAAAAATTGATTAAAATATGAAATAGTTCAGTAAAAAGCTTATGTAAGAGGTATCTTCTTGACAGTGACCCAGAATTACCAAGAAGAAGTAAATCTTAATTTATCTTGATATTTTATAACAACAGTCCATTCAGGGCCCATAATTTAATACTTATGGTATGAGAAATGGTCATTAATTGTGTAGTGATATCTGAGGTTCTCATTTATGTATTAAATGAAATATAAACATAGGAGGTGACATCCTTGGGGGTTCAAGTTGCCTGCAGTATAGGTGGAAGTAGAAATGAAAAGACAATGTTTAACAAAGTAAACCTCACCACAGGTAGATAATTTGGAAGTGACTCAAAAATATTGGGATGTTTTAAAAAATGATGTCAAATGATTAAATTTTATCTTGTAGAACAAATTAGTTATTGTGGAATTTTATTTAAGCTACCCAGTTAAATTGCTTTCTAAAAGTGCATGCACTTCTTTTGAATAGTCCAGCAGCTTTTGTAACAACATTTAAATATTATTAAAGTAAGTAAAATAGCCCAGCTAGCTCAATTGAAGGGCAGAATCTTAAAACTTAAAACTATAGACTTTTAAACAGTAGTAAAAGTTGAGGATCGTGTAACACTTTATACCTTCAGAGCACTTTCACATACATTCTTTTATCTTTGCAACTGTGAGATGAGGATAATAAGGTTGAGAGAGGTAAAGTACCTTCTTAGAGATCATACAGTTGGAGCTAATGATTGAAATGTATGCCTCTATCGCTTCTGGGCCTTTTGACTAAGATCAAGTGTAGTATCTGTTCTTATCAGTTTAAAATGTATGCCTGTTTCAATGCCCACATTCTCTCTAATAATTCTACTGTTTTAGACAATAAGAACTCCAAAAGACTCAGATGATTCACTGTTCCTCATATTTTAAAAACTTGAAATTTTGAAGCAATCACAAACTTTTTTCTCCTGACCTTTGAGAATAGATGCCCCATCACCTCCAAATGGAATGTATTTCCTACCAGCAAGTCCATTCCCCTACATCATTACAATGTAACCGTGAGAATCAGGAAATTAACATTCAATATTACTGCCATCCTTCAGACTAGATTGAGCTAACTACCATAATAATGGTCTTTAATAGCAAAAGAATCCATTTACAAATCAGATGTTGTATTTAGTTTCAAGTCTCTTTAGTATCCTTTCCTCTAAACAGCTCCTTAATTTTTTTGTTTATTTTCTTGACACTTTTGAAGATGATACTATTGTAAAATGGTTCATGATGTGGGTTTGTCTGAGTGTCCTCATGATAAATGTAGATCATGCATCTTTGACAGGAATATTGCAGGAGTGACACTGAGTTCCTTTCATAGCATCCTTATCAGATTGAGCACTGTGTCAGTTTGTTCCATTATTGATAAATGTGTTCACTTTGATCACTTGATTAGGTGGTGTCTACCAGGCTGTAAAGTTACTATTTTACTACCTGATGGCTTTAGCATGGAATTCTTCAGGAAGAGCAACAGTTGATTTTTATATTTGAATCCCAGAATGTTTCTCCTTTAAGCACTTATATTTTTAAGAAAAGAAAGGAAGGACTGTTGTTGTTATGATCTTCATTTATGAATCCATATATAGTTATTTCAGAATATGAACATTTTTTCTGATGATAGCCAGATAAACTGGAATTATTTTATGTTTAATTTGGATAAAATGTACTCAGCAGAGCCTAAAAAAATGATAAGGAAAGCTTTCCTAGGACTTACATATTATGCAGTTATGTAAACAAAAGTTGAGGTATCTTGAGCCCTTTCAAAACATAACAATTCTTTTTCAATTTTATTGAGATGTAATTGACATATAGTACTGTATAAGTTTAAAGTGTGTAGCATAATGACTTGACATACATGTACAATAAGTTTATATTGATACAACTGTGAACATTAGTTTTGACAGTTTGGAGAAAACACTAATAATATATCTCTTCACAGTGCAGCAGAGACCAAGGGATGATGGACTAATGGACTTATCAATGAATGACTATGATTTTAATTCTGGAAAGAGGTTGCACATGATCGATTTGGAAATCCAAGAGGCGTTTTTATATTTTATGGCTTCTATTTTAAAAGGTTATAGGTCATACTTAAGACCACTAACAGGAGCCCCATCTGAAACAGCCACAGATGCAAGCTCTCTTTTTGCCCTACAAGGTGAGTAAATGCATAGTTTTACAGCCGTCATATTATTGACTTTAACCTGATGATTTCATTGCTTTCTGGGTTAATAGCTCATATTTATCAAAAATATACAAGGTCTATCCAGAAAGTAGCCATGTACTATGAAAAATAGAGACATTTATTGAAGAAGTTATAAGAAACATTGTACACAAGACAATGACACCTCAGTCCCCTTCACAGTAGGCATGTTGGGACCTCACACAGTTCTCCCAATCACCGTCATCCGCCCCACCGTATTTTCCTGAATCTCATCACTGGTCTGAAATCTCTTCCCTTTAAAGGTGATTTTAGTTTTGGGATAAGCCAGAAGTCACAGGGTCCCAAATCTGGATCTGGGCTGTAGGGAGACTGAGTCACCTGGGTGATTTGAAGTTTTGCCAAAAAATTCTGCACGGACGTGGTACATGAGTGGGCAAGTTGCCTTAATGAAACTGCTAATCATAGTAGCCCATAGCTGTAGCCTTCTGAATCATCCAAATAGTTTCCACAGAGCAATGTTCAAGTTTAACACAAAATTTGATGCAGATTCGTCGCTCTGCTCGCTCAGCCATTTTGAATGTGGCAGCCTCACAGTACACATGCTCACTCAATGGCGTCTACCACCCCCACTGACTAGTACAGTGAAGTCATCATTGTTCATGCATGTGCATTCCAGCCTACTCTCCTTGGCTCCCAGGTTACATTAATGTCACACAAACCATTCTTGTTCTATTAACAATGGCTGGACTTTTTTCTGGACAGACCTCTTTATATAACTATTTTGTTAATAATAACTGTTAGTAATCCATTTCCATAGGACTAGTTATTTCTCAGGCACATTCAATGTAATCACATTGGCAATGTATGCATAAGGAACTCTTTGAAAAGTACAGAGATTTCTAAACATGTACTGTTGCACTTGCGTCACAGGCGTGTTGATTTTGATGCTTTTAGCTTTCAGAGCAGCCAGACATGGTTGGCATGCCAAGTAGCCCGGAATGATCACCTCCAGGCTTGAGCAGCCTCATTTGTTTTACTTCAGTATTCTCTACAAGAATTATTTTCTCTCTGTGCTATGAAGTAAAAAATGTTGGGGAGCCCCGGAATGCATTTTGTGTCATAATATGTATTTACTTTCTTTTGTAGTATTTAACATTTAAAAGAGAAATTCATACCCTAGCCAGTGTGGCTCAGTTGCTTGGAGTGTTGTCCTGTAACCAGAAGTTGTGGGTTTATTTCCTGGCCAGGGCACATACCTAGGTTGCATACTCAATTCCTGGTCAGGGTGTGTACGGGAGGCAGCTAATCAATGTTTCTCTCGTATTGATGTGTTTCTCCCTCACTGCCCATCTCTCTAAAAGCAATGAAAAAATGTCCTTGGATGAAGACAAAAAGAGAAATTCATTTAATAAACATATATTGAGTGTCTCCAAATGATAGGTGTTGGGTGTATAGTGGTATACAAAAGGTACATGGTCACAAATAGAAGAAAGAAAGAGGACATGATCACTTTCCTATGGAGCTTGTAGTCAAGAAGATAAGCAATTTCAAAATATGAATGAACACTTCAGTTCACAACTTTAGATCACAGAAGGCCCTTGTGAGGAATTCACATCTGAGCCATGGTCAAAAGAAGTAGAAATTAGCCAGGCAGAGGGAAAGTAGAAGAGTGTTTTAGGCCGAGAGAACAGTTTATGCAAAGGTCCTGAGGCTGGAAAGAGTTTGAGTTCATGGGCCCAAAAGAAACCCAAGTGTTGTGTAACTAAGTACAGTGAGTGTGAACTCAGGAGGGATGTAACTGCTGCCTTGAAAAAGCTACGTATGTGTATGGAAAGAGAGCATGAGCCACGTGCACATACATGCAACACATAAAGGGGAAAGTAGCAATTTAAAAATGCTTCCACATTTACTAGTGTATGTGTAATCTTCAAAGTAGTGAGGGGACAACAGAGACAATTCTGGATTTGAAATATCTGGATTCAAGTTTCTTTCCTGTTGCTGTCTCTGTCAGGTCACTTCTTCTTTCAGGGTCTTAGTTTCTTTTTGGCAAAATGGTGGGGTACAGATGACATGATTGATCAAATTCCTTCTAGCTTGAAAATTACATGAATCTATAAATGATATTATATATTCTGACATTGGAAATTTATGTTGAACAGCTTTCTTAAGAAGCCGGGACCGATCACATCAAAAATTCTATAATATGATGACCAAGACACAAATGTTTATTCGCTTCATTGAGGAATGTTCTTTTGTCAGTGATAAAGACGCAAGCCTGGCGTTTTTTGATGATTGTGTAGATAAAGTAAGTAATAGTTTGTCTACAGTGCTCTAACTTATTTTGTGTGACTGTTGTAAATGTTAGGAATTATAGTTTCTATTTATAACTTTTACTAGCTTTTAACAAAGTTTAATTTCATTTCATTATTGACCCTTTATTATGAAAGTTTTGGTGGCCTACCAGACATTATAGAACACAACAACTTCTTGGGAATACCTTGCAGGGTTTTAATAAATTGTGAGTTTTGTTTTAGCCGTCAGACTACAGGAGTTTTGTTCAAGCCTGTAGACCTCTGACTTGGGCATTCTTAATTTCACCTCTCCTTTTCCTCTAAGGTGGATTGTCGCATGCTGAGATAAAGGCATAGAGCATAATGAATATTCCACCTGACTATTACTACAGTTTGGGAGTGATTTGTATCATAAATTAAGTGAATTAATTCTATTTTAAATTCATGTGTGAAACCTTCCCTTTTCCTTCACTTCTGATATCAGTAGGTGGGATAGAGCAAGGTGAGTATCCATGCTCAAGAGAGAGGTGGCTGCGAAACAGTAGCCCAGAGAGAGGTATCAAAACCTGAATGGGGTATGGTAGGAGAAACAGCCTAGCACAGAGTGTCAGAGACTGCGCAAACGAGAGAGAGAGTATTGCCATTGGGTCCGGACAGCAAATGTGGCTTCAGAATTTGATCTGGGTGAGGGAGATGCCAGTTTGGAGGGACAGGGGATTGGTCTTGAAGGAGCTATCAGAATCAGATTAGGGTAAAAAAGTCATATACATGGGTTAGGGGATGATGGAGAGGAGAGAATGTTACATATGGGAATTGATAAAATAAATAAATATATTAAAGATAATTAAGTTTCCCACTGACTGAGAAGGAATTTACAAATAGAGAAAAGGAGAATACCAGAATGAACCCTGTAGAATTGGAGGTTCCATGTGATATCATTAGCTTTCAATATGTATAGATTAACATAGAAATAAGTTCAGATGTAAGTGCACACACAAACACATATATTTCCCAGCTCTCTACTCTTTGAGGACCTGGAAGCAGCCATACCCCAATAGTAATGGGTATACCTAATGCACAAATTTTGGCTCCTAAATACCATTCTCCACCAAAAGGAGTCAGGACTTCTTGAAGAAATGGTTGATCCCAAGTCTAGGGCAAGGAGAGTACCAATGAGCCCTGAAGTAGCTTATGCTAGAAAAAAAGAAATTGCCCCAAGAATGTTAGAAACATGTTTTTATAAAAACAATACACACACAGAAACACAGCCAGTTTAAATGGACTCCCAGTATCTACCTCTGGGATGATTTCAACATCAAATTTAGTAACAGATTATAACCCATTGAATAAAATAGGTAACTATGAATCTGCACAGATATCAATCAAGAATCTGGGGACTTTACATAGCTTTTTTAAAAATTATATTTTACTGATTATACTATTACAGTTGTCCCAATCTTCCCCTTTTCCTCCCTCCACCCAGCATACCCCATTCTCTAAGGCACAGACAGCAAACACCAGGCCCATGGACCGAATCTGGCCCTCCACCTTGGTTCTACCCAGTGGCAGTGCGAAGCTCTCACTTAACAGTTACATTTATACAGTCCTAAAATTACATTCAGCCCTTTGAAGGCAACCTTGAGGCTGATGTGGCCCCCAGTGAAAGTGAATTTGATACCCCTGCTCTAAAGCAATCCCTACACTGTGGTTCATGTCCATGGGTTATGAGTATAAGTTCTTTGGCTACTCCACTTCCTATACTGTATTTTACATCCCCATGGCTATTCTATAACTGACTATTTGTACTTCTTAATCCCCTCACCTCTTCACCCATTCTCCCACATCCTTATTCCATCTGGCAGCCATCAAAATGCTATCTATATCCATGATTCTGTCTTTGTTCTTCTTGTTTAGTTTGTTTTTTAGATTCATTTTTTGATAGATATGTATATGTTACCATTTTATTTTTCATAGTTTTAATCTTATTTTTCTGAAATAAGTCCCTTTAGCATTTCATTTAATACTGGTCTGGTGATGACGAACTCATTTAGTTTTTACTTGTCTGGGAAGCTCTTTATCTTTCCTTTGATTCTAAATGATGGCTTTGCTGGGTAGAGCAATCTTGGCTGTAGGTCCCCGCTCTCCATGACTTCGAATATTTCTTGCCAGTCCCTTCTAGCCTGAAAAATTTCTTTTGAGAAATCAGCTGTAGGTAATTAACCACTTTTCACTTGCTACTTTTAAGATTCTCTATCTTTTACTTTGGCATTTTAATTTTGATATATCTTGGAGGGGGCCTTTTTGCATCAATCTTATTTGGGATTCTTTGTGCCTCCTGGACTTGCATGTCTATTTCCTTCACCAAATTAGGAAAGTTTTCTGTCATTATTTTTTCAAATAGATTTCCAATTTCTTGCTCTTTCCTCCTTCTGGTACCCCTGTGATGCAAATGTTGGACCTCTTGAAGTTGTCCCAGAGGCTGTTTCCACTATCCTTATTTTTTTGGATTCTCTTTTTTCTTCTTGTTGTTCTGATTAGTTGCTTTTTGTTTCCTTATGTTCCAAGTCATTAGTTTGATTCTCGGCTTCATCCAGTCTACTGTTGTTTGTTCTTTATTTTAATTAGTATATCCATCATTTCCGCCTGGATCTTTGTTATGCTGTTGAGGTACTTATTAAGTTCCTTAAGCATCCTTAGGGTTATATCCTCTTGTTGGATAGTTCCCTTCATCATTATGTAGTGTCCTTCTTTGTCTGTTACTGTAGTCTTGGTTTTAAAGTCTATTTTGTTGGATATAAATACTGCTTTTTTTCCCCCTTTCCATGTGCATGAAATCCCTTTACTTTTAGTCTTTGTGTGTTTTTCCATCTACTATGGGTTTCTTGGAGGCATCAAAAATATGGATCTTGTTTTCTTATTCATTCAGCTACCCTATGTCTTTTGGTTGAAGCATTTAAGCCATTTACATTTGAGGTGATTTTATTGATAGATACGTATTTAGGGCCATTTTATTGTTATAGAGTATTTTCCACTGTTTTTATTTTCTTTCTCTTCTTAAAGCAAGCCCTTTAACATTTGTTGCAGTACTGATTTGGTGTTAACAAACTCCTTTAGCTTTTTCTTGTCTAGGAAGCTCCTTATTTCTCCATTGATTTTTAAATGATAGTCTTGGTGGGTTTAAAGTAGCCTTGGTTGTAGATTCTTATCACCTTGAATAGTTCATGCCACTCCCTTCTGGCCTGAAATGTTTCTGTGGAGGAATCAGATGACAGTCTAAGGTGCTCCCTTATAAATAACTACCTGCTTTTCTCTGGTGGCTTTTAGGATTCTCTCCTTGTCTTTAAGCCTTGTTGTTTTAATTAGATATGTCTCGATGTTAGCCTCTTTGGATCCAATTTGTTTGGGTCTCTCTGAGCTTCCTGGACTTGTGTGGCTTTTTCCTTCACCAGATTAGGGAAGTTTTCAGACATTATTTCTTCAAGTAAGTTCTTGATACTTTGCTCACTCTCTTCCCCTTCTGGTGTTCCCATGATACAGATTTTGTTATGTTTCATGTTGTTCAAAACGTTCCTTAAGCTCGCCTCAGTTTTTTAAATTTTTTTGTGGGGTTTTTTGTTTTTGTTTTTGTTTTTGCTGCTCTGCCTGGATGTTTTTTTCTCCCTTGTCTTCCAAGTCACTGATTCGATCCTCTGCATCATCTAACCTACTATTTATTCCTTCCAGTGTATTTTTTGTTTCAGATATTTTATTATTTATTTCTGACTGGTCTTTTTTTATGGTTTCTGTGTCTTTTATGCAGTTGAGTATCCTTATAATCATTACTCTAAACTCTCTGATAAATACTTGCTTCCATTTCATGTATATCTCCTTCTAGAGTATATTCTTGTTCTTTCATTTGGGGTCTGTTTCTATATCTCCCCATTTTGGCTGCTTCTTTGTTATGTGTTTCTGTGTACTAGGTATATCTGCAAGACTGGTGCACACCTAAGCACTGGGCAACCTGTTTGTAGCTATCAGGATCCACAGCATGTGGCTCCTTCTGCTGGGTCTGGGTGTGTGAAGAAAGAATGAGGCTGGGCACTAAGGATGGCTTTTTCCAGCACCAGACCCAGAGGTATGTCAGCTGAAGCCTCAGCATTCCCAGCAATCTGCCTCTACCTACAGACTTTCTGTACAGTTAATCAGTGAATGTCTTCCAGCTCTACTCAGCAGCAGGGCTTAAGTACCATAGGGTGGGGCAGAGTAATTCCTGTGGGCATGGTTATTGCTTCTCCTCAGGCTGATGCCACTTGGAGGGGTCTGCTCTGCCTGAGCAAGATGGCACTTGCAGTATAGGGAATGACTCAGCATAGAGATCCTGGCAGCTGTTCCTTCAGCTTTCTTCCCAAAGCCAGTAGCCCCAGTTTCTCCTCAGGAGTCTCTAGTCCACTTTGACCTCCCTCTGCCAGAGCCCAGGGTAAGTGGCTGCAAACAGAATTTTGTGCATTGGCCCATTAAGAGGCTCTCTAAGTCTCTGGCTATCTCTCCCTGGCAGACAGAAACCCCACTGCTTTTCACAGCCGTATGTTATTTGGGTTACTTCCTCTATTCTGGTGGAGTAGGCTGGGGAGCCCAGCTTGGGATTTAGATCCCACACTTCTCAGGGGCAACCCCCTGGCCACTGAAGTATGCCTTGCAGGACTTCAGCTGCTGCCTGTGGGATCCCAGCCAGCCTTTTCATGCCTTCCTTGTGCCTCCTCCATACTCCCTACTAGTCATGTTGTGGTGCTGTGGCTTTTTCCATCTGTCCATGGTTATAATGCTTCTCTTTATCTAGTGTTCAGTTGATTATTCAGGATGTTTTTCTATAATTCAGTTGTAATTCCAGATTGGTCCTGGATGGAGGTTAGTGTAACTTCTTCTTACTCCTCCACCATCATGAGTCTCTCAATTCTTGCTTTTCAGCACTTTAAATACTTTAAATACTTCTTGCCAGTCCCTTCTAGCCTGCAAAGCTTCTTTTGAGAAATCAGCTGATAGTCTTATGGGATCTCCTTTGTAGGTAACTCTCTGCTTTTCTCTTGCTGCTTTTAAGATTCTCTATCTTTAAACTTTGGCATTTTAAATATGTGTCTTGGTGTGGTCCTCTTTGGGTCTAACTTGTTTGAGATGACACTCTCTGTGCTTCCTGGACTTGTATGTCTATTCCCTTCACCAAATTAGGGAAGTTTTCTTTCATTATTTTTTCAAATAAGTTTTCAGTTTCTTGCTCTTCCTCTTCTTCTGGCACTCCTGTGATTCAGATGTTGGTACATTTGGAGATGTCCCAGAGGGTCCTTATACTATCCTTGTTTTTAAAATTATTTTTCTTCCTGCTGTTCTGGTTGAATGCTTGTTTCTTCCTTATGTTCCATTGATATACATCCCAGCTTCCTCCCTTCTACTGATGGTTCCCTGTAAATATTTTTTATTTCACTTAGTGTAACCTTCATTTTTTCTTTTATGCTGTGGCTATACTCAATGAGTTCTTTGAGCATCTAATAACCAGTATTTTGAACTCTACATCTGGTAGGTTGCTTTTCTCCATTTTGTTTAGTTTTTTTCTAGAGTTTTGATCTGTTCTTTCATTTGGGCCGTGTTTCTTTGTCTCCTCATTTTGGGAGCCTGCCTGTGTTTGTTTCTATGTACTAGGTAGACCTGCTGTGACTCCTGTCTTGGTATCATGGCCTAATATAGTAGGTCTCCTTGGTGGCACAGCTTCTCCTATCACCCAAGCTGTGCACTTGAGGTGTGCCCTTCACGTGGGCTGAGTATGCCATTTTCTTGTAGTTGAGCCTTGATAGCTGTTGGCAGGTCAATAGGAGGGATTTAGCTAGGCCAGTCAGGTGCAAGGTCGGGCTGTGACCACAGACTCCAACCTCTGCCCTTCATGGAGGATCACCTGTGTAGGGGCAGGGTGGTGGTACTCTGACATGGTCAGTAACTATCCACTGGGTGCACAGGCTCTGCAATTTTCTGGGTGATGCAGAACAAGGTCAGCCTCCAACCTGTATTCTGCCTAGGGCCACCCTACCTGAGCTATAAAGCAATCTGATATGGCTGCTACTTGTTCTGGGCTTGGAGGTTCCCAGGCAAAGACAATCTGTGAATCTTGTCCGACTGCTTCTAGAGCCAGGCCTGGAGCCATTTAGCGAGAGGTATGGGGGCTGAGGGCTCACTGAGGCTGGCTATTGCTTGTTTGAAGGGATTTAGGAAGTTGTGAAGCAGGAGCCAAGACCAGCCATTCATATGGAAAAGTCACCATTAACAGCTTGGGTGGTACTATAAGTTGCATTAGAGGGAGTATTAGGAGAGCTCCAGGATAGGGCAAACAGTGTTAGCCAGGTTGATAGAGTCTCAGATATGGCACCCACCTGCTAGCTGTGTAGCTCTGTGGGGGGGAAGGTTCAGATAAGGGACAATGGCCCTTGCCTGCCTTTTGTCTGGGAGTAAGATGTCCCCCAGCTCTCCCCTTAATGCCAGATACTTCAGTTCCTTTCTGTATGGTACTGGTGCCTTTCATGCCCGGTGCTAGCGCTCAGAGAGAATAAGTCTGATTAAGTCCCTGTGTAGGTTCTTTATGAGGAACTGCTTGGGACTCCAGAAATTTCTTTTACTGACTCAATCCCTGCTGGTTTTTACAGCCAGAAGTTATGGGGACTTATCTTCCTCATACTGGAACCCTGGGCTGGGGGGGGGGGGCGGTTGTGTAGGGCTGGGACTCCTCACTTCTGAAATATCCCTCCTGAATTTTTTCTACCGCACGTGGATGTGGTACCAGCCCATTCCACATCTGCAACCCTCCCCCCAGTTTGGATGGATGTGGTGTCTGTAATTCCATAGTTGTCAGATATCCATTCAGCTTGATTTCTGATGGTTCTGAGTGATGGTTGTTCTATAATTTAGTTGTAATTTTGATTTGGTTGTGTGATGAGATGACCCATATTTACCTATGCTGCCATTTTGACTGGAAGTCCTTTTGTAATTTTTAAAAAGTAAATAAAAGTAATTGATATTCATTACATTTTAATTAGAAAATAAATAACAATTAAAAAAAGAAAATTTTTTGCCAGTAATGGCACTACCTAGAAGTATCATTTTTATAATTGTGTGTGTATGAGAGAGAGCACACACAACTCTATACAGTATGTAATGTACCGGATTTTGTCATGTATAATGCACACCCAAGTTTTTATGCACCTTATACACGGGATTATTATGCCCATTTTTATACCCATGTTATATAGTCATCATACCCATGTATAATATGTATCCTTATTTTTCCCTCAAAACTTTGGGCAAAAAAGTGTGCATGGTACATGGCAAAATACGGTACTCACTCTCTTTTAAAAATTAGAATTGTACTATATGTATGATTTAGTATCCTGATATTATTTATTTGTCATTATTTTATGAACATTTTCTCTTGTCATTAATTATAATTCCTTGACATGCCTTAATTGTTATCTAGTTTACTGTGTGACTACATCATGAAAAACATTTTTTAATCCTGGAGATAATGACACATAATGCTGTGAAGTTACAACCCACAGTTTAGTTAAGAAGACTCTGAATGTGTCCGCTCTTTTTAAGAATTAGAAATAATTAAAAGCTATCCTGTCCTTTTTTCTATACTCTGCCCTATATCCTTATCTTAAAGATGTTACTTGTTAATAATCCTTGCTCTCCCATTTATTCCCAACTGGTATATGATATTCATTCTGCCTAACTGAATAAAGTTCTGTGGGTTATATTTTGTTATATACATGGCATCTGTTTCTTTTAAAAATTAATGCAATGTTGTGTTCTCTGTGAGCTTCTTTTGCACAGTGTAGACTTTGTGAGTTTTCATTTTTGATGAACATTACCTTGCTATAAGTTTTCTAGGAGAAATAGTACTACCAAAGTGCTTTCAGTATTGACATGACTAGAATTTTACTCATATGTATTTCTACATATACTGGAAAACTTAGAGAATTTTGTTATATTTATAATAAATCTAAATATAGAACCCAGTAATCTCAACACATACACACCATGTATGTGTACATTAAAAAAATTATTTAATACATTCTCTTGGTTCAAAATGAAAAATAACAAACATATCCATTGGGAAATCTGGGTCCTGATCATCCTTCTTCACTCTGTTCATCTGTCCTTCCCCATATAGATAATTATTTTTCTTTGTATTCTTTAGTATTTCTTTATGTGAATACAAGCGAAAACAAAAAAACAATAAATATATATTCTTATTTTTTCCTCCTTCTTACTTAAAAGGTAGTTCATTATATATGTACAGTGTCCTGCATCTTGTTACTTTCACTTAATTGTCTTGGAGATCTTTCTATAGTAGTACACAGAGAACTTGCTCTTTTTTTTTTTTTTTTTGATTACTTCTTTAGTATCTAGTTGTGTACATGGTTCCTTTAACCATTCCCCTATAGACAAACACTTGGCTAACCAATATATTTTTATGTATGTTTTTTAAAACTTCTTCAGGTGGATATGGACAAGAGTGGTGAAATGCGGCTTATAGAACTGGACGAATCTTTCAAAAGTGAACATACTGTTTTTGTAACACCACCTGAGATCCCCCATCTACCCAATGGTGAAGAACCCCCTTTACAGTACAGGTATTCAAGAGGCGAATGTTTGAGATTGAAAGAGAAGCAATCCATCACCTGTGATGTAGCTTTCTAAGGACTGTGGTATTTTCAAAAATCCAAACTTTACAGATCCCTAATTTTTAGGTGGTAAGCAAGCTTATCCCACATCCATTATTAAGTTTTGAGGTATAAAAAGAGAAAATTATAATTTTACATTATATAGACTTGGGAGTGGGAAGTTCTCTATATATTCATAAGTATCTGTTCTCACAAATATCAATTAAATTTAGTTAGGACCTTACTGCACCAAAATGCAGCACTTCTATTATAAAATTTTTATTTTTCTTTCTCACTGAAGCTGGTTTCCTCACTTCATTTCCTTCCCCCCACACACAAGGTTAATGTAACCTTGGTCTACAGAAGTTAAATCTAGTTTACAGTCAACATTTGTGCCCTTGATTTGGATGATATAATTTTTTTGTTATTAATTTTCCTATGAGTTTTTATTTTGTCATGGAAACTCGAAACTATTGGATTGATGATTATTAATTTAGGAAATTTGGTCAGACGCTGTGCTAAGTGCCTGGTGTTTAGACTTGAATGATACATTGTTCCTGCTTTTCAGGCTAGTGGGAAAAACAGAAATGTTCTGAGTGCAGTGAAATAAAGGCTACGATAGAGGTAGCCTTATACATCCATCTAGATATATATTACACGTATACATTGGTTATGTGCTACAGGTCCTTTCCATTATACACTTATTTTCACTTAAAGTGATATTTCCTTTCAGATTTTAAATTAATTTTTATTCTCCAATAATACTTCTATCTTTAACATTCTAAAACCATTTCTCACCTATCATTCATTGTCACAGTGTTATATTTGTTAAAAAAGGATTTCTCTGAACACCCGCACTTATAACTCAGATCTCTACATCTGAAAAAGCGGTGTGTGTGGTACATGTTTGTCAGTGTCGACTTGTTCACAGGCCGCTTGATGCCTGCCCTTTTCATTTAGCGATGATGCTATTCGTATCACTTTTTAAAAGTCTGTCTCTTAGCCCTGGCTGGTGTAGCTCAGTGGATTGAGCTTGGGCTGCAAACCAAAGTGTCACTGGTTCAATTCCCAGTCAGTGCACATGCCTGGGTTGCGGGCTGGGTCCCCAGTGGGGGGCACATGAGAGGCAACCACACATTGATGTTTCTCTCCCTCTCTTTCTCCTTCCCTTCCCCTCTAGAAATAAATAAAATAAAGTTATTTAAAAATAAATAAGTAAATAAAAGTCTGTCTTTTGTCAAAGACATTTAAAATATTTCTCCTAATTTCTCTTTTTCTTTTTAAACATTTCATTTCTTTTTTTGTACATTATACTTCTAAGACTTTTTTTAGTATGTTTACTAGTATATTTTGGGGGATTTTTTTGTGGCTTGGTTTTAACTTTTAATTAAAATTTTACCCCCTGGCTGGTATAGCTCAGTGGATTGAGCACGGGCCTGCAAACCAGACAATCGCGGTTCGATTCCCAGTCAGGGCACATGCCTGGGTTGCAGACCAGTTCCCTGCAGGCCAATTCCCAGCAGGGGATGCATGAAAGGCAACCATACATTGATGATTCTCTCCCTCTCTCCTTCCCTTCCCCTCTAAAGATAAATAAATAAAATCTTAAAAAAAAAAATTTACTTTTAGGTTTAGTCTCTTAATAGGAAAATTACTTAGCTTTAAAAGTTCCCACTTTTTTAAAGAATCTAAGTCATTTTTCCTTCTTGAGACTACCCAGTATAATTTTAGTGTAATCATACCCGTCATTCAAAAAACAACTTTAAATGTCTTCAGTGGAGCACAGTAGGTTCTCTTAATAAGAGATCATTAATATACTTACACCTTTCTATATAAAATGATAAAGCAGTAAATTTCACAAGATACACAGAATGGTCTTATTACCATACCATGTACATACAATGAATTTTGTTAAGGGACATGATTTTCCTGAACTTCTTTGATATTTTATTCCTACTTAATAATCATTACTGATATTTTCTCATTATACTGGATTAATTACACTGAATATAATAGATACAGTTTGCCATCTTTTATTAGAGTTTTCTCCTTAATTAATTAAAACTATATGCCTTTAAGAATATTATAAATAGATTAAGTTTGCTGCTCAGAGACTTCTCCTGTTCTTTTCAGCATGCCTTTTTCCTAGCTACTCCTACTTTCTAAATGTCCAAACACCTTCCTCTAGCACCCAAATTAAACCCACCTCCTCATAGACCTGCCTATTCTCTTCATCTCCAACCTATTCAACTTTCATTTTCATAAATGAAGCCCTGAATCTGCTCGCTGAGCTGATAAACCAATTCATGATAATATGAGAGCTTGTCCTGGTGTGCTAATATGTTATTTGCATATTTTTAAGAGGGAGGGTCTACAGTAATAAGTTAATACAAAGCAATGTATTAATGACTGTCCTGTTTGTAAAAGTATTGATTCGGTGGGTCTTTTACCAACTGTCATATTATCTTATAAGTTTGCTGTATCTTTACATAAATACTAACAAAGTTTGCTTGAGTTTCTTTGTGGTTTGAGTCAGTTCAGCAAAATTCTTTCCTCCAAAATATATATTCAAGTTTATGTTCGGCCATTACATTTCTAAGTATTATATAAAAAAGCAACATTAGCTTAAATATTTGCTGTCTGATGGAGAAACATAGTAAAAATAAATTGTAAGTTAAGAAGTTATTGGTCTTACACTTTTGAGGTTGTAACCAGTATGATATAATAATCTATGTATGCTTGAGTTTGTTTTCTTTTTCTTTTCAAAAACAGCTATAATGGATTTCCAGTTCTTAGGAACAATTTATTTGAGAGACCTGAAGGATTTCTACAAACACAAAAGAGCAGATTGCCTTCAAAATCCAGTAGTCCTAGTAGCCCTTCTCCCATGTTCAGAAGAACAAAACAGGTACTCTGAGAATTTTGCATTCTTCATGTAATCAGTTATTAGAACAAAAATAAGTGACACTCATCCTCTCTTAATATACTTTCCTGCTGCACATGTAGTATGACTACATTAGGCTCCCTGCTGCTTTTTGAAGATAATTTAGAGTGAGTGGACTTCAAAAAATTAACTAGTTCCCTTGTCCTAGAACTTTATTTCATATATGGCATAATACATATTCAAGCAGAGGCTTGAATGTGTATTCATTATAAACATATTTTGTTATGGAAACATTGTGTAAAAGCAGGTGACTTGTACTTGTTCAGCATGCAGTTAAATAAGGATGCTTATGTGTATAAATTTATTAATGAAATCTTTGCATTTTTTTTCTAGGAAATTAAATCAGCCCATAAAATTGCCAAGCGTTATTCTTCCATTCCTCAGATGTGGTCTAGGTGTCTGCTGCGTCACTGTTATGGACTGTGGTTTATTTGTCTCCCAGCTTATGTGAAAGTATGTCATTCAAAAGTCAGGGCTCTAAAAACAGCATATGATGTGCTTAAAAAAATGCAGGCAAAGAAGATGGATCCGCCTGATGAGGTAACACTTAACTTTAAAGTGCATGCATTATTTCTAGTTTTATGTACATAAACATTTTGTTTTAGTACACTTTGAACTTACTGTGTTTCAGGTGTGCTACCGCATTCTTATGCAGCTCTGTGGACAATACGATCAGCCAGTGCTTGCAGTTCGAGTGCTTGTCGAAATGCAGAAAGCTGGTATTGACCCCAATGCCATTACTTATGGTTATTATAATAAGGTAATCCTTTCATATAATGGAGAAAGAGTATAACTTATGTGGTTATACAGTCTTAATTTATGATGCAGTGGTTACCTGGCATTTATTTTAGAGTATCTGAAATATATTTTGTCAATGTTTATGCTATTTTGTGTTATATAGTCTACTTAGATATTTTTTAGTTTGATTTTAAAGTGAATGTGTTCATTTATAAAAATTAATATATTAATTATTTTATTTTACAAATAGGCTGTTTTGGAAAGTACTTGGCCTTCACGAAGTCATAATGGCTATTTTCTTTGGACAAAATTAAGAAATGTTGTTTTAGGAGTAGCACAGTTCAAAAGAGCTTTAAAGAAACATGCACACTTATCACAAACAACTCTCTCAGGTAAGGTATTTAAGGGATGTATGTGTTTAATGTTTTCTTTAAATTAATTGACTACTATGTTGAGGTATGTTCCCTGTATTCCCACTTTGCTGAGTGTTGTTATAAATGGGTGCTGGATTTTACCAAATGCTTTTTCAGCATCTATTGATATGATCATGTGATTTTTGTCCTTCATTTGTTTATGTGGTGTATTATGTTTACTAATGTACAAATATTGTACCATCCTTTCATCCCTGGGATGAATCCCACTTGATTATGGTGTACAATCTTTTAATGTACTTCTGAATCCAGGTTGCCAGTATTTTCTTGAGCATTTTAGTATCTATGTTCATCAGAGATACTGGCCTTTAGTTTTCGTTCTTTGTTGTGTCTTTACCTGGTTTTGGAATGAGGATGATACTGGCCTTGTAAAAAGAGTTTGGCAGTCTTCGCTCTTCTTGAATTTTTTGGGATAGTTTGAGAAGGATATAGATTAGGTCTTCCATAAATGTTTGGTAAAATTCACCTGTCCAGTCTGGTCCAGGGTTTTTGTGTGCCAGGATTTTTTAAATTACTGCTTCAATTTCACTAGTTGTTATTGGTCTATTCAGGATTTCTGCTTCTTGATTCAGTCTTGGCAGATTATATGTTTCTAGAAATTAATTCATTTTGCCCAGGTTGTCCAATTTCTTTGCATGTAGTTGTTCATAGTAATTTCTTACAATCCTTTGTATTTCTGTGGTATCAGTTGTAACTCCTCTTTCATCTCTGATTTTAGTTATTTGGATCCTCTCTCTTTTTTCTTGAATGGTCTCGTTGAAGGTTTGTCCGTTTTGTTTATCTTTTCAAAGAACCAGCTCCTGAATTTATATACCTCTGAATTGTTCTTTTACCCTCTAGGTCATTCAATTCTGACCTGACCTTGATTGTTTCCTTCCTTCTACTCACTGGGCATTGTTCATTATTGTCCCTCTAGTTCTTGTAGATGTAGGGATGGGTTGTTATTTAAGATTTTCTGTCTTCTTTAGGTAGGCCTGTATTGCTATGAACTTCCCTCTCAGGACTGCCTTTGCTGTGTCCCATAGATTTTGGGTTGTTGTGTGTTCATTTTCATTTGTTTCCAAAATACTTTTTTATTTCGTCCTTTATCTCATTGTTGACCCACTCATCATTTAATAACGTGTTATTTAGTCTCTATGTATTTGAGTGTTTGGGGTTTTTTCCTTGAGTTTGGTTTCTAGTTTCAGTCCCTTGTGGTCAGAGAAAATGCTTGATATGATTTCCATTTTCTTGAATTTGTTGAGGTTTGTTTTGTGTCCTACCATGTGGTCTAGCTTTGAAAATGTTACATGTGCATTTGAAAAAAATGTATATTTTGCTTCTTTTGGATAAAAGATTTTATATATATCAATTAAGTGTGTTGGAGCTAGAGTGTCATTCAGTGCCACACTACCCTCGTTGATTCTTTGTTTGGAAGACCTGTTCATGGTTGACTGTGAGTCATAAAATCCCCTGTGATGACTGTGGTGTTATCAAGATCTTTCTGGAAATCCTCCAGGATTTTCTTTATATATTTAGGTGCTACTATGTTGGGTGCATATATATTTACAAAGATTGTATCCTTCTATTGGACTACTCCTTTAAGTATTATGTTGTCACCTTCTTTGTTCCTTTTTATGGCTTTTGTTCTGAGGTCTGGTATTGGCATAAGAACAGATACATAGATCAGTGGAACAGAATAGAGAACACAGAAATAAACCCAAGTCTCTATGTTCAATTAATATTTGACAAAGGGAACATGAGCATACAACAGAATAAAGATAGCCTCTTCAATAGATGATGTTGGGAGAACTGGACTGGTACATACAAAAAATTGAAACTAGACCACCAATTTACACCATACACCAGAATAAACTCAAAATGGATAAAAGACTTAAATACAAGTTGTGATACCATGAAAGTCCTAGAGGAAAACATAGGCAGGAAAATTTTAGATCTCCCACACAGCAATATTTTTGCTGATGTATCTCCTAGGGCAAGGGAAGTAAAGGGAAAAGTAAATAAATGGGACTACATCAAACTAAAAAGCTTCTGCACAGCTAAATAAACCATCATCAAAATGAAAACAGAATCAACTATATGGGAGAACATATTTGCCACTGATACATCAGACAAGAGTTTGATCTCCAGAATGTATAAAGACCTCATACAACTCAACACCAAGAAGACAAACAATCCAATTTAAAAATGGGCAAAGGATCTGGATAGACACTGCTCCGAGAACAACATGCAGCTGGCCTATAGACATATGAAAAGATGCTCAACATCACTAGCCAGTAGAGAGATGCAAATTAAAATGACAGTGAGATTTCACCTCACACCTGTCAGAACAGCCATCATTAGTAAATCAATAAGCAAGTGCTGGTGAGAATTCGAAGAAAAAGGAACCCTAGTGCACTGTTGATGGAAATGCAGATTTGTGCAGCCACTGTGGAAAACAGTATGGAATTTCCTTTAAAAACTAACAGTGGATCTTCCTTTTGACCAGTGATTCTGCTGCTGGGAATATACCCTAAGAATCCTGAATCACCAATCCAAAAGAACTTAGGCACCCCTGTGTTCATAGTGGCCCTATTTACAGTAGCCAAGTGCTGGAAACAGCCTAAGGGCCCATCAGTAAATGAGTGGATCAAAAAACTGAGGTATATTTATACAATGGACTACTACGCAGCAGGGAGAAAGAAGAAACTCCTATCTTTTGCAACACCATGGATGGAACTGGAGAATATTATGCTAAGTGAAATAAGCCAGTCAATAAAAGACAAATACCATATGATCAAATACCATAAACAAAATAAACTAATGAACAAAATAGAACCACAGGTATGGAAACATGGAACAGACTGAATGTGGCCTGAGAGAGTGGGGAGGGGAATGGTGATGGAAAGAAGAGGGAGGCTGTAGACAAAGAACATGTATGAATGGCCCACGGACATGGACAACATATGGGAACTGACTGTTGGGGGGTGGAATGGGGAGAGAAAGGCAGAGAGGGCAAAATCGGGACAACTGTAATAGATTAACAGTAAAAAATGATTTAATACAAAAAATTCACTAGCTATACTTTACATTTTTTAGAAATTTTAACTACTTTCAAAATATTGAATGTTTTCTAGTTTTTACTGCCATTAAGCAAATTCTGATAGTCACATTTAAAAACCACAAAATTCTACTTTTCTTTCTTGTAACTTAAACTGTCAACTGTTGGTTGGCTTGTTTTAGTGTTCATTAACGATTCACAGTAGGGTTCTTTGTTACAGTTGTATTTTGCTAATTATGTGGCACTTTTCATGTTCAGTAGATACTAGCTTGAGCAACAAACTAATATGTGTTTTTGGTATCTCCCCGAGTAGTAAAATGCTGTCAAATTGTGTTCTTAAGCAGATGGCAGTGACCTGGATGCTGTTAGTCATGGCAGCATGGATAGTGGTCATGGGACACACACTGTGGAGCAGGCACCTTTTAATACGGGTTTAATCAAAGTCTATGCTGCCGATGATAGATCTAGCACAGGTTTGTGTGTGCTTATGTATACATTTATTACAGTACATTTAAAACTAGATTTGCTCACCTGTTTTTGGATTTTAATTTTCAATGATGTATCTGTCACTTTTTAATTTTATATGTTAGGTACTTGGTTTGATATTGTATTTAATAACTATATGTAATTTTATGCATTCTTTATTTGATAGAAATAAAAGTTTAAGAGTTTATTTAAGTATTTACTTCATGATAATCCAGTTAACTCCAGATAGCACACAGCTCTCTCTTCATCATATGATTTTTATAAGATGAAGTTTTCTTTGTAATTATGAAAATGTAATTAGAGTTTAAAAAGAAAATGATAGCCCTGATTTGAGGTAATAGTACCATACCAACATACATTTATAGTCTTATGTAAAATACTATTATTAGGGAAGCTGAGTAAAGGGCAAACAGGAACTCTCTCTTGTGAATCTTAAACTATAGTAAAATAAAAAGTTCCAAAAATAATGTAAATATATATATATATAATTTGTAGCATTCTAGCACTGAAGATGTCATTAATTTAATTAAAATGTAACATTTGTAGATATGGTGTTTTTTAAAGAATTTATTTATTTATTTTTAGAGAGAAGGGAAAGGAGGGAGGAAGAGAGGGAGAGAAACATCAATGTGTGGTTGCCTCTCATGTGTCCCCTACTGGGGACCTGGCCTACAACCCAGGCATGTGCCCTGCCTGGGAATCGAACCCTTTGGTTCACAGACCAGCATTCAATCCACTGAGCCACACCAGCCAGGGCACTTTTTCCTAGTAATATTAAAACTGACACATTTAAAAAATAACTTATTTGAATAATTCTGTCATTTTTATTATTACATTAAAAATTTGCACATGATTTTCAAATATAAGAGCCACCTCTTAATAGACAGAAATTTTTAATTTTTAATTAAAATATTCAAGCATTAATAATAAAGTATAAAGGCTTCTACCTCTGCAAACAATAACATTATTTTGATCTCTTTTTATGCCTACTTTTAAGAATATAAATAAAAAGCTAATTGTATTAAAATATAATTTTCATAGTTGGTTTTCTTTGGCTGATTTATTTCTTAATTATACAACATGAAAGTAATCAGAGTTAGTCATCCTCGGGCATTATCTCCTAAAAATGAAGAAGTCTACTTTTTCTTTTTAGCTATGACCTTTTTAAAAAACACTATCTTAAAACAGTACAGAGCCTAATAAAAGCATTTTTAACTTGAAGTTTTTTGGGGAATAGAGATGAAAAATTGATTATCAAAATTATAAATCAAAAGTAAAACAAGTATATTAAAGTAAATATCTAGTGATACCTAACAAATTTTCTTTAGGTAGTTCTTTACAAGTATATAAAACCATTCCATATATAATTTCGTATATAATTATAACAACCTTGTATGTTATAAATGTCATAACTTGAGGTCCACACAAAAAGGTTATATGATTTACTTAAAATTATGCCTGCTAAGGTGGTGAACTAGGATTCAAAACCTTATGTTTTGATGCTAATCTAGTAAAAATAATTTGCTGAAAATTAGAGAATCTCTTTAATACAAGAATGTATAATGTATTAGAAGTTTTCTTGAATCAATGCAACTTTTGTTTTTCGTAATAACTTCAACACAGCTTTTTCTCATTCCCCTTTATTTGTACTTATGTGCAGTTCAGTAATTATTCAATTGAATTGTCAGAAAAAGTAATTACCTACTTAGAAATTTAAATAAACCCCTTTTGGGGGGGTAAAATCATTTAGATGTTCAGCTTCCTGTGTGTGAAGGATCTGTTACAAATTCCCTGCAGATTTTTCTTCTTTGTTGCTTAGTTGGAACTCAGACTTTACCTAGAAAGGTCATGGACTTAAAGAATGTCTGGTTTGTCTGTGCCTTTGGAGCCCAAATAGTAGCATGAATGTATATACATTTGACTGCAGTGTGGAGCCAAAGATAAATTATTTTCAGATTATCTCTTTCTTCCATTAATAGAGATGGAGTGGGGTGAATCTAAGAAAGTGCTTTCAATTGAGAGTTATCCAAAAAAATTCCTATAAGTAAATCCTATCATTAATGTGTTGCTTCTAATTCTAGTTCTCACTAAAGAAGTTTATGATAAATAGCAGAGGGATTTTTTTCTTTTTTTTCAGGTGGCCAGTCTGATCTTGGATATAATTCATTATCTAAAGATGAAGTTAGAAGAGGAGATGCATCTACTGAGGACATTCAAGAAGAAAAAGATAAGAAAGGGAGTGATTCTAGTTCCTGTAGGTATTAAGTTGATATTATATAAAATGATGAACTTATGCTAATAATAAATCCAAGTGGTTTTAAGTATAAAATAAGTTGGTATTGCATAAAATTGTAGATTTATATTAATAATAAATACAAGTGGCTTTAAGTATAAAAGTACTCATTTTCTTCTCCACTTTCCCATTGTAACTCCTCTGGCCTCCCATTGCAAGCCCTCTTCACCACCTTATATTCCAACATTAAACTCTTCATGTGTGAAGGGGATAGTCTCAGTTGCTCTTAGGTTTAACAATATTTTTATCCATTGCTTTTATTAATGGTCTGTACTCATATTTCCCCCATTCCTCTTCCCATCAAAAGCAGTATATTACAAGCAAAGAAGTATAAAGTGTATGCATGGACCTCACCCATGACCAGTATTAGTAGTTGCATACATGCCTTGAGGCCTTGGATCAGTGTAATTCCTTACTTGTGACCGACAGATATAGATGTGTTCAAAAATTTATTACCTATTTTGAGGAGAAATATTCAGAACTAAAAGCTACTTGTAGTTATGCCTTCTGTGATGTGTAAAGATATCATCTTACCAATTTCGTTTTAATTTTTATAGTGTCGGAGAGTGAGAGTACAAAAGGAAGTGCTGATTGTCTTCCTAAGCTCAATTATCAGAGTTCTTCCAGCATAGTTCGCCTCGGTGGTACAGATAACAACAGTGCTGATAAAATTGTGGGAGAAAACACAGGTGAGTTGAATGGTACAGCTCTGTTATGTGCAGAGTAACTGGTATCTGTATTTGTAATGAATTTTTTTTAAATCATAATTCTCCAGGGTTATTTTTTATATATTTATGCAACCTCTTATAGTATAATTTAGTAGCTTGAATTCTATATTTTGTAATACACTTTATTCAAGCCTTTATGATAATAGTGTAGGGAAAAACATACAAGATACATACTATCTTCAAAGTTTGGACTGATGGGACTTTCAGGAAGGAGAAAGTGGGAGCAGTGATTGAGATGATCAGTCTGAGGATACCGTATATTTAGTCAGTTTTTAAATGAAGCATACATATAGTTCCCTAGTTTTCATATTGTTCCTGTTTTTTCAAGGGCAGAAACACAGTTTTTCAATTAGTTTAGGTAACAACACTTCATTTTTCTTTTTTTCTTTTCAAAGTGCATTTTATATGTTATTTTATATTCAACAATACAGTAATGCTTATTATTAGTAAGAGGGCATGGTAGCACCATTTACAAGATGAGAAAACTAAGGCATGATCTGACTGTTGGCAGATTACATAAGTTAACTAGTTTATAGAAAAGTCAGTTTAGGGTTCATGATAATACTTGATCTCACAAATTTTTCATCATATCACTTTTGGGAAGTTAAATGGACATAAGATGTAGATTTTTCTAGTGTTAATAGTCTTATCACATAATTACATTATTTTATTTTTGTAATAGCTCAGTTCTGCATCATGTCATAATCTCAACCAGCAATTTTCAACTGGCATGCTATGAGAATTTCTAAAACATGCTATACCTGACCATTCAGTCGGGGGCACTCACCTCTTTTCTCTTAGATTGTCAAATAAAAAAATGACAGCAACCAATACAACAATAGCGATCTGGTGAGAATGAATCAAAATTATACCTATTTTTTTTGTTAAATCAGAAAAAAATAATACATGTTTTTTGGTATGCTACAGAATTTTAGAAACTAGTTTATGTATGCTGTGAGATGAAAAAGATTGGAAATCACTGACTCAAATAAATACTGAAGGACATGCTTTCAAGGCTGAAATCTCTCTGTGAGTGGGCTTGATGCAGTGATGTTTGTTTTCTGTAACATAGTCAGATATGCCTCAAGCTCAGGCAGTAGGCAGATACAGCCCATGGGCCAGATTGGGCCTGTGGCCTGTTTTTGTATAGGTCCACAAGCTAAGAATAATTTTTACATTTTTAAGTGGTTGGGAGAAAACATCAAAAGAATAATGTTTTATGACATGGAAAATTATATGAAATTTAAACTTCAGTATTCATAAACAAAGGTTTATTGAAAAGCAGCCACACTCATTCATTTATGATTTGTCTGTGGCTGCCTTTGCACTACAGAGTTAGATGATCTAAATTGTCTTGCTTTGCATTTCTTTGTTAGATAATTGTTATAACTTAAACATTAAAAAATTTTTCAATGATGTCATGGAACTCCTTCACAACCATTTAGTCCTTCCTAGTCATTGTCTAATTTTAATCTTCAGTAACTTGTCTTTTGTTTCTTTTAATTGGATTTATTGGAGTAAAACTGGTTAACAAAATTATACAGGTTTCAGGTGCACAATTCCACAGCACATCAGCTGTACACTGTACTGTGTGTTCACCACCCCAAGTCAAGTCTCTGGCCATCACCATTTATCCTCCCATACCCTCCTGTAGCTTCCCTTACCTCCCTCACCCCTTAATAACTTGTCTTTAATAGTCTTCATATTGCTCTTTCATTACTGTCTCATCATGCTTGCCTTTTTCTTAAGATCTGCTTTTATGAACTTGCTATTTTCATATGATTGTAAGCTGTCAGCAGCCGACTCATCATCTGGCTTCTGGTTACCTTCTATGCTTAACAAGTCAACTTTTTGAAGACTGTAATAGGTGTCCTAGGTGTAAATTAGAGTTGTTATTTTATCCTTAAGATTTTTTGGCTTCCTAGAGAGCATTAATGCTAAGTGAAATAAACCAGTCAGAGAAAGACAAGTACCATATGATTTCACTCATGTGTGGAATCTAATGAACAAACTGAACAAGCAAAACAGAGACAGACTCAGAGAAATGGAGAGCAGGCTGATAGCTCTGGGGGGGTGGGATGGGGGCAGTGGGCATGGGGGAATCTAGCCAAAAAGGGGGAAAAAAGAGAAAGAACTTATGGACACAGGCAACAGTGCAGTGATTGCAGGGCCTTGGGGGGTATGGGTAGAGGTGGAACAGGGTTATGGGGAGTAAATAGTGATGGAAAAATACAATAAAATAAAAATAAATTAAAAAAAAAAAGATTTTGGGCTTGAAAACTTTCCCATCTGTTAAGTACTGTGAGTTTATCACTAATGCCAAAAACTATATGTGGGATTTACAAGAATACTTATTTTTCAATAACACCTTTCTTATATACTAGTTCATGCTATGATTCAAAGATATGATAGCTTTCAGAAGATATGGGAGTAAAATTAGCAGAGATGTTTTAATGTTTAATTGGAAATAAAATCATTACCCTGTAGTTACTTCATGATTATCTTGAGAATTTAACATTTCAGTAAATGTATATAAAAGTACTGAGTTTAGCCACAGGACAATTTACTCTGAATATGGAAAGATACTTTTCTAAGCCTAATTCTGGTTTTGGTGTGTTTTTACTTTTTATCTTTAGCTACTGTGTTTGGCTATTACACGTCATATGACAATGTATTGCATACGGTGTGGGTTTAATTTGCAGCAGTTGTTTCACAGCAGACAGTATTCATTCAGTAGTTTTTTTTTTCGGCTTCTACTTTATGCTGCCATATATCAGGTGCTACTGGGGATATAATAAGGAACAAAACAGAAACATGGTCACTGCCTTCATAGAGAAAGCAGGCAGGATGGGAAAACAGTAATCAAATAATAAAAGTAAATATAAAAATGCCCTGAGATTAAATACTGTGAAGAAGGGCTGTAAATTGCCACAAGAACATTTCATAAAGAGACACGTTCTGGGTTTGGGAGAGCATTGGTTGGGGAGGCTTCGTTGAGAATATGGTTTTTGAACATAGACCTGAAGTGTGAGTAGGAAACAGGTGAGGATGGGGGAGGAATTGAGAGGAGCATTCCAAGCAGAGGGAAGCAGTATGTAAACAGCTTTGAGGTGGGAGGGGACTACAGCATGTTTGAAGATCTGAAAAAGGGCTAGTGTATAAGCTAGGAATCCTTTCAGCTTTAAGCCTCAGAAAATATAATTAACAGTAGTTTAACAAGTCAAGGGATTTTTTTGTTTTTTGGGTTTTTCCCCTCAAGGAAGGCATTCGGAAGTAAACAGTTGCCCAAGATGTTGCTTCGGGGGCTTTGCCTTAAGTTCTCTGGACCTAACCATGATTATAATAAGGCCACTGGCAACTTTACACATCAGTAGACAAGGCAGAAAGAATGGGAAAGGGGACCACTAACTACATTTATCCCCTTTTACCATCATTCCAGAAACCTTCAAAAACTGCTGCTTTAATATCACCCGCCAGGATTACATCTTGCGTAGAGCCACCTGGCCCTAGGAGGTTAATAAAGAGTTTGCAGCCTCTCTGTCAGAGGCACGCAGATCCAGAGCAGTTTATATATGTGGGATTTAGCACATGTGTAAACTTAGAATCATAAGTTTTTCTGTAAATGGCCAGATAGTAAATATTTCAGGCCTTGCAGGCCACAACACAGTCTCCTGTCACCTATTCTTTGTATGTGATTTTTAGAACCTTTTTAAAATGTAAAAAATATTTGAAACAGTTCACAGGCCAGATTTGGCTCAGAGATGTAGTTTGTCAATGTCTGGTATAATTTGATAACCATCTTCTTTGGTCTTCAGGCCACAGAGTAGTTCCGATTTTGCAAAGGAGGCCTTGCACATCTATTTAAATGCAATCCCAGAATCCTACAAGTCTTTGATAACATCTGGTATGTCCAGCAGAGAGTTTCCCAGAATATCAGGAAAAAGTGAATTCTTGGTTTCTTATGTACTTAATCATAAGATGACATAGAAAAAAAGAATAAACTTTATCTCTCTGCTATACTGTTTTCCTCTGATATAATGGTATATGCTTATCAAACAATATTAGTTTGTAGCCCTGGCTTGTGTAGCTTAGTGGATTGAGTGCTGGCCTTTGAACCAAAGGTTTGCCAGTTAGATTCCCAGTCAGGGCACGTGCCTGGGTTGCAGGCCAGGTTTCCAGCTGGGGATGTGTGAGAGGTAACCACACATTGATGTTTCTCTCCCTCTCTTTCTCCCTTTCTTCCCCTCTCTCTACAAATAGAATCTTTTTAAAATGTATTAATTTTTAGAAGTTTATGATCTCCAGTATTACCTTTTATCCCTTATTCTGTTACCTGACTGCATCACATGGCAAGGAAAAAGACACATTTTTAATAGTTGCCTGGTTATAGAGAGCTAATTTCATTGGATAAAGCACAGAAAGAATGCTAGTTGACAATACCATACCTAGACTCATGCTTAAGAGGACTCCCACACAGTAAGGACAATGAAAGTGATCAGAAATCTAGAGTTCTGCTTTCAGTATTGGTACCTAAGTGATTTAGTAAGAAGCAGTGAACAGTGTTTCTGAATAGAAAGTGGCCATTCACATTTGACTGGAATAAACTTGCAATCAGTAAGTAAAGCAAAGGTAAAATTCTTTACTCACATCTATAGTCATAAGGATTTGAAGTTTTTCAAATAATTTTTATTTATGGATAGAGCTACCACAGCTGCCTTTTATTTGGTTTGGTTTAGTGTTTGGGGTTAGATTTTCATTTTTATAAGCAGAAGACTGAGACTCTTAAGGTCATCTAACACAGCCACAGTTGTATAACCATTGTTACTTAACCGATTTAATGGAATTAACATGAACTTATTATTATGATTAAACATACCATCAGTAAATATTAACTTTAACTTAAAAGTCTTAAAAAGCTGTACATCCCAATATCGAGGAACAGATGCTTTAAAGTTAGTCAGACCCGAACTGAATCCCAGTTCTGTCATGTAAGGACTGGGTGACTCTGGACTAACTCATTAATCTCTCTGGGTATCAGTCTCTTCCTAACCTATAAGGGTGTTGTAATAATTATGGTAGATAATGTAAATAAAGTGCCTACTATATTATCAGTCAAGAGCAGGCACTGGGTGAGTGCTTGCTATTACCATTTTCATAACTAGTATTTTAAAATTTTGAAACAAATTATATTAGCACATTACATTTTTTATAGCTAAAAACACTTCTTGTTTTTCAGAAAGCACATCTGAGCCACTCTTAATATCATCTTTTGAAGATACAAATGAAACAAGAAACATTCAAAGTAGATGCTTCAGGAAAAGACATAAAAATGATAGTGAACCTAATTTGCAGCAGCAGATGTCCTGGGAAAATAGAAGCCATAATCTTAGTGGAGGAGTAGTGATGGGACTTATGCTCAATAGAATTAACCAGGAAGCAAACCCTGGAGATATGGTTGAAAAATTAGGAGCTGATGCAAAAATTCTTTCACATGTTATCTCAAAAAGCTCAAGACCAAACAGTCTTGATATTGGAAGGCCATCTTTAAGATCAAAAAGAGAGAGTCTAGAAAAGGAATCTAGTGACGATGATACACCTTTTGATGGTCCTAATTGTTTGACAGATAAAGTGGATTCTCCAGTTATTTTTGACTTAGAAGACTTAGACAATGAAACTTATGGGTCCAAAATGGGCTGTGTTGCTACAGAAAATCCCAAAAGAATTCAACGTATGAACAGCAGCTTTTCAGTAAAACCTTTTGAAAAAACTGATGTTGCAACAGGATTTGATCCCCTCTCTCTTTTGGCTGCTGAGACTGAGCAGGAACAAAAAGAGGAGGAAGAAGAAGATGAAGATGATAGCAAAAGCGTTTCAACACCATCTGCTAAGCGTGATTTAGCTGAAGAAATTGTGATGTATATGAATAACATGACCAGTCCTTTGACAAGTCGGACCCCAAGCATTGATTTACAACGGGCATGTGATGATAAATTAACCAATAAGAAAAGTCCAACTTTGGTCAAGGCACGCAGAAGATCCAGCCTGCCTCATAATTCTCCTAGGCTAATGAGACTTACCAAATCTAAAAGCTACACAAAAAGTGAAGACAGACCAAGGGATAGACTCTGGTCTTCTCCAGCCTTCTCACCAAATTGCCCATTTAGGGAAGAATCTCAAGATGCATTAACCCATTCATCACCTTCATTTAATTTGGATACACTACTAGTACCTAAACTAGATGTTCTAAGGAACAGTGTGTTCACTGCTGGAAAAGGAGTTGCAGAGAAAGCCAGCAGATGGTATTCAAGATTCACCATGTATACCACATCATCTAAGGTAAGTTTTGTTGGAATTGTCTCCTTTTCCTTTTATCCTCCTTCACCACTAGAAGTCCCTTACTTGCAAAGATGTCTGCTTTTTACATTCTCCTTAAACACAACTTTACAGAAAGGACTTCTGGGGTGTGTAATGGTTGTAAGTATCAGAATTTGAACTTGAATTAAAATGTCTAAAGGAAAGAAAGTTCACTAAGGTTATATTTATTCAGTTTTAAAAGGTAGCGATTAGTATTTAGAGTAAAAACTAGTGTCATATGAAAATGTTCACTTCATTATTTCCTTAAAAATGCAGGGTTTTTTTCCGATACAATTTCCAGCATATCTTTAGAAATTACCAGCCAGGCATAGAATTTCTCCTGATTAGGATGGAGTAGCTTTCGATAGACCTACATACCTCCTAAGGAAAAAAAGCTAGATGAAATATAGAAAGTAGCAGTTTAAAGTCATCCGAGAACTGCTAAAACAACTCGAAAGTAGAGGGGCAAGATTCTAGAGAGAGGAGAATTGCAAAAGTGAGCTGAAGTTCCACGGCTGCTTTTTCCCTGAGGGCACTTGCTTGTTTTGAGCACAGAGCAATTGGTTGCAAGTCCAGGTTCTGCCTTATCAGAGGACTGTGGAGAGGTGAAAAGGGCTGGCAGAGCTTTGGGGACCTTATAGATCTAAAGAGGCAAAACTGGAGATTTGAGGGTCTTCAAATGTCTTTTTCCTCCAGGACATTTACCAAATACTGAAATGGCATGAGACAGGAAGCTAAAAAGATAAGTAGAAAGTCTCTGAGAGCCAAGAGATCTCAGAAGTTTTATGGTGCTGAGAATACAATAGCTAGAGTTCATGAGCTGCTAGACAAGGGGGTGGTGGTAAACACACCAGGCCCTGAGCTGGAAGTCCTGCAGAGCTATGTATGCCTTAGGAAGAGTGGCAAACTGGAGGTAGGCTGAGCCTCAGCTGAAAGCTAGACTTGACTCAGCTCAGTCTGTGGTTAGATTAAAATAATCAACCTTTATCTGAAAGAGGCAAACGTGTACCCTTTCTGGAGGAATAGAACATCATCTGGAGTCCACACAGTTTTTTATATTCTGTCACTCAATTAAAAATAGCTATACCAAGAGACAGGACCATAACTAAAAAACAAAAGAAAAACAAATGGTGGAAACTGCCCTGGCTGGTGTAGCTCAGTGGATTGAGTGCGGGCCTGCAAACCAAAGAATGTCAGTTCGATTCCCAGTCAGGGCACATACCTGGGTTGCAGGCCAGTTCCCAGCAGGGGATGCATGAGAGGCAACCATACATTGATATTTCTCTCCTTGTCTCCTTCCCTTCCCCTCTAAAGATAAATAAATAAAATCTTTTTTTTAAGAGAAAAAAAAACAAATGGTGGAAACAGACCTTTAGGAGATCCAAATATTTGAATTAGCAAGGAATTTTGAAATAATTATGTTAAAAAGACAGAGGAAATGGTAAAAAAAAAAAAGCCGCAAAGATGGAAAATTGCACCTAATAATTATTTGTTAAGAAGAATCAAGTATAAATTGTAGAACTGAGAAATGATATAAAAATTAAGAATGCAGTAGTTGGGTTTAATAACAGACAAAACAAAGAAAGGCCAAGTAAACTAGATCAGAAATTAATAGAAAATATCCACACTGAAACATAGACAGGAAAAAAAATGAAAAATGCAGAAAAGAATGTAGGGTTTAGTGAAAATACCTGACATTGATGTAATTGAGTTCCAGAAGAAGAAGATGAAGAAGAAAGAATAGTATAAAAGAAACATTTAAAATGCTAATAGCTAAGATGTTGCAAAAGAAAATTAATCAAAGATGTCAAGTTACATGTTTAAAATATCTATAAATCTCAAGCAGGATAAGTATAAAGAGAATTGTATTTAGTCATCTAATGTTGACTAAAGAGATGAAAATGACATACAAAATCTTTAAAAGAGCTAGAGAAAGGGACATATTACCTTCGAAGGGGCGACAATACGATATTGATAGTTGAGCTTTAAACAGAAACGGCGACGTCAGAAAAGACACTGTTAGAGTGCTGAAAGAAAATGACCGCCGACCCGATTTTCTATTCCCGGCAAAAAGATTCTTTAAAAATTAAGGTGAGAGTTCTACTTCCACTGTGGTAACATAAGGCCACTAAAGCCCACCCCTCCATTGATTCCAACTAAAAGCTCCAGCCAAAAGACAAAAAACAACTACCTGAGGGTTCTGAAAAATAAAAGATTGTGAGGAGGGTCTCAACACAGAGATGAATTTCCCATTTTCTTGTCTCATTCATATTTGTCTCAAGATCAGGTCCCTGTCACAATGTAGCAACTCTGGGAGCTAAAACTTTGAGAGAAATTCCATATTTACTGGACAGAGGGACCAGGAAAGGGGGCCTCTGTGCACTGGAAAATTTGAGGGGAATCTGGAAGAAGAGGATTCCCTAATTCTGTGTACGGTCCACACAAGTCTCAACAATCAAAGTACAAGTTATAAGATGAAATAACTCAGTTGACTACCTGCTGAACAAAACCATCAACATTCTCCAAGTGGTTATTACAGTACTCAGACTACACCACAGGACAGTCACAGTGTTTCCAATAAAATCCAAAATTAGCTGATATATAAAGAACCAGAAAAGTATGACCAGTTCTCAAGGGGAAGATAACCCTAAGATGGCCCAATACTAGAATTACAAGACAGGAACCGTAAGCAGCACTTACAACTAGATTCCCTGAGGCAAAGAAAAACACATCTGAAATAAATGAATAGGAAGGAGTTCTCAGGGAAAAAATAGAATTCATTTTTAAATATAACTAAAGTATATTTAAGCATAACTAAAAAAAATGTACTGAAACTCATTGGAATGGATTCATTAGGAGAATGGAGATGACAGTAAAGAGTCTAGAACTACCCAGTTGAAAGGAGAGAGAAAAAAAGTTTTTAATGAAAAATGAACAGAACCTCAGAGATTTGGGGGGCAGTTATCAAAGATGTAACATATAATTAGAGTTTTAGAAGAATTGATGAAAAAATTATGGTAGAAAAGATATTGGAAGAAATAAGGGCTAAAACATACTAGATTCGGTAAGAGATTTCGATTTACAGGTAGACAAAAGAGACTCAGTAGATTACCTACAGGACAAACCCAAAGGAAACTGTGTCTACACGCACATAAGCAATTACTAAAAACAAAAGATATGCATCTACTAATAAGAAAATTATGGCTGAAAAAAGAAAAGAACAAAAAATATCTTAAAAACTGTTAAAGAAAAATAACACATCACCTACAGAGGAATAAGGGTTTGAATAACCACGTATGTTTCATCCTAATCCATGGAGGCAAGAGTACAGTGGAACAGCACCTTTAATAAGTTGAAAGAAAACACCTGTCAGCAACTCAGAAGTCATATCCAGTGGAAATATTCTTGAGGGGTGAAGATGAAGTAAAAATATTTTTAGATAAAGGAAAAGAAATTTTGGCCAGCAGACCTGTTCTGTAAGGTATGCTAAAAGAAGTTCTTCAGGCTGAATAAAAAACAACAGCACGAAGAGTATAGGGAAAGCAAACAGGTGGTAAATAGCTGGTTAATGTAAAAGACCACTCCTTTACCTCTTAAATTCCTTAAAATACTTCTGCATTTCATGAGGTTTCCAATAGATGTAGGTGTTTTATAGTGGTAGAGACTCACCCTACTGACATTTATTATACAGGGTGGGGCAAAAGTAGGTTTACAATTGTCAGTACGGGAATCAACAGTTTATTCTTGTATTATTATTATTTTTTATTATTGCATTATTTTCCATATGAACAACAGTAAACCTACTTGTGCCCTGCCCTGTAGCTATATTATTATATACAAAATGATACAATACTAACTTTAAGTAGAATGAAAATGATTAGGTATATATATTACAATCCCTCGAGCACATACTTAAAAATACAAAGAGATATAGCAAAAAAAATAATAAAAATATTAAAAACAATCTTAAAAATAACAACCAGTAACAACAGAAATAGAAGTTGTATTATCTAGGCAGTAGAATCATAGATATTAAAATTTTTTTCTATCAAAATTTATATCAACCAGACTTTCTTATGGATTATTGGTATAACCAGGAAACAATTTAACTTTGGTGTGTTCTCAAAAGTGAAAACTAGAGATACATGTCTTTGAAACCTGGATTATTGTAGAAAATAATAAAATGTAAACATTAATGAAATTTTAAAAGAATAAAATCTAATTCTGATGGCATCACCCTGGGCTGAGATTCACAGCAAGGAGAAGGAACAGCAGAGATTTTAAAGTCAGCAGGGTTCTCTTGCCAACATTCACTTTGATCTAACTGGAAACTGATCTACAGCATGCGCTGGTCCAAGCTAGTGTGCCCTGGTAAAATCGGCGGTTTTTCCCTGGAAGTTGTAATGTTGATTAACTCATCATCTGAGTAATTAAGCGCTTCCTCTGCCTTAGAAGTGACTTGTTAAATAATAAACTTTAAATATGAAGGAAAGTAAGCTTATAATTGTGTCCTTAGGATCAAAGTTCTGATCGTACCAGTCTTTCTTCAGTGGGAGCCCAGGATTCTGAATCCATCTCTTTAACAGATGAAGATGTCTGCCCTGAGTTGGAAGGGGCCCCTTCCACCCAAGAGTGCGGTGCCGCCACAGGGACCAAGGGAATTGAGTTCAGCAGAACAAGCCTAGAAAGTTCTGCCTCCATAGAAGGTTTGTTCAACAGTTCTGTCTCACTTTATTTGATAGGTAGTACCTTTACTTTTTTTTCTTTATGTTTTGTTTTTGTAAAAACTTTGCATGGCTCCAAAGTCAAAATAATAGAGAACCAAGGCACTTTCAAAGAAGCCTAGCTTTCATTGCTTCTTGCTTCTGGATTTTGAGTCCTAATGGAAAGATTTCCCCACTCATAGGTACATCAGCGTTTTCCTCTGATAATTCCCTGGTTTCCTTTGGAACATTTTCTGGGGTCAGCAAATTTTTTATAGAGGATCACCATATTGTAAATATTTTAGGTTTTGTGGGCTACCATACATTTCCCCTCTCTCACCACATACTCTTTTTTGTCTTTTTTAACAATGCTTTAAAATGTAAAAATCGGTCTTAGCTTGTGACTGTACAAAAATAGATTTGACCCCTGGTTTAGATATTCAATCTATTTGAAATTTACCCTGGTATATGATGTGAGGAATGAATGAATATATTTTTTTCATTTGTACCTTTGCTATTTTAAAAAGCTTTTATTGTGGAAATTTTCAAATATACACAAAAGTAGAAGAAGTAGAACGATGAACTCCCCACCATGTATACTATTCATCCACTTCTAACAGTTAATCTACAAATGGCCAATCTGACTGTTTTATCTTTTCCTCTCTCCCCTTTGCTGCCAACATTCTTTTCTTCCCTACTGGATCATTTTAAAGTAAATTTCAGACAACATATCATGTTGTTCATAAATACTTCAATATGTATCTCTAAAACATATGGGCTTTAATGTATTTTAGCTTATTAAAGTTATTTATTTTTATCTTACTGTGTTCTACATATAATATATACATTTTCATGTACATAAATATATTTCACAAATTGAAGACACTTGAGTCTTCAGGCCCAAATCTTGTCACTGTGTTCATGGATAAACATTATCTTCTAACACTCTATGCTAGCATGTATTTCTTAACATTTTATGGACTCATATGGTGTGTGTCTTTTATGATACATTTTTTTGATAATTTAATTGTCATACCATTTGTACTTTCTTTAATCCTCACCCAAGGATATGTTTATTTACTTTCGAGAGAAAGGAAGGGAGGGAGGGAGAAACAGAGAAACATCAATGTGAGCGAAACATTGATCATTTGTCTCCCATATGCGTCCCACCCCGGGCTGGAACCTACAACCTGGGTATATGAGCCCTGACTGGGAATGGAACCTGCAGCCTTTGGGTACAGGATGATGCTCCGACCAACTGAACCACCTGGCCAGGGCAACCATTGTATTTTCTAATGTGATACTAGTTATTATATAACATCTTATATTAAATATTTAGTTAGAATTCTTACAGTTATCTCATAAAGCTCTTTTTTAGGTGATTTGCTCAAGTTAGGATCCAAAAAAGGTCTACTTATTGCCTTTGGTTGATATGTCTATTACTCCCTTTTATCTTTGTTCCCTCTTTTTTTCCTCCCTTTGAATCTCCTCCCTCTTTTTTTTCTTTTTCTTATTCTTTTTTTACAGTACTAGAATAATTTTGTGTGCTAAGCAAGTAAAACATAACTCATGCCCTGGCCAGGTGGCTAAATTAGAACGTCATGTTCGATTTCCGGTCAGAACCCCTACCTAAGTTGTGGGTTCGATCCCCAAGTCAAGGCACATAGAGGAGGCAACCTATTGATGTTTCTCTCTCACACCAGTTTTGCTCTCTCTCTGTCTCAAATCAATAAACATATCCTCAGGTGGGAATTCTTTTTAAAATACCTTAGCTCACAACCTGATGCATATTTGTTAAAATAAAATATTTATTTTTTGCCGACAATTAATTATGATAGATACAAAGGTGCTCAACAAAGAATTAAATTAGTCCAGGTGAATAGAGGTATTAGATAGCGACTCTGAACTAGCTTTAGAACTGCAGTTCCCACCAGCCCTAAGATCTAAAGGACGATGTGAGGCTTCAGCTCTCTCTCTCTCTGCCTCTCTATGTCTCTGTGTGGCAGGGCCTAGGGCCAGTGGTAGCTTTGGAGCTACCTTTCCTCTCCCACCCCCTCTCACCCTTGTCATTTATTTGCTGAATCAGTCAGGTCATCAGTCTGGATTATGCTGATTGCAGCTTCATGGTGGTATTTAACATGTTTTCCTATCCTATTTCTTGTGACTGGTCATTTATAGCATTACTTTTTTTTTACCTTTATATCTACTAAAATACCAGTGGTAATTCATAAAATTTAGTAACTACTAGGAAAAATGTGTAGAGAAGGCATAGATAACTTTCAGTTTTACTAACAAGATATAGTCACCATCAGCAAATCATTTCTATGATTTGACCATAGAAATCCCCTTACTTTTTGTTGTTGTTGCTTTAACACCTACTAATATCCCATTGCTCATAAGTGAATACTTGGAAAGTCCTAGTGTTTAAGAGCAAGATTACTATACTAGATTCTAAAAGATCCTTTCATGATTTGAAATAAGATAAACTATTTTATACCCTTTAGACCTTAGAACCAAACATTTTCTTGTATTTTAAGCATGGAAAAACACAAACATCAAAACAGTAATTGCAAACAGCTAGAATGTCTTCTAGTCTGTACACACAAGTGCTCAGTGAGTAAGTGGCAGATGAACACACCCAGCTCTTCAGGGTCAGAAGACTCAGAGCACATTCTTTAGGTTTGTACTGAAAACAAAAATGCATGCAATGCATTGTTTCATTGTTTATTTGTTTTTTCTTAAGTTACCTTTACTATTTTGAATAGAACAGTTAATGTTTTATCAGAGAATTTATGAAAGTGAAAAATTCTTATCCTTTCCCATTAATTTTAGTGGTTTTACTCTGTTTTTTAATAGGGTCCCTCTCAAAGTTTGCCTTACCTGGGAAGTCGGAGGTGGCGTCTCCCTGTAACGCAAGTAATACAAGTATCTTCCAGAACTATGCAATGGAGGTACAGTCTGAATCAAAGGAGCACTTTTCTGTACTCCTTTATGAAGTTTACATTTCTTAAGTATTGGTGGTCTTCGGTAGAGTAATGGGATGATAAATATGTAACATCAGAAATTTGGAAAATGTATATGATGCACCTGAGTAAACATAAAATATCTAGTATTCCAGATTATTGAAGACATACTACTTTACCTCTGTTGGGAAAAATTCTATGCTTCCTTTGACATTTATAAACACAAAAAAGCATTTTCATTTTCAATATTTATATTTATCCCTTGCTACCTATATGTCCTCTTTGTATTTTTATTTTACATCTTAAACACTTACAACCAGTGCTGCTGTGCAAACACACCTGTTTGATGAGGGGCGGGGAGCAGCTTTGGCATTCGTGTCAACCTTGTCTATCACGTTCTTCATCCTGCGTCAGTTGATGTAGCGACTGCTGGGCGTGCCGTACCTCATTTTCTTACATGAGCAAGTTATTCTTTCACCCTTAAATTTTTTTCCTAATTTTTGGGTAAAAATTGCTTTCAAATACACTTGGGAGTATTATTGCTGTTTCACACTAATTTGCATAAAATCGGAAAATAAATTTGTATGTAGCTGAAAAATAAATGATGAGTACTGATGTTGCAGTTTACAAAGTTTATGAGGACTTCAGGGATTTCTGTATTTTATTAATGTAAAGACACTGTTTATATTGATCTATAGCAATGCTTCTTAAACTGTCTATAGTGATAGAACAGGGGTTTTTCTGTTGTTTTTTAAAATTTCCAGTCTGTCTCGATGGATACTCTTGGAAAATATATTGATCAGACACTTAATGTGTTATAGTAATGAAAGTTACTCTAAAGGTTTCTAAGTCATCCCAGTTTTTTTATTTACCACAAACCGGTAAGAGTCTGTGAACCAACACTCGTTTAGTGACCACATTTTGAGTAGCACAGATCTGTAACACATATATAATTATAAATATTCATTTTTGGTATTAACAAATTAATGCTTATTTTCAGTATTAACAAATTAAAAGCCATGGTTTTTATGGTAATTAAACAGCAAAAGTGCTCAGTTAAATGCAAGCTTCCTTTTAAGGCAAGAATTTTGGAATAGACTTAGCTGAAATAGTTAACGATGAGTATATTATATAATGCACTGATTCTGGTTGTTTTGTTTGTAATTTCTGAACCCTTCTGAGTTTTATTTCACCATTAGGTTCATGAGTGACACTGGTTTTTCATTTACAGTTTGCCCAACCAGCTTATGTTGTGCTGCGCTGTTCCCTCCCACAGGTTCTCATCTCAAGTTGCTCGCGGTGCAAAACTTGTGATTGTCTTGTCCATGACGAGGAAATCATGGCCGGCTGGACAGCAGACGATTCAAATCTTAATACGACATGTCCATTTTGTGGCAATCTTTTCTTGCCCTTTTTGAATATTGAAATAAGGGATTTAAGACGACCTGGGAGGTAATGATTTATGGTTTTTTTTCTTTATGTTTGAAAGTCATGTTTCCTAGAATCTCTCTTTTTTCAACTAACTCCTTTAATTCACATTACAGATACTTTTTGAAATCAAGTCCATCTACAGAAAGTATGCATTTTCCAGCCTCCTTCTCAAGTCAGACAAGGCCGTCTTGTATCTCGACATCAGCCTCTGGTCTTGACACATCCATTATCTCTGTTCAAGGGGATTTTGGTTTAAATAGGTGAGTGTGGTTATATGGAACTATATTTTAACAATTTACATTATACATATTTTTTATAATGACAAAAATTAGCTGACAATTTTAAGGTTTAAATTTCATAGTAGATTCACACTCTTAAATTCTTCTAACAATATTAAAATTAGCTAATGACCTAAGTGTTTCCAGGGGTACCCAACCTTTTGTCTCTGGTCCATGCTGGAAGAAGAGTTGTCTTGGGCCACACATTAAATACATTGTGACATGTAATCACAAAAAAAAACTCAATGTGTTAGGTAAATTTATGATTTGTGTTGGGCCACATTCACAGGTATCCGGGGCAGTCTGCAGGCTGCAGGCTGCGGTTTGGACACCGCTTTAAACAGTTGTAGTCTGTAACTTTAAACAGTGATAGTTTATGCTTTATGAATCCCCAGGGTGTAAGCTGTATAGTTCATATATAATAATGTTTACTGGCATTTTAAAGGTAAAAATTTTATTGAACACTTCTCTCTTGTCTCTATCTCTTAGGAATTAAGTTAGTACTACTATTGTAGAATATTTAATTTTCTACTTAGAAATATTTAATAATCTAAGAAAATATTTGGAGCTAATAAACCATAAAATTAAACTAAGACTTACGCAGCAAGCCTAATATAAATAAATCTGTGCTTAAAGCAAATGCATAAATCAACTTCACTTTGGAAAAGCATCATAGTACAGCTGAGCAGATGAAGCTATTTTGCTGACTGCATGTGCAGAAGATAATGCCCACACAGCATCGGCGGTCTAACACCACCTGCATGATCCTGAATGCTGAGGCAGCAAAATTGCCAGCCTGTGTCTTTCATCACAAGACTGCTGTGGCCCTTTCTGTGACTGCCAGTAGCCTATGCACGGTGGGGCTCCCCTTCCCACTGGCTGAAGGAACAGACGCCTGTTTTCTGTTTCGTATCCTCCAGGCCTACTGTGTATCACAGTTGTCCACGAAATGTTCTAGATAATTGAATGACTCTTGAATAGCTAAAGTTCCCTGGATAAAAGGGAATTTAACGTGATTAGACTACTTAAAAATATATCCTTTTTCCCAGCTGAAGCCTGAGTTCCTTGGATTTACTTTGCTATGTCCAGCTCTCATGCTGAAGAGAAGAATATGGTCTTTCTAGATGAAATAAAGTAAATCTAGACAATGATATGCTTTTTTCTTTTTTCATTGCCCAAGCAAATCCAAACTACTGGAGAACACATATGCCCGAAGTATTCAGATCCCCGCCGATAGATCAAAAACAGCTGTGTCAAAATGTCCAATATTCCCAATGGCCAGGAGCGCCAGTACTCACGGTCCGTTGGATAAGGAGGACGCCGGAGGGCAGAGGCTCATTCCTACCGGCAGTCTGCCGGCTACTTTGCACGGAACTGCAGTATGTGTTTTGGTGTTTCTAAAAATTTGGACATTGGTAATTTACATGATTTTGTTCACCTTGTCTTAAGCATCCTTATTAGCTTTAATTTTATTATTGTCAAGAAAAGTCTCTTATCCCATGATACAGTTATGGTACCTTCCTACTTACGTGGAACACATGGACAGGAATTTTCTTTTAAAGATTTTATTATTTATTTTTACAGAGAGGGGTAGGAAAGGAGAAAGAGAGGAAGAGAAACATCAGTGTGTGGTTGCCTCTTGCTCACCCCCTACCCGGGACCTGACCTGCAACCCAGGCATGTGCCCTGACTGGGAAACAAACCAGCGACCCTTTGGTTTCCAGGTCCACACTCAATCCACTGAGCTACGCCAGCCAGGGCAGACAGGAATTTTTTTAATGACTTAGTATCATCAATCTGGTTTATCATTTATGGTTTTTTATTTATTCAACAGGATTCTCTAGGATTAGAATGGCACCTCCCAAGTCCGGACCCTATCACTGTCCCGTATCTCAGTCCTTTAGTGGTATGGAAGGAACTGGAAAGCCTATTGGAAAATGAAGGCGATCGTGCAATAACAGTGGCAGACTTCGTGGACCACCATCCCATTGTGTTTTGGAACCTGGTGTGGTATTTTAGACGTCTTGACTTACCTAGTAACTTACCTGGATTGATTCTTTCTTCTGAGCATTGCAACAAGTATTCCAAGGTATGAGAGTAAAAGTTAACTAAAGGACAATGGTGACAAATGCTGTTGTCACCATTGTAATGTCTGCATAGTCCTGATGACAAAAAAGTAATGCTTACGCTCTTTTTAATAGCCACCTTAATCACTGGAGTAATAAGATTGTTCTAATGTATTTACAAATAGTTTTTCTTCTTACAGCCTAAATCCTGTTTTTTAGCCTTCTTGTGGAATTTATATAAAATGGCCTTGAATTTTTGTTATAGCCTCAAGAATAAACTGTAAATGACTCTTATGAGAAGAGTTTGTGAGTTGGCCCCACTTATATCTCATATCTCCTTCAGAAACAAGCCTAACACTTCTTTAAGAGGATGTCTCTAATGCATATTGCAATCATGTGCTGCCATTCTCTTCATTCCTTTACTCTGAATTTTTGCTTACCATTTAGGTGATGAGCATGTTCTATGTTTATTTGTATTTTTGATATATTGTTCCAGAAAAGTGTTTTCACTGTTTCATATGCTGTCACCACTAGTAAATCACAGAGTCTCTAAGTGCAGAAACTTGGTCTTCTCCTTTCTTGTACGTTGTTTGTGGTTGTGCACACGCTTTGGGTTTTCAGTGCATGGCGAACCAGTGGCCAAAGGGCAGCTCAGTCAGCTACCTGGGCTCAGGTCTTGGACTGGTGTCGAATGGGGCTGCTGGGTTTATCTTCTGTGGGAGCCTTGAAGTAAGCTGGTAGAGATTAGTGCTCCATGCTACCCTTTCTAGCTGATCTCAGCACTTTGTAAAATCAACTTTAGAACAAAGATCACTTTACTTTAAAGATCTTTAGATTCTTAACTCAGCCCCATGTAAAATGCATACCAACCAGTCATTTTCTGTTCTCTTTTTCTCTTGCACCATTCATTCGTCCTAAAAATTATTTTTATAAGGATCTTTATAAGATACTTATAAAACATTGTGTAAGGATCGCTAATGAATGCTCATTTATTCTTCAATACAGATTCCCCGCCACTGTATGTCTGAAGACAGTAAATATGTTCTGATACAGATGTTATGGGACAATATGAAATTACATCAGGATCCGGGACAACCCTTGTACATCCTCTGGAACGCCCACAGTAAGTGCTGCCATCGAGTGTTGACTGTGTTCATAGGAGATTACTCTCTGCTGACTTTATATAGCCTGAACTAATGCATATCTGACTTGTATTTTACTGTACTACTTTTTGTCTTACAGGTCAAAATCGTACTCTTTTGTTTGAGAGTGAGTGTTAAGTTTGCTGTTTTTGTCAAGGGATGTTTTTTCGGTAGTGCTAGAGGGGTTCTGTTTTGCAGAGCTCTGCTTTTAGCGCATTGCTTATCCCATTGCTTCTTTTCGCTGTTTTGTTTGTTTGTTTCCATCCCAAGCTGCTGATGTAGAACTTCCCCCAGGGGCTGTATTAAGGAAAACAGTATTTTTCATTTTTGTCTTTGAGACCACAAAAAGCTTTAGGCCTTTTCTTATTATTTTATCATGATTTGTCTTATGTTTTTTCTTTTTACATTCTTAGATTTCTGTCCCTTTATCTGTTGCCCTTAATTTGTTTTTAGTGCTTTGTGACTTCTTTGATAGAACAGTTGCTGCTCAGTCACATTCTCCTTTCTGCAAAGAACATTTTCCTTCATCTGCTCTTTTGTTGTTTCACAGCCCAGAAGTATCCAATGGTGCATTTATTGCAAAAAGGTGATAATTCATTTAACCAGGAACTGTTAAAAAATATGGTAAAAAGCATTAAAATGAATGATGTCTATGGACCAATGAGTCAGATTTTAGAAACTCTGAATAAATGTCCTCATTTTAAAAGACAGAGGTAAGTCATTATCTTGAATGAGTGTGTTGTTTCTCTGAGCATATTCATATCGTTTGCTTGGTAATTTGTTAGGATATCTCATGCTTGTGTTAGCATAGAAGTTTTTGTAGAGCTTACATAGTAATATCTTCTCCATTCCTTTCCCCTCCTAGGAGTTTGTATAGAGAAATACTATTTCTCTCACTTGTGGCACTGGGAAGAGAAAACATTGATATAGGTAATTCGGCATAATATATAATGTAATATTTATATATCATAGCATAGTTTTCATATTGGCAGTCTTTACTATTTTAATATTAAATTATGTTCATATTTTAGAATAATTATTTTTTGATATGAGATACTTCAACATTTTGGTAATGTTAATAATAAAAATAATAAAAGGTAACATAGAATTTTTATATAATCCAGCAATTCCGCCTGTGGGTATATACCCAAAAGAATTGAAAGCAGGGCCTCAGAGAGGTATTTGTGCACACATGTTCACAGCAGCATCATTCACAGTAGCTAAAATGTGGAAACAGCTCAAGTGCTCACTGAAATGTGAAGGAGTGAACAAAAGGTGATATATACATACACTTTAAATATTATTTAGTCTTAAAAAGGGAAGAAATTCTGACATATGCTATAACATGTGTGAACCTTGAGGACATTTTGTTAAGTGAAATAAGCCAATCACAAGACAAATACAATGTGATCCCGTTTATGACGCACTGAGAGTAGTTAAAATCACAGAGACAGAAAGAGAAGAGTAGTTGCCAAGGGCTGGAGAAGGGCAAAATGGGGAGTTACTGCTTAATGGGTACCGAGTTTTAGTTTCACAAGACGAAGAGAGTTACAGAGGTGAACAGTTATAATGGTTACACATTATAAATGTATATTTTGAACTGCATAGTTAAAATGGTTAAGATGGTAAATGTCGTTATATATGTATTTACCACAACTTTAAAATTTGATGAAAAACTCATTTTAAAAAGTTGGCATCTTAAAGCTTTAAACTCCACTGGTCCGTGTAGTCTCGCCCTACAACGCTGGGGCCTCCGACCTCCCCACGCCCTGGCTCCGAAATGTGGAGTCCTTCTTCAGGCCACTCCCCAGGGGTGGCCTCGGATTCCTTCTCAGCCTTTAACCTTGCAGTTCTGTACTGGTACAAAACTTGGTTGTTGTCAACATGAAATATAAATTTTTTATGCCTTCATTTCTTGATACACTTTTCAGATGCATTTGATAAAGAATACAAGGTGGCGTATGATCGCCTCACACCCAGTCAAGTCAAGAGCACGCACAACTGCGACCGGCCACCAAGCACCGGCGTGATGGAGTGCCGGAAGACTTTCGGAGAGCCTTACCTTTAAGATGTGTGTGTGTGTTTGTGTGTGTGTGTGTGTACTTCCAACGTGTCTTGTATAGTCAGTGCATAAAATAACACTTTTAGACTCTAAGCTTTTTTCTTCAATTTTTGAAAATACATTTGTAAATGGTCCGGAATGTCCATACAGCTTATGTACAGAATGTTTTAAGAAGAGAATAGTGACAAGTGGGGAGAGGGCCACTTTGTTTCCCATTTCCTTTTTTTTCTGTACTTTCCCTGCAACAAGTAATTATTTTTGTGATGAGGAAATCCCTAAGTGAAGGTAGTTCCCAGAAAATAAAACAACCGCTTTATGGTTTCTCTTTGACGAGACATATGAAAACTCATGTATGGAACTCGAACATATGTGGAGTCAGAGTATCTCCTGTTTTCATAGACTAGTCAACTGTTTTGGCCATGAAGTTGTATTATACATATTTTAAATTGTTTATAGTAAGTTGATATTTTTTTAATTTTTAAACTTAATATAGCAAACTTAAAATGAACTTAAACTTATACAGCAAGCAATTAAGTGCTTATTTTCCTTGTCTGCTATTTGAAGTAATTAGTTCAGCTGCAGATCTGTATATGTATATCTATTTTTTTTATTATTTGGCAGAATGACTCAAACATGTCAGTGCTCGTGCCCGTGCTGTCCTCCTAGACGTGCATGTGAGACTCCTGAGCCTGCCTGCAGCGAGTGAGTGGCGGCAGGGGCGTGCACTGCTGAGGCTGACTCGTTGAGCCTGTGCACGGAGCGCCAGGGAGGGCCTAGGCCTGCTTCTGCAAAGTCAGGTTCAGCACACCACAATTCCAAAAGTGCTCTGTTGCTGATGCATACATACAGTACACAGGGAAAATAGCCTCCAAAGCCAAATATCCATTTAAATTTTAATACTCTACATAAATATTTGTGTTGGGAAATATGTCAATTTATGCTTTTCCAAATTTTAACCTTAATATCTAAAATATTGGGTATGATGCAAATTGTACTATATTTATCAGAAATATGACCTCCTGGAGTCCTCTGTTAATATTATATATACATATAAATATTCAAAATTTTTTTCAAAGTAGAAAAGTAATAAATGAAAGTAAAGCCATAGAGAATTTCCCATATTGAGGAACTTGGCTTTTTCAATAAGCCTTGGAATCTGAAGTTTATGGAATCTAAAGTCCAGAAATATCCAAAGATCAGACAATAATCTGAATGTTTAAATGCCGTGGGCAGACTCTAAAATAGACTCTAAAGAATATTTTTAGTCCCATTATTTCTAATACCACTTTCTTTGGGTAATTCTGACCTAGAGTATTCTTTGGCTGTTAGATTTCATAGATCTTCAGTGTGTGTGTGGGTGTGAGTGTGTCTGCACACAGTGCCATAAGGAAGGGACTCTCTAGTCAACTGCAAAGGAAAGAGTGGGTGGTCCCAGATTATGCGTGTAGAGCTGGTGGTGCCAGGACATTCGGACTGCAGATGTCGTGGAGTCCTAAGACTTAGAATCAGTTCAGCTGCAGGAAAGCCACCTTTTCAGTTCACACCATAAGTGAGTATCACCAAGCTGAAACATTTCACAGCTTTTACTCTAGGAAATAATGGGGAGAGTTTAAAAATGTAAAATTTTAGTTTGGTTAGTTTGGGGCAGAACTTGCTTACTTGAAAAATCTGGTGCTACGCACATGTATCTGCCTCTCCTTTGTAAATACCACTCCAATTTTATCTTTCAGTATTCAAATCAAAGTTTCACATTCTAAGTGAGTCTTAGGTTTTTCTAAATCACTTGTAAGGTGTCCAAGTGAGAAACATGTGATAGGTGAGGCTTTGGGCATTGGCCACAAACATCTCTCCAAACAGGATTCTGGGGTCTGAGTCCATTTTTGTTCTTGTTTGTTTTTTCCCTTGTAAGAGCAGCTTTCACCATTGTGTACCTTATCTTTATCACAATATGAATCAGTTTATTGACTTCAAACATCTAACCAAAAAAGATGAGGTAAAGCCCATTGTTCTGTGGTTCAAACTTATTGGGAAAAGTGAATGTAATTTGTGTCTTCTCCCCACCCCCGAGTTTTGTTTCTGCTTTTGGCTGGGTTTTGTTTCCCCTACTTTTAATCCCCAGGGAATATTATTTGCACAAATTTGGTCTTTAAAAACCCTCAAACATGAATAGGAAGTGGTAAACTCTGTTCAAAACGAAATTAAAATATAGATCATCCTTTAAAATAACGCTATACGTACTTTAATTTTCTCTCTGTTGACCGTACATGTTGGAGAACTGTGGCCACTTGTGTGGGAGAGAAATACCCTTTGCTACGTTATCTTTCTGTCATTTTCTTATTCTGAGTTTGTTTGTGTGTCTGATAGTTGAAAATAAATCATTCCGTGTCCTGGTCCAACTCGCTCACTACTTCATTGTGTTTCGAGTGTCACACGTTTGTCTTTTGTATCGTATTTCAGTGTTCAGCTTTTTCATCCTGTCGTCAGAGAGGGAATTGTGCAGCCTGTTCACTTTCTGACTTTTCTGATTATTTGGGGCTTTTTGTTTTGTTTTCTTTTTTCTTCCTTTTTTCCCTTAGCTTTAAACCCTAAAACCACCAGCCTATTTTATTATAAGGTTTTCTAATGACTTTCCATTTTTGTATCTATAGCAATGGCCCCCTAAAAATGTTAGTTCAGCATTTTAGGTGATAAGACTTTTTACTTTATGCTGGGAGTTACTAAGATATTCTACTGCACCTAATAAATGGTAGCCTGCTGTATATAGAAGGCTGTTCTGTTGTACTGTAAATACTTTATTAGTATGTGGTAAGAAAACACACATTTGTATGGTGATGTGTGGGAGCCCTCCTTCGTTTTTCTCTCTCCCACTAGAACTTGAAGGCTGCTGTCAGGCACTTTATCTCAGAGCAGGAAGGGAAAGAGCAGGCTGCCCTTGGCCCACCTTTGTGCTGGAGTTTGCATGCTCTGCCCTTTCTGTTTAGGCACAAGACTGACTCCTCTGATAAAGTCATTGTGGCCCTTTGCCCAGGAATGAACAGCCAGGTCTCGAGCTCTCTCTTTGCACCTTTCGTAGAGACTAGGCCCACCTGCAGCAGGATCTGCCCACAAAAAGGGGGTCATAACCAAGGGGGTGTTCTTTGGCACATAAGGTCAACCAGTTCTTCATTTGTATCTACCAGGCTTTGCCCAAAATACTAAATTCCAAATCTGGCTGCCCTTGGTGTACTCAGTCTTTAAATAGGTGATAATTAGGATATAGACAGTACTATAAAAGGCCAACCCTATAACTTGATAGAAACATTTTCAGATGAGAGTGCAATATAATGTTTACAATGTATAGTGACCACTTAAACATATACCAGTTTTCATAAGTTTAGAATTCAGCCTTTTTTTTCCTGGTACTATAGAATATTAACCCATTAAATTATGAACAGTTTCACATTTTTAGAAATTTGACCCAAATTTACGACCAGGGTCATGAAGAAAATGCAGCCTCATGGGGGATGGAGGAGAAGTCATGTGTGCAGCCAGCCTTCTGATTAGACCCACGTGGGGACAGTTCAGCCCTCCCAGGCTGATGGGTGAACAGGATACATACCAAACGAGAGGACCATCTCACCATTATCTCAGCATTTTAAGAGAGTACTTCATCTCTAAAACACAGTTTTAATAAATTATAGATCTGTAAATGTATGATGAAAAATTTAATTTCCAAGCATAACAAATTGATCTTTTAGAAGTTACATAAGCTTTCCATCTCCCTGAAATTTCCCCCCTCCCCTTATCCCTGCCCTTGAATTCCTACTCACCTGTCAAGATTCAGCTTTCATTTTATGTACTTGACCCTTTCTGTCATAGTGTAAAGTGATCAGAACTCCTTTCTAGGCAAGGAGAAATGCCAGAAACTCAGCACACTGACCAGGAGAAGGGTGTTAGGTCATTAGAGTTGACTTTAATCATGAGGTGGCTCTCCAGTGCTTTATCACTGCAGAAGGTCCCCCTGCCTGTCACTCCCCACTCAGTCATTCTGGGACAAGCATCCGCCCTGGGCCAGCAGAGCAGAGGTGAATTCCCCGAGGCTAGCTGGAATTGGCTGCAGAAACCAGGCTGGCTCCCGGTCTTGGCACTGGGATCTCCCTTCCGTCAGGATTGTTCTCCTATTCTTAAGCCACGGCACACGGAGCCCCGGCGGCTCAGCAGCCTCAGGACTGAGGACAACTAACTTAACGACATGGGGTTTGGGCATGATTCCATACTCTTCATCAGCCTTCTCTTGAGCATTCTGACCCAGTGACCTAAAGATACAGGTGACTCCATCTATGTTTATAAAATAAAACACTAGTGGGACTCACAATTGATTGAAATTGAATTAAAGTCATTTCCAAAGAATGTGAGTCCTGGGGTAGTGAGGTCACTAAATTAACTCCTTTTAAGAGATGGATTATGGATAAAGTACTTTGAACCCAGCCCTTCAAAACCAAAATGCTTAATTTTATTTTTTGTATCATATCTGTCCTGCTATCTTCTAGTCTTCAGTGAATCCTCTCTCATGTCTGTAGGTAAACCTGTATTTACCATCATAGTCTGTAGTCACTGCGGCTTCCTTTGCTCCAAAACCAGGGACACAGAACTGTTTCATTTCTAATGTGTCCCTTAGCTCGATGCTAGTAAAAGCAGCAAGCAGTGCTGTTTAATACACAAGCACTTCAAATTCCACATGAAATGTTCAACCACACAATTTTTGAAAACAAGTGTTCTTTGCACTAGCTACCTAGAAATGGTAATGCTTCTTTTCCTTAACAGGTTGCCACTGTGCTGAGCATTTGGCGAATTTCTCCTTTGTAATTGTCTTAACACCCACTTGGAAGCCACACAAGAAATCAGTTTTCTTGCTCTAGATAATATTATCTAAGTTAACATACGAAAGTGGTGTTGCCCCCCCTGGATCTCTTTGGGTTTTTTTTAAAGATTTTATTTATTTATTTTTAGACCGAGGGGTAGGGAGAGAGAAAGAGTGGGAGAGAAACATCAATGCGTGGTTGCTTCTCATGTGCCCCCTACTGGAGACCTGGCCCACAACCCAGGCATTTGCCCTGACCCAGAATCGAACTGGCAACCCTTTGGTTCACAGTCCAGTGCTTAATCCATTGAGCCACACCAGCCGGGGTGGAGCTCTTATTTTATAAACCAGATTTGCCTCTACTGACTTTGAACTCTTGACCTTCTCACTCACTACAAACAGCTGTCACTGTTGGTAAGAATATGCTGGAGGGACACAGCCAGTACAGCTGTGTTAAACATCTAATCCCTCAAGGTGACCACTTGCTGGAGACAGTGCTAACTTGGATTTTAAAATACTTGTTTTCTAATAAGTACATATTTTTAAATAGCCCTTACAGTAGTTTTCCTTCCCTAATATCCATCCTTCCAATTCAAGGGCAAATTACCAATTTTAACTTCTTGGGTTACTTATTTTAATTTCACTTTTCAGAAATGCATTAAGAGCTAATGTAGTCCTTTTAAGCTATAAAATATTGGTACATGTTTTACCAATGATAACTGATTCCTGTTATACTTCATTTTTTTCCTATAACCTTAGCTTTTCAAACACACCCATAACTGAACTGGGAATGATTACAAACCTGGTAGAACCTCAGGTTTTTAACAGAAAAAGAGGAGACAGCACATCACAGCCTGTGTTTGGGGCAGGAGCCAGAAGGGTCAGGTACATCTGTCTGTACCTTTTGGATCAGCAGCCCTTGAATGATCGGGGAACCGTAAGCATAGGAGCTTGTCATTTTCTACCTGTCCTGCCCCTCACCCCAATTCTCTCCTGTAGAAAACCCTCTGACTCCAAGGGTCCTTCTGGTCCCCACAGGACAGCCAGCCGTCTGTTTCAGTCAGGGGTAGGAGCTCCACCCCTCCAGAAGTGAGATGGTGAATGCACAGCAAGCTGCATGCGTTTCACTCCTGGGTCACGTTCACACCAGGGGCTCTCCGCCTCTCAGTTCATCCTCCCGCGTCATGTTCATTCTTTCATGAGTGTAACAAGAGGTTTGGTGACTGCTGGCGTGGTTTTCTGGCCCTTGTCCACTTTGAGCAACAGTGACTGACTCAGATAGACACAGGACAGGCTATAATTCGATCTTCTAACATCACACTGATGACCAGGAACACAAAGTAAAGGAGGAACATTGTGAAGCCCAGGATCTTGTTCATTCTCCATTTGCATGATGCAATTGAAGAGATCACAAACAGCAGCATGAGAAAGAGCAGAACGATTGCACAAAACAAGCCATTGCTGCTGACTGGGACGGGCTGCAGTCCATTGATGAGGGAGAAAAGCAACCAGGGAACAGGCAGGCTGCAAGATTGAAAAACTAATGTGAGTATTCTTCATGTTGAATTCATCCCCTATGCTCAAGCTGTATTTTACCATCTACAAAGCATGTATTTTACCGCACGCACAAAAAGATCTGTGAAATAGGGCAGCAAATATTGGCCCCATTTCACAAATGAGGATACTAAGAAAATTAAATTACATGCCCTTGAACTCACAGCTAACAACTGGGAGAGCCTAGACTAAAACTGAAGCTTTCTGGGCCTGAGTGTTTTTATCTCACACTAAATTGCGTCTGTGTGACCCACCCAGACCTGTGGACGTCTGACTCTCATCTCTAAATTCTTATGATAAGGCCCAGCTCAGGATAACGTTCTTTAAATTCTTCAGTGATCAGGAACCCCCCCTGTGCCCTTTCCCTGCCGCAACTATACACTCACATAAATTAATTCAAATTAAGGAAACCAAAGCCACCACTCAGGTCCAGAATATGACTGGGGGAATGGAAATAAACCAGGAGAGTAAGGGAATGGGTGGGGAGGCTGCAGCATTTGCTTATTTATAAGAAATGCTTTTAGAGCTGACAGGAACCCAAATGCAAAGGAGCAGGGATATCAGGAAGTGAAAATGAGTCATTGTCACCTAGCCCCTCCCCCACCTTGCAGGTCAGCAGCAGAGCATTTGACCGTATTTGGTAACAGAGTTTGATGGACTTCATTTTTCAAGTCATCTATAAGTTCTAGGCAGCATTTTAGTTCTATTATCCCATCTGGCCGTGATGAATGAAGGAAGGATTCTTTGTTGCCTTACAGAAACTAACAATATAAATGCCCTTTAATTCCATGCACAATGAATGAAGCAGAAACCCAGGTGAACAGAACCAACACGAGGTCTTGCAGTCTGTCTTAACGTGCCTTAGGAAGCAACTTCGCCACTCACCCCACGGTGATATCAAATATGTTACTGCCCACAGAGCTGGACACAGCCATGTCCCCCAGGCCTTTCCGAGCAACAATCACACTGGTGATGAGGTCAGGGATTGAGGTGCCTGCTGCCAGGATCGTCAAACCCATAATCTCTTCAGAAATCCCTATTGTTTCGCCGACCTAGTAAACAGTGAGAGTGGTAAGAAACCATGGCAACAGCAGGTGGAATATCTCAGGCTCTTCAAAGCACCAACCCCACGCCATTGTACTCTGTGCAAACCCAGCACTCCCAGGAAGCTCAGCACACGCCCTTGGCCTGTGTGAGGCAGGGTGATGGCCGAGCCGGGCCATAGAGAGAGAGCGGGGGCCCCGCTCAAGGCTTCAGGAAGTAACTCTGCTGTTGTCTAGCTTGGACTCAAAGTCCATCTATTCTATCACCTGTCACTGTCATTCGAACAGCACCTCTGCTTCTAAAAGAACTGCCCCTCCAAAGATCTGTTCATGTCACATTTTCATTTCTAGAACCATGGATGCCCTGCTATATGCCGGGGACTGAGGCTGGAGAGAGAGGTGTGAACAGCACGACACCAACCCCCACTCTCAGATTAGTGAAGAATAGCTTGGAGACATTTACAGCTCTGTGCTCAGTGCAGAATTCCAGGTAGAGCAGAACTGATGACGGTGCCCGAGAGGAGGCAGAACCGAGCTGCTCTCACGAGGGTGTACAGTTCACCAGGAGGAAAGGAGTAGGAGCTTCATGGCAGAGAGAGCAGGGAATACGAGGGGTCAGAGCAGACAGTGAAGGGCCTTCTGTGCTACAAGGTGAATATAAGACGAAAGAGCCACACTTGAAAAGCACTACATTCACTGAGACAAAAAGTCTGCCAGTAACAGTGTGGAAACTATACACACACTTGACCTCCAACATTCCCTGGAAATTTGCCCCAAAGGAAAAAGGGGTCCTTGGGGCTTGCTGATGCAGGGTTCGGTGCCTGCCGTTCACTCACCTGGTGAGCCCACCACACCATGAGGTATGAGAACGTGGCTATCCACACGATGGATCCCAGGAAGGTGATAACAAAAAACTTCCTAGACTCCTGTTTGAAAGTTTAAAAAGAAAGAGAAGTTGCAGAGGCGAGAGGTCTCTGGCCTCAGAATCAGTGATGGGATCAGCTGGAGGAATGATGGAGAGGGTCTAGAGACCACTGAGCTGCAATCTCTTTCCAGCGAGGAGCCCGAGAGGGCCGGGCCTGGACGGGCCTGGTGGCCTACAGGGGCATCCAGACAGTAGGGAGTTCAGCAGTTGCCAAACTGGACAGAGCTATTTGCTCGCCCTAGAACCAGACCAATCTAGGTATTTAATTTGGCTTCTGCAACCTCTCTCCACCCTACCCCTTCCTCTGTAGACGCAGACACGGAATATGGACTGCCTTTGGGTGGGGTATGCTAGTCAGCTCTTTTTATATAACTAGGAAGCTGGGAAGAAACAGCACCTGTGGCTCTGGGTTTTCACAGGAACCCTGTGAAACATGGAGGGGTGTGGTGGCATCGTTTCTCTATTAAAACAGGATACGAAGTAGGAGTCAAGGAGCGGCTAGTTCACACTGCTTACGGTGGTGGAAGTGAGCCCATCCCAGGGCCTTGCAGGCCGGCCATCGGTATGTCCCTAGGTGCATGGTCCCCCCCAGAGCTGCAAATTCTAGCCCAGATGCTCCCTGTGGTTGAATCCTGCCAAGCTGGTTGACCCTGTCTCCCACCCCCGTGGGTGAGATGCCTGGAGACCTCCCAGCCTCCCTGCAGATAGACAGCCTGGGGTTCGGCTGGGCAACCTCACCGGCCTCCGGACGTCGGGCACCGTCAGCCACAGCGGGAACACAATGGGCAGGAGGAAGAGGTAAATGGCCTGCTTCTGCGGAGTCTCAGGCCACTCCAGGGACAAAGGCTCCTCGTTTTCTTCCTCTTCCTCTTCTTCCTCATCCTCATCCTCGTCCTCATCCTCTTCTTCTTCCTCATCTTCACTGTCACCTCCTCCTTCACCATCTGTACCTTTCTCATCACTTTTGGCTTCGCCTTGGTGTTCAGCATTGGCTTCCTGCTCTTCAGTTCCACCTTCATCACCTTTCACTTTGCCATCTTCTTCTTCTGCTGGGAGGTCACCTTCACCGTCACCATTTTCTTTTGGTTCTGCTTGGACCTCATCTTCGCCATCGCTGCCATCTCCTCCCCCTTCGCCATCTGCACCTTTCCCATCACTTTCGGCTTCGCCTTGACGTTCAGCGTTCGCTTCCTGCTCTTCGGTTTCTTCACCTCCCACCTCGCCATCCTCTCCTTCTGTTTGGACTTCACCTTCACCTTCATTATCTCCTTTTCCTTTTGTTTCAGTTTCGCTTTCACCTTCCGGCTGAGGCTCCCCTGCACTCTGCTGTCCACCTTGGCCCTTACCAGGAGCCTCGCCCCCTCCACCGGTCATCTCGCCTGTGCTCCCAGCTCCAGCTGCAGCTCCACCCTGCAATCCAAAGCCGACAGATTAACTCGTAGTAACTTCCTGCTTGTTTTCCTTCCCAGTTTCTTCCTATTATTTTTGTTGTTGTCCTTCTCTCAGAATATATCTAAAACTTTAGTATGAGGAGAAAACTAGTGCAATTATTCAGCAAAATTCCCTTCACAACATTCTCACCCAGTGGTGGTTTAGTCTTTATTGGATCATTTCCAGGGGTAGAGAACTCACCGCCTAAAGCAGCTTCTGTTATCTTTGGCAACTCCAATTTGTTTGAAGTCCATATCTATACCAAGGAGCTACCCTCTGTGTACGACGAGTTCACTCTTTGGAGACTCACGGGACAAAGCTAATCACTCTTCCATGAGACAGTGCTCTTCCCTGCATTAAAGGTATGCAGGTTCCTCTGTCATTCCCTCATATGATGGCCCAGAGCCTCATCCCCATTCTGGGGAACTCATTCTAATTAGTTTATATCCCAGGAGGAAGCTTCTAACACTGAACACAGAACAGTACACCAAGTTTAATAGGATTATCACCTCCCTTGTGTCAGACACTGTGCACCCATCGATGTTGCATGACATCCTTTGGTGGTTTCATCACACCGCTGGGTCCACTAACCTGCTAAACTGTTATATCATCTCCTGTGTATAAAATGATGATAATACCTACTTGGGGGGGGGGGTATGTGCGAGGCACCATGCTTAGTGGTATATTAATAATGGCTATCAGTTACTATGTTTCATTAACCAACTAACTTATGATATAGACAGAATTAAGCCCATTGATAGATGAAGAAGCTAGGGTACAGAACAGTTAAATAGCTTGCTTGTGGTCCACACGGTTTGTAAGCGACGATGCTGGGATTTGCATATGGCCAGTCCAACTTGGCCCCTTAACCACCAGCCTGCCCTGTTTTGCAAACGCCAGGGCCAAATGAGGTCTTTGGTTCCCAACCTTAGAGCACGGGGAGCTCATTAGAATCGCACATTTCCTTGCCCCACCTAGACCAGCTGAATTAGAACCTCTGGGAGCAATCTATAGAAATGATCCCACAAACAAGCAAACAGAATAAAAACAAAGACACTGAAATAGAGAACAAGTGGGCAGCGACCAGAGGGGAGAGGGAAGGGAATTTAAGGGGGAAAACGGGGAGGGATTTTGAGGAACAAGTATGAAAGACACAGGGATGAGGACTGGGGGGGGGGGGAATGGGAGGGAGGGGGGAGACGGGGCGGGGGGGGCTGGGATGGGAGAAATAGACAAAAAATGTACTTGAAAAATAATTAAATAAATTTTAAAAAAAAGAACCTCTGGGAGCGGAAGCCAGGAGTCTACTGTAACGTGCTCACAAGTGGTCCCAATAGGCCCCCAGCAGACCAGCACCCGGGAACCACGGACTGACTCCACCCACTCCAAAGCCATGGACTCTGAGACTCCTCAGACTGGGCTCCTGGCTCATCTATAACAACACACTGATCCAAGCCCTTGAACAAACGACCTGTGTGCTCGTGGAATATGTTTTCTGTAACCAAATTTCTGACACAGCCAAGCCCCAAGGGGCGATCAGTGCTTCTCAGCTCTGCTGCATGTTAAAGCCACCTAGAGGCTTTGAAAGCTTCAGGCCCTAGGACCCACCCCAGACAGTCTGGCCTAATAGACTGAAGGTGGGGCCTGGGCATTTTTAACATTTCCCCAAATTATCCTACTATGCAACCAGGGTTAAGAATCCCCGATGAAGTCGAATGTTAGTATTTGTGAGGCTTTGCTTTGAACTGGGAAGGAAGAATGAGACGATTTTAGTCTGAAGTTGTTCCTGCCCTGCCTCTGCAGTCCCATCAGGAGAGAAGGTTTCCTGGAGAAGACGATGAGTCATTTAAGTCGATAGGCATGGGAGTGTCTGCCCAGCCTGTGCCCTCTCCTCTAAGAGCTGTCACCCCTCAGAGTCCTCCCTTCTTCCACGCGGGAGTCAAAGCACCCCACCTGTCCCTGCTACAGCTGATTGGACACAGGATGGACCCCTGGCCCGGACCTGGTTTGAACGTATTCTCTCTCTTCTGGGACTAGCAGCCAGTCGCTGTCCCGTCCCCCAGCAGACTGGAGAACGGGTAGTAGTTGAGCGTGTACGTGCTAATACGGAGCCAGTGGGGCCAGGCTGCCAGGAGGGGACAGAGCCTGCACACAGAGAAGGGGGCGTGAGGGAGGGCAGGACATGGAATGAGAGGCCACCAGGGTCCTGGACACCTTCTCAGGCCCTGGTCCAGCTCCCGGTGACACCAAGCTTCACTCCCTGCCCTGGGGCTCCTCCTCCTCCCTTTTCATTGAGCGGCCTACCATGGACCTGCTCAGGGCACTCGCGGCACCGTGAAGGTGTCCTGGACACTGGACCCAAAATCACTGGCTTAAGGATATGACATAATTGAGTGCTTCTGGGTGTCAAATAAAAAACAAAACAAAACAGTGATGGAACTTGCAAACTGAATGCTTATTCGTTACCAGTCCCTCAGTCCTTACTGAGCATCGCTGTGTGCTCTGAGTTTCTCTGCAGTGGAGACAGGTGACTCAGAATGGATTCTGCCTCCAGGAACCTCAGCACCGAGCAGGGGAACCAAGAGGGACTCACAGTACCAGGAAGGCAGCAATAAGAGTCCCGAGAGGGGAACAATGTGCCCTGGGCATTCAAATTGGGGGGATCGGGGAAGGCTTATAGCGAGGGAGGCATTTGCCTGGGCCTGGAGGGAGATGAGAGATGAGGATGGAGGGGAAAGGAGCCACGCGGGCCAAAGCCTGGAGGGAGGAAAGCATGGAGACGGGAAGTCCAGGGTGGCCGCTGCGCAGTGAGAGGCTGGGAGGCTGTGAAGACAACCTCAGTGCAGGGCTCAGGAGGCCCTGCAGACAAGGCCGAGGTCCCCCAGCCACCCTGCCCCTGGCATGTCGAGCTGACTGGTCTCACTGTCCCTTAGTTGCTGATAGCCCCTGACAGTGATCTATCAGTTTTTTACAGCATGTGACAGTTGGCGACCCATTCTCCTGTATACGACTGCACTCACAGTAGGGTGTTATGGTAAACAGACGGGCCCCATAAGGTACCTGATCTTCACAGTTCATTTCAGAGGAGTGAACCTCAAACAGCCTTTCAGGCCTTCGGGGAGCAAGGATTTCAGTCAGCAAGCTCTCCCATGGGCCTCTCAAATGCCTCTACCTGGGAAGAGGCTGGTGCCTACCTGACTGCCAGGATCCGCCTGCTGGTCGCCCTGGACATCTGGAGCAGGGGCTGGTGTGACCGTGACTGCAGGGGGCTTGGCTGGCTCCTCCTCTTTAAAGGATAAACATGGGACAGGTCAGAAGGGTGCCAGGTGTTGGGGGCAGCTGGCAGAGACTGCTGGGCGTGCCTGCATGGCCATTGGACTTGTCCACCTCAGAGCCTTGGAAGGGAAGTTTCTTGTTGATAGGAAAAGGAAAATGAAGTGATGTGAACTGTTGTTGTCCCGTCCACAGGGGTGTGGACAGATGAGACGGAGCCATCCCTGCTCCCCCTGTATTCACAGACACTCCCGCCCTGGCCAGTTTGGCCCAGGACACTGCGAACAGCTCGGGCAACTGGAGCAGAGAAAGTTTGGCCATTCCCCCTACCAACCACTCGGAGAGGATCCTAATGATGTCAAAGACAGAAGCTGAGAAGCCTTGAAAAGTGGTTGCGTGGCTTCCAGCAAGTCACTTGACCTCTCTGAGTCTCCCTTGTCAATAGAATGGGAACAATGACTGCTATTCTGCCCCCCTCCCTGGCTTCCAGGGCACCTCAGACGGGTTGGTATGCTGTACAGAGCCCACAGGGCAGCGGCCGCCTCACTGCCCTGTTCCAGCTGCCACACAGACACTGGACTTCCGTGTCGCCAGACCCCTGGCCTTTCTTCCCTGGGGCTGCTGGTCTCAGGCCAACCCCTAGCAGAACTATCCTTGGGTAGACACGGCAGGAAGAAGAAATAGAGTCCAACAGTCTAATTTGCATCAAAGAAGTGGGAGTCCAATGACCTTCAGCCTGGCCCTGCCTACCCATCTAAAGGGAGCACAGCTGGCGCCGTGCAGGCCTGCCCTCGCTTGGGGCGGGGACGCCTCGGACAGCGAAGTGCAGGGTAGCACCAGGCCATCACCCAGCTACCTAGCTCAGAGAGGCCAAGGGGCAGCTGCAGCCCCTGGCGGACACGGGGGCAGGGGTGGCAGTGGCAGGAGAAAACCCGTTGGTCTGGCCCTCCTCTCACCTTCTGGTTTGCTCTCTGCTTTGGCCTGAGGCTCGGCCTTGGCCTCCTGATTCAAGCTCTCCTCATCCTTGTTCTTGGAGGAGTGGGCTGCGAAGGAAAAAGGAAACACATCTGGGACCCCAGTGTCCCTCCCACACCCTTTCAGTCGCTCTGGTCCACCAACAGCCAGAGCAACTGCAGTGGGAGGGGAGAGGCTGCCTGGAGCTACAACGTCTGGATTCCAGTCCTACTAGGCTGGTGGTGGTGCTTAGTTCCCACACCCTTGTTTTAAATTCTCTGCATCGTCACTGACTGGCTGTGACCTTGGGCAAGTCCCTTCCCCATCTAGGCCCATTTCCTTTCTGATACAATAACATGGTTGGTCCTGGGGGCAACAAACAGGATTTATTTCCTTTGTGAGCCCAAGTGATGGCTACTTGAGTGCTGACTTGAGGGGATCCTTCCTTGCCAGGAGAAAGCGTGATCGGTCGGGGACGTGGGCAGGGAACGAAGGAATGATGACAGGGAGATGTGTCTGCCATCCTTGGGCTGGATTATCTGGAAGGTCCTTTGCAGCTTGCTTTCCATAAATCTCCCAGGAGCTTCACTGCACCTCCAAGGGCACTGCTGGGGGCCATGCTCGGGAGCCTTGCCTCTGCAGCAGGAAAGAGGAAATGGCTGCCCACTGGGCTCCCTGCCACACCTGCTCTGACCCCAGACACGGGACCCAAACAGCGCCTCCCTCCAGAGCCTGTGCACACGCTTTGCTGGAGGCACACAGAGCACTGCGCACAGAAGGGGCCGCCCTGATTTCCAGGCAGGAAAAACGGGGAGGGCGGCTCTCTTTCAGGGGGACTGTGTTGCAGGAGACATGTGAGGTGCTTTGCAGGTGTAATTTCAGTGGGAGGCAGAGAGTGAGGAGCAGGGGCTCTGTGTAGTTGCGGCGGGAGGGAGGGGAGGCGCAGGGTGAGGACCACACTACAGATGACAGAACCAGGTGCTGCCATGGCGTCTCTGCTGAATTCCACGTGGGCCCTGCCCAGTGAACGCCGGTGACCTTGGAAAGCCAGGTGCCCTCCCCGAGCCTCTGTGTCCCCTCCCCGAGAAGGTGACACCATGATGTACTCAGAACAGTGATGTGGGGATCCGTGAGACAAAAATAAATAAAAAGAGTTTAACTGCTCCAATTTAACTGCTCCAATTTAACAGTATTATCTTAACGCAGAACCCGGAACCAGCAAGCCTGGACTCAAACCCTAGTTCTGCCACTCGCCGGCCGCGGGCCGAGCTGGGTGATTCCTTACCCTCTCTGTTCCTCAGATTCTTCGTCTGTAAAGTCTGACAGAGTTGTTGATGAATAAACGTACTTACACATCAAGTTGCTTACAGCAGCACCTGGCACCCAAAAAGCACCACACCAGTGTCCGCTGTGACAACGGCGATGAATGAACCGCAGTAGCTGAGAGCAGCTGACCCACGGGGTCCGAAGTCATGAGGCCCCGCATTCCAGAGGGTTTGGGTCAGACTCTGAACACCCTCAAGTCCATAACCCAGGGGGGCTGAACAGGTGCAGTCTGGGAAACAGGATGGACCAAACTGCCCGGGTCCAGCATGGGCAGGAAACGTAAGAGGTCTGGAATTTCCTCCTCTCAACCTGCCTCCTAACTCTCCGAGGAGGTTCAGCTGCCGCTGCCTCTGGCAACAGGCTCCATCCTGCAGAGCCACCTCTCTGGCATGTGTGGCCCTGCCAAGTGTCCTGGTGGGCCTGCCCAGGAGGTCCTCATCAGAACTGAGGTGGCAGGAATCGGGCGCTGCACGGCCGCCTTCATCCAAACAAGCCCAGCAACCCCCCCGGCATCAACCAAGCACTGGCACCTTCTGCCAAGCCAGGAGGGCTCCTCCGGTTCCCGTCCTGGCTCCGAGAGTATCTGCTGGCCATTGGCTGGAGGGCCTGGCAAGGAAACCAAGCTCCCCTCTTTCCTTTTCATCCCTTATCACACACCTACCCTCTCACTTCTCATGCCACCAAGGAAAGCAGGTCAGGTACAGGGTCGGTCTCTCTCTCTCTAACACACACACTCGCCCAAGTAAAATCACCAGAAGAGGCGTGGGATCATTGGGCCCTGGGCAGGCAAAGCCCCTCTACAGAGTGCGAGTTTAGACCATAGATCGCTCTGTGGAAGAGCTGGAACAACTGGAAACAGTGGAAACATCTGCACTGCCATTTGGAAACAGCCTATGGAAGCACAGCCACATGTCTGGAAAGTCTTGGGAACAAAGGCCTTCATCACAGCCCTGTGCAGTCCCAGCTCCCCCGGATGGAATCTTGGGGTGCAGAACCAGGGCTGGCTTCTCTGAGCAGGACTGTGTCCCAGAGCATGTCAGCAGTCATTTGCAGTGAGGGCCATCCATGCCACACAGGCACACAATGACCACGTACGACTGTCTTCCCGGGGATGACAGCCACTGGCTGCCCCAGAGCTCATTTCCTCACACGGCCCCTCAGCTCTCAGCACCGAGGATCATCTCCTTAGTATCAATCTCCTCTGACCTCAGCCTGGCCTGGACATCACATAATCCCGTTAGGACAAGTAGGCCAGCTGGCAGCTGCTGGTCTGGGAAGTGGCCCAGGCGGGGAGCCCTGGCCCAGGCGGGGAGCCCTGCCATCCCGCCGAGAAGTCTTTAAGAGTTTACCAGAGTCTGCAACTCCCTGAGGAGGGGCCAAGCATCACCCAGAGATGCAGCCTCCCTCACTGCGAGGCAGCACTGGGGACACCCAGGCTGCCGGGGCTGCCGGCCCACTCTCAGACCCCAGGGGTCCTGTGTTTCTGGGGCTGACACTTGCTTGTGGCCGCTCTCGGTGTCCGCCAGGGCTCACCTTGAGGGTTTTCTAAGGAAGGTTTCATCACCTTGTCTTTCACTCTGCTTTTTGCAGGACAATATACTTCTTTTAAACACCCAAATTCCAATACTATGTCTGAAGAAGATACTTAAGGGCTTGAGGAAATTCTGAGCCTGCCAAATTTGTCCTGGGACCAGAAAGGTCAGTCAGGATGCTCCCTGGGGTTCAAAGGTCAGTCTCTAGGGTCACACACAGCTCAGTCCTTCGCCTGCACCTGCCCAGCTGCAACTCTGATCCCTCAGCTTCTGCCCAAAGGCCCACCTTCCTCTGACCAGCCTCCTGCCTGGCCTCCCAGTTCTGCACCAGAGCCTTAGAGATGGGGGGCTCCGGGAGAGCAGGTGCATACCTGCGGGTGCCTTTTGGGGCCCTGAGACTCATGTTGCAGGAAGCTCTTTGGGGAAGGAGGCCAGCAGGCAGGGATTGGTGAGAGGGATGGTGTGGGTCTCAGCTGCCTCAATCGTTTGTCAAGTTGGATATCAGCCCTCACTGCCCTTTGACCCTCAGCACCCCCAGAAGTGGTCCCACCAGGTCTCAGGATGTCCTTTGGGATTCCTGGTGAGAGGCGGGGTGGGGGAGCCTTAGCAGTCTTCCTAGGACACCAGAGCTAAATGCAGAGCAGACGGAAGTGCCATCACAGCTTCTGGCACCTACAGGAGGTTCCCCTAGATGTGACCTTGGCCAGTCGGCCTGAGCCAAGCCTCCTGGCAGGAGACTCTGCAGGACACAGGAGCCAACTTATGGGCGGTGGGCTGAGCAGGAAGTTCTGAGGGCAGTCCCAATGTCGGCCCTGTGGGCGCATGACACTCACAGCTCAGGGAGGCGGGTTAACCTCCTCATTCTACAAGAGAGGACAGGCAGGCCGGGAAATCGTGGATATGGATACCTAAGGGCCTTGGCTTCTGGGGGCGCTCTGCCCTAAGAGGGAGTTCCCTGTCTTTGTCTCCACCCTGTCTCCCAGACTGACTACCGCCTGCTCTCTTCTGCCAACTCTCTGTACCCTCTCCCCCCTCCCCCTGCCCACTGCCTATCAGTTTTGCAGGTTCCAGTTGTCCAGCTGCAGGAGGGACAGAGTGGACAGGGAGACCACGCAGGTCTAGGGAGGCCTTGCTTACCTTCCCCCAGGTCCAGGCTGTGAAGCATGAGCCAGTAGATGGTGCTGCGGATGGTGCTGTTGTGCAGAGAGGCTGAGCTGCTCCCTCGGGTCAGCACGGAGGTGAGCTGAGCAGGAGAGGGCAGCACAGGCCTCAGAGCCTGGGGAGGAGCCACCCGAGGGCCTCCCTTAACCCTGCCTCCCTCCCGGCAAGATCAGCACGAAAGCAAGGGAGCCTCATCCTGGCATCCTTCGTCCCGCACCTCGACCAGGAGAGTTATATGGCTCTCTGTCTCAGCCTCCCTTCCACGCTTCCGTGACCCACTAATTCTACCTACTGAGGAGGTCCCAGCAGGGAGCAGCAGGCAGAGAGCTCTGAGGACAGCACATCACCAGGGGTTTGTCCATCACCCAAGAACAGCCTCAGAAAAGCACACACTCCCACACAGCACACAGACAGAGCTTCGCCATCCACAAACAGCACCGTGGGGCTCTACCACCACCGCACTCCAGAAACAAGAAAGGCTGCGATCCCCTTCTAAGGGCAGGAAAGGGAGCCCAACAAGTTCATACAGGGGATAAATAAAAGTCAAGGTGGTACCCAGGTCTTCTGATTCCCAATTAGGATTTTTTTTTAAACCGTGTGCTCTAGAACCTTCCCAGGCACACACATACACACATCTATAGGTGCAGACACACAGATGTGACACACACTTATTCACAGTGACACACACGGATTTACAAAGTAGCATCCAAAGGCAGGCAAACACTTGCTGCATCCTTCTATCCACCCCATCTGCCCCCACTTCCACCTTCCCCATCCCTGTGGCCCTGAACTCTTCTGCCATCTAGTGGCCGTGGTAACACAGTACTTTACAACAGGCTCAGGGATTTTCTTTGGAGGGGGGAGATTTCATCTCCACCCAGCCTCTCCTCTCTAAGGTCCCCATACTTCTTCCCAGCTACTCCATAGGCCAAAGGCAGCTAAGAATTTTTTAGAAACTTCAGAGTCCCCTGCCCCCAGTGCCCCTCTGAAGGCTCCCCTAGCTCTGGTCATTCCAAAGCCACAGGTAATTAGGCTTTTGATTGATCGTGGCACGTCGCAGTTGTAAAGCTGGACATGAGTTCATCTAGTCCAGTTGTCCTAAGGGTGCAGAACCTGAGGCACCACCCAGCTCACCCAGTGAGCTGGTAGCAAAGCGACAGGCTAGCTCCCAAACTGGCACCTTCTCCAAGGCCACCTGGGGTTGAGAGTCCCTGGCAAAGGAGCCCACTCCTTCCCTCGCTCACCCTGGCATCAGTCCCAGGGCCCAGAGCCCAGCCCAAGATGCCCAGCATCAGGACCGCAGTGCCCTGAGTCTGAGGCCGTCCTCTGAGACCCCGCAGTGCCCTCGCTGGCAGACTCCACATGGCACCCACCTTCAACTTCTTGTTATCCTGTAGCTCATCCTCCGCAACCGCCCCATCACCTGGCTGCAAACAGGGACAGCAGTCACAAGATGTTTGGAGAGACCCTCGCTTTCTCCCTACTTCCCTCTCTCTCCAGGAAGCCCTCAGCTTGGGACGCAGAGAGGCACCCAGAGACAACCCGGCCTTGCACAGCCCAGCTGCAGCCTGCACACATCACTGCCACTCAGATGCGTCCACTCACTGCGGCCCAGTGACACCAGCTGTCTTTCAGTCCCCTCGATGCACTGTCCTCTTCACCCACCTTGAAACCCTTATCATGGGGTGCACACCTCATTCTCTTTTATAGACTTCTATTCTTTTCCTTCATAACACTTTCCCACCTTATCTGTGTTAGTGGTGTGCTAGCAAACACGCAAATAAATCTATTGCCCACTAGCATCTCGAAGGCAGACTGCCTATTTCATTCACCTTGTGTGTCCAGCATGAAAACACTGCAAGGGTTCAATAAATGTCTGTTCAATGAAAGCTGCCCTCTAAATGTACCTGATCTATTCCAACTTCTATAACCTTGTTCATGCCTTTCCCCCTGCCTAAAATGTCTTCTCCATACCTCTGCCAAATTTTCAGAAAATTCAGGGTAAATTCTTTTTATTCTTTTTTTTTAGCCTTTTATTTTATTTTATTTATTTAGAGAGAGGGTAAAGGAGGGAGAAATACAGGGAGAAAAACATCAATGTGTGGTTGCCTCTCATGTGACCCATATTGGGGGCCTGGCCTACAACCCAGGTATGTGCCCTGACTGAGAATCAAACCTGTGACCCTTTGGTTTGCAGGCCAGCACTCAACTCACTGAGCCACACCAGCCAGGGTATCTTTTTATTCTTTTAATGCTTACTCAAGGATATGTCTACTGATTTTTAGAGAGAGTAGAAAAATATTGATGTAAGAGAGAAACATCAATCAGTTGCCTCCTGCACATGACCCAACCAGGGATCAAACCTGCAACCTAGTTATGTGCCCTGACTGGGAATTGAACCCACAATTTTTTGGTGCATGGGATGATGCTCCAACCAACTGAGCTACCTGGCCAGGGCCAGGGTGAATTCTTTCTTATATAAAGCTTTCCACTTCACCCTCACTTTGGTTCATTCTGGTCTCGCTCCTAAAAAGCTATATAACAATGGTGAGCACATTTTGTGAGGCCAAAGTCTGGCCCTGTAAACAAATAAGAGATAGTGTCCTGGGGAGGCTGCAAGGCAATCAGCTGGCAGGTGGGACAACCCCAGAAAGTCAAGATGAAGGCTCATTAAGTGCATAGTACGTACTGTCTGTACCATCAGCTTGCCACTTTGCATTTACTGTCATTTGAACTTAAATATATATATAAGTTAAACTATATATGAGTTGTCTACCCACATAGACTCCTTATTTTGGGGGCCATGCAATGAACTTACAATACAGGCATCTCTGTTCCCTGAACTGTGGCACAGTGTCTTGTGCACAGTAGGTGCTCACAAAGGTGAGTGACTGGATACTCCCAACTGGCCTCTAACGCCTTCTTCAGGCAGCAGGGTCACTAACAGCTGTCCCCAGTAATGTCTTCACCTTCCCATTGCCTCTTGCACTCCACCAAGCTCCATGGCCAGAACTAGAACTGGAATTGCTACATTCCCTTCTCTGTTCAGTTCAGAAAATAGAGAAAATACTACCTAAGCTAGGGCTACCCACTCATCCATCCACCCTATATGTTCATTCATTTAATTCTTATTTCCTGAGCACCTGCATGCTTACATGGCTCTGTGCTGTAGGGATTCAAAGATGTTTTAGGACACAGATTGTATGTCCCAAAAGGAATTGAGGCAAATGATAACACAGACACATGACAGATCAGAATGTGTTTCAAGAATGAGAGTGACAGATAAAGGTGCTGCCAGGATGGACAAGGAAGGCTTCCTGAAGCAGACACAACTTGGGTAAGTCTTGAAGGATGGGGGAGGTTTGAATGCTTGGACACATACTAAGTGAATGAACAAGTGATTGAACAAATGAACAAATATACAGATGAATTAAAGCGTCTTGTTTCCATGGGGTAGTGGTTACCACATTTGCCTCACAAATGAAAGCAGAAATAACAAATACGGATACAAAGGGGGGCACTGCGGGTTTTATGAACAAATCCCCTGCTTTTTTCACAATGTACCTGTAAGTGCACTGAGATGCTGGGGTCTACAGCGCCGCCCCCACTGGCCCAGCCACCTCCCTGCACAACATATGCAACCTTCGTCCAATGAGTTCTTGGAGGCAAAGAACGATGAGGAGCCAGGACACCCTTTGGGATGGCTGGTTCTGGCCCAGAGGGGCAGGGGAGATACACTTTTGTCGCCCCCAGTGCTCAGGCCTACTGATTTGTCTGCAACTCAGATTTACTCAAGCCCAGCTCCTTCTTGATGGGTTCGTTGTTCATTGCATGTATCTCTAAACTCAGTATGCACTTCTAACTTTCTGAAGTCCTTCACATCCATTTTCTCATTCAATACTACTAACTCTATGAAGTAAACAAACTAGTGTTATTATTGCTATTTTGATAGATGAGAAAACAGAGGCAGAAGTATTCTGTGACTCGTACTCACAAAGATAGTGATAATCCCAATCTCCTAATATCTGTTCACGGTTTTCATTGCTGTCATTGTTTTTCCTAAGTCACATTTCTTTTCCCAAGTATAATAAGAACATGAGATCAAACCTACATTTCCTGGTGTCTCTGTTTCAGATTACTGAGGTAAATGGATGTGATGTTTGCCTACATTTGGGTGTGGCTGAGGGCCCATTCACAGGTACAATGCCAGCCATAGGTGCTCTCAGAATATGCGCTTATTATAAACACACTTCCACATCCACCTCTCCCTCCACACCATTCTCCCTCCTCTCCCTTCAGCCTTGTTACCCTACTTTTCCCTTTTCCTCATGAAAATTAGCAAAGAGGCTGAGGAAACTGAAGAGGATGTCTTCATGCCCGCCACCTGCGATGGATGTATCTTTCTGGGAATGAGCAGTGGCTCCCTTGCAGCTAGCTATTCATAGGCACCTGGGAAGGAAACATGGTGGCTCTCCGGAGGCATGTCCTCCAGATTTCCAATTTCCATCTCCCACTGATGTAGCAATTAATCATTGGCCTCTCCCCTTCTAGACACACATCCCTGACACATTTCCTGAAACACACATTTTAGTCAGATTTTTACAAAAACATTCATTCAACAAACATTTACTGAACCCCTGGTCTGAGTCCTGCCTTCACCTAGGTTACACTCTGGGTGGGGACTCTTCACTTTATCCCTTCCCTCAGTACAGCCTTCCACCCTGATCCACTCATTCTGATCCACTCATTTGTCTAGGCCAAAAACCCAAGAGTCTACCCAAATTCCTCCCTCTCCCCCACAGCCAGCATCCAATCAGCTATCAGACCTAGTTCAAGGAAGTCCTCACACCTGGCCTCATCTTTCCACTCTTCTGCCTACCGTCCTGCAGCAGCTCCTGACTTCTGATCTTCTTTTCTTCTGGTTCATTTTCTACCCCTCAGCCAGTGATTTTCAGAGCAAAGCACCTCATGTCCCTCCCCTGCATCTCGGGGGCCCACTGTCCTCAGAAGGGAGCCCAGACTCCTTAGCTCATCACGCACCAGCCTGCTGCTCACCTCCAGCCCAGCTCTGCCCAACAGAAAGAGTGCAAGCCCAATCGAAACAGGTTCAGTTCTTGAGTTACTGGGACTCCTTTCTAGCAGACAGTAGTTAGTGTTGGAAAATCCAAACTATAGGTGTTTAATTTTAAATAAATATAAATTTGCTTTCAAGGGTAGCCAGTAATTCAATCTGCTTTTTAAAAAAGTATTCTGTTAATCAAAAATCATCCCGGATCTGTTTCAACAAATAGCTAAGAACAGAGTTGCGCCACTCTCACTGGCTGGCAAACAGCTGCCAAGAATACCCTTGGACAGTCTGAAGTAAATTGAAAATTTTCTTTTGAAATCAGGATTACGCTTCACATCCTTTGCAAGCTTTGCTCTAACGGACTAGCCCTGATGAAATGGCAAATTCAGAATTTGTAGAGTTTAAATAAAAACAAAATTACTCTGAAGGACTGGGAGGCAAGTTAGAGACATTTTGAAAACTGCTGACCTGACGTGTACCGGGCATTAAATGCTTTCCGCAGAGGAGAGTAGCAGGCTCCAAGGCCACCCAGGGCAAGGCCTACCCCAAGAACTCCACTGGGGGAGGCTCCTGTTCCTTCACAGCGAGTGATGTGGTACTCTGGGCCTCCCTTTCTTTTGTAAGTGGCTGGCTTCCTAGAGCAGTAGCCTCGTGGGAAACAGAGCTGATTGAGGGCGTTAGGATTCTGGATTCCAGCTCTGATACCTGCTGGGCGGTATGACCTCGGGCAGAGCATTTCTCCTTTTGGAGCAATCTGCAAATACAGCCATTGGGGCTCGGTTGATCAGACCAGACAACCACTGTGCTGGACCGGCCAGAATTGAACTCACTCGGACACAGGACATTATAAATGAATGTTAGAACTAGACAAGACCTTTTGGTGATTAGCTGGACTTTGTCACTTCCCCAGAGAAGGGAAGGAACCTGTCCAAGGTCACACAGTCAGAGGCAGAATTGGAGTAGAAGCCACTGACTCAGGTCTGTTCTCCGGCCAGAACACCACACTACCTCGAAAACCCTAAAGGAAGCAAGCGCACCTTATCTCCTCCGAGTCCTGTCTCTCCCAGACATGCTTCAGAGTTCAGTCTCCATCCTGCCCACTCATCAGAACTGCTCGGGATTAAGTAGCTAAATCTGTACGCTCTTTGCACGCAAAATTTTGCTCATACCAGTGGCCTCTCTGAGGCCTAAAACAGGCAGGTGATAAGCCAACTTTTGCCCAAACTCGGCCTGTAGGAGCAGGAGAGAAGTGGGGTCTGTGTTCCCCGGGGTGCCCTCACTTTCGAGTCTCAAGGCATAAACTAAACTCGGAGGTGAATTTTCAGAGACGACTTCCCCAAGTGAATCTTCCAGATTACTGAACCGTGCGACGAGTTTCGCAGGAAGGTCCCTTGTGGGTACAGAGAATTTCTTGGAAAGGAACTTTGGGGCAGGGAGAAAGCCCCAGAACTAGAGCTCCCAGTATGTAGTCCCCTGTCCTCAGAGAGAAGGGGCTCTGTGCTCAGGGCTCGCTTGTCTGTGGACAAGTGGAGCACCCAACTTCTTCACTATTTTAAAGGCAAAACAAAGTCAAAATATCCTCCCCGCTTCCTTCTCAGACTCCATCGAAGCCACCAGACCCTCCAAGTCTGGGATGTGAACAAATAAGACTAAAGTGAGGGCGCTAGATAAACCCTAGACACCACGCACATGGAAGAGTCGATCATTTTTCCCTGCCTGGTATCTTCTCGAACATTTCCCAAAGCCCAGTTCAAATGTCATTTCCAAAGACCCAGCCAGACCACCCTGGGTTCAAACCCTGACGCCACCACCTATTTGCTGTGTGACTCTGAATGCGTGTGGTTTGATCTCATTAGGCCTCAGTTTCTTCCCCTGCCAAAGGGGGATCATAATAACAACTGTTTTATGGGATGTTTGGGTGCTGAGCCAAGATCGCTCTTGGCAAAGGCCCCAGCATAAGTGCGGGGCAGAGAATAGGCCTCTCAATGTTGAACAAATAGCAAGGGAACCAGAGCACCCATCTCTCGAAGTGTCTGACCCAGCATTTTCTATTGTTTAGTCCTGGCCTTCCCCCTACCCTTTTGCCCCAAGGGGCTACAGAAGCCTGAGCTAGCCTGTTCTCACCTTGCTGAAGTCCCCTAGAGCCATGACCTTGGCCACTGGCCTCCTGCTGAGCTGCTCCTTCATCCAGAGCTCCAGCTTCTTGTTCCACTTCATGGTGAACACATAGAAGGCATAGGCCAGCAACAGCAGCAGGCTCTCCCACCAGACAATGAGGCTGTCCAGGAAGAAGAGAATGAGCATCATCAGGTCAAGGATGTAGAAGGAGACGTCACGGAACAAGGGCCACCAGGTGAGGTTGAGGATCTCCCGAGAGAAGAGGGCACAGGTGCCGATGACAAAGAGGATGTTGAACACGGCGGAGCCCACAATGGTGCCGATGCCCACATTGCTGTGGGAGATGAAGACGCCGATGAGGGAGGTGAAGAGCTCGGGGGCAGAGCCTCCGGCAGCCATGAATGTGGCACCTGCTACGTCCTCAGAGATCTGCAGCTTGTCTGTGATGACACCCAGGGCTGGGACAAAGTACTCATCGCACACGATGGCCAAGGCCACAAACACGTACATCATGCCAAAGATGTGCAGGACCACCCAGCCCTGCCGCCGCTCCTCCAAGCTGAACAGGTCTGGGGGGTACTCTGCCTTGGGGTGGTGGTCTGGCTGGCTAGGGGGCAGCACTGAGGGACTGGGACTGGGCGCCTCTGGGAGCAGGCCAGTTGTCAGGCTGGGGGCCGGGGGCGTGGGCATGGCTGGAGCTGGCTCCACAACTACACAGTGACGAACCTGGGTGGTCGGATCTGCCTTGGGGCTGGGGGCTGCTGAGGTGCTCCGTGCCGTGGAAGGTTTCTTCGCCAGCCCCCAGGAGGTGGTTAAGGATATTGCCATGGTCGATGCAGTGGTTTTGAACGAGGGGTTCCTAACCGTCCAAGCAGCAGTAGAGGCTTTGGTTGCTGCTGGGCCGCTTCCCGTCGTGGTGCTAATCACCACCTGCCCCTCAGAGGTGGCTGCAGTGTGCTCTAAAGCCAGTCCCTGGGAAGTCGTCAGGTTGTCCTTTCCCACTAACCCCCGAGGGTTGGGTGAGCTGTTACTGTCCATTCTTCTGGGGGTAGTCAGAGTGCTCTTTTCCGCCACACTCCTAGGAGAAGTCAAGATGTTTGTCTCTATGTCATTTATCAGAAACGTCGGGATGTTACCAATTATTCCCTTGAGAGTAGTTGGGGTGGTTTCCTCCACTGTTTGCTTGGAGGGGCTGGTCTCCATTGTTTTGTAGGTTGCCACAGTTTCACTGTCTTGCACTGTTGTCCTGGGGGTGATCCCATGGTTTCTTGCCATTGTTATGAATGTGGACGGGGCAGTGTTTACTACTCTACCATGTGGAGATGGGGTGTATTTTTTCACTTTTCCCCTGGCTTGAGTTGGGTGGTAGCGCCTCATTTCTTCGCTGGGTGTTGTTGGGGTATAATTCTTTGCTGTTGATCTGCTTGCAGTTGAAGTGTACTGACTCAGTACCCTACTTGGTGTGATTGGGGTGTTCCCCTTTACTCTTTCTGAACCTGCTGCTGGTGGGCTGTAGTTGTTCTTAGGTATTGTTGGAGAGGTGTTGGCTGTTGTTCTGGGTGTATTGGGGGTGTTCTCGATTGTTATGTCGGGTGTTACTTCCTCCTTGCCCATTGTGGCTTGGGGTGCCAGTGTCTCACCCTCCATTTCAGAGCTAGCTTTTGGAGGGTCACTGCTCCCTGTCACCATCTCAGTGGGAAGGTCCCGGCTGGCCAGTTTAACAGGGTGTTGGGAAGACACTGCTGCCCACAGTGAGGGGAGGCCCCGGGGGCTCCTCAGGTGTTGGTAGGTGGAACCAATGATCAACATTCCCAGGAGGAAGAGGAAGCGACTCCATCGAAGCCGTTTTGGCCGGAGTAATGGCCTCTCCTGTGTCCCCATCCGGATCAATTTCCCCATGCTGGCCAGTTAGGCCGGGTTACAGAAAGCCTCTCATTCCGTCCACTGAAAGATGGGGGCTGTTCTGGGATTCAGAGGGATGATCAGGGAAGATTTCTCCATGAAGCACAGCCAAGAGATATCCACAAACCTAAAGGAGAAAAAAAGAGAAGGAGAGAGGTTATTTGCCACTATGATGAGAGTTGGGATCCACCAAACCCTCATCTGGAAAAGAATAACGATTCTTGCAGGGGCCTTTGTGGTGGAAGACAGTTGTTTCTGTTGGAGCAAAACTACCTCTGCCTCTGCTTGAGGGAGCAATGCCTGCTCCTGGGTAAAAGCACGAAAGGGTCCTCTGTGCTGGGCAGGCGTGCCAGCAGCCTACACTCCTGGGCCGGGTCCACCAAGGTCTGCCAGCATTTCTCAGGTCCAGGCCAGAGTTGCTGGGAGCTCAGTCATCGGTAGCTGGGGCCGCAGGCCATAGATCTCCACTTGTCAAAAGCATAAGGGAGGTAAAAATATATGGTTTTAAGCTTTAGACAAAAAGAGGCAGCAGTGGAAGATAGTGCCAGAGACATCAAAACTCTGCATGTTCAGACTGACTTAAAACAATTCCACCATGTCATCCAGAGAGGACAAGGCTCAAAAGTTAATGTCATGACAGTTCCCAGACAGTGTGATGCAGTGGGAAAAACAAGGAGAACAGAGTCAGAGGCCTGGGTTCCCGGCTCTGCTGCTTGCAGCTGCGTCACCCTGGGCGAGCTGAGCCTCCGTGCCTCATCTGTGAAACGAGTACAACATAAACGTTGATTATGCAAAGCTGATCTCTGGACAGACATCTGGAGAAGGGACACTAAAGGCCAGGGGTCAAAAGGAGACTTACTTTTCAGTATATATTATTGTTCGGTTTAACCTTTCAACCTTATTATTATATAGATAACACATTTTAATTTTAATTTAACTGAATAGAAATAACAATAGTAATAACATCTAGCTATGTACATAGTAATAACAACACCTATGCCCTAGGCATGTTGGGAGAGGAAAACACATAAGGTCTGTGAAAAGCACGGCACAGAATCCGGTGCTGCATGAGGGCAATTTTACATAAGGACTTAGGAGGAAAGAATGTAAAAAGCCTTCCAAGAATCCTCAGTTTACAAAGAAGGGCATGGAAGCCCAGCCCCAAGTAAATATTTATTAAATCGCTAATCCATATCCACAGATTATTACAAAACAGTAACTAGAAGTGATCGTTTTTTGCACGTGAGGAATCTGTTAGAAGTGAGATGAGTGGCCCACAGGATCTTCGGTGGTGAAAGGCAGCAGGAGTCACTGGCACTGCTCTGTGTAACTCCTCATCTGGGACATGAACAAACTGAGGTCCAGAGAGGTGTGAGCTGCTCTAAGGCCCCAGTCTTTCCAGCGCACCACGCTACAGATGCAGATGCAATTGTCTTAAAAAGCACAAGAGGGACCAGCAAAAGGATAACTACAAAATAACTGATTTTCCTTCTTTGTCCTTGACCCCTGTGATTGTCTCTCCACCGTCTCCCTGTCCGCCCTGTCCCTTGCCATAAACTCAACACTTGGAATCTCCTAAGGAAACTTCGGAGGGTCTCTCTGTCTGGTACGCCTGTGTCCTGTAACCGAGCGGAGCTGGCATCCCAGCTGATCCGTCCTAGCTAATCACATCATTTACCTTCAAACCTGGACATCTGGGTGTCTTCTCAGTTCTGAAAACTTGTCAAAACCCAGGGTCTCAAAGAGTGGGTCTGAAGCTGGACAGCAGGGAACACCCCATTCTCCTGCCTCCAGCTCTTCTATGGATCCTAAGTTCAAGGCAGGGTCCGGTGTGAAGGGCACCTCAGAGGAGGGACACCCAATCCCTGCTAATGCCACCTCTAAGAAGCTTATCGGGGCATCGTACAGGTTCTGAGTCCTGGTGCCTCTGCCAGAGACTAAGAGGGCGCACCTTCCACCAGAGACACAAAGAGGCCCCTGCAGGCAAGGAGAAACTGGGCAAACTTCTTGAACTTGCTTCTGAGCTCTTAGAACGACAGGTGGTCTGGGTTTTCCAGGCTTATGGGAAGGAAAGATTCAGAATTTTGGCTCTGTGGGAACCAAGAGAAAGTGCGTGGGCTTAAGAGATCAGAAAACCACAGCACCAGGCTCCCTTCGCTCCTGTGTGATTCTAAATGTGATCTAAATGGAAGTGTGGAGATGACAATACCCAGCCTCCCTATTCGTAGGGTGGACGTGAGAAACAAAATTTTAAATGAGAGAATATCTGCTCAATTTTGCTGTGAACCTAAAATTGCTCTAGGAAATAGTCTATTTTCTAAAAAATGAGGGAATGTAGAGAAGATACTTTGCAAATTTTAAGGCATATCACACACACGAACTATTTGATCAGACCGAAGGGAAACCGTTGGGGGAGAGGGCACTGACAGACCCCTCCAGAGCAGACTGCAACGCCCCAGGACACCCCAGGAGATGTGTTTCCAGCTCAAGGCTGGAGCTGAAGGAAGTGGGAGTCTCATGGTCCTGCCCATGGACCCGGCAGACATTTCAATCAGTCAGCTGACTGCCTGACACTTCCTGATTGCTTCTTTCTCACCTCCCCATTTCTGCAATGTTCATGGATAGCATGCCGCTCTGATGACCTTCCCTGGAAATAGCAGGTAACCCCTTCCAGCCTCCCGCCTGCTCAACTCGCCCTGAGTGGCCTGTAACAGTGAGAAGTTATCAGTTTCCTCTCCCGAAGCACACAGAGGTGCCTGCCCTGTGGAAAAGCTGTCTTCATCTCTGGGTGTCCTGGAGTCACTCTGAATGCTGGAAGCCTTGGGTAGAGGGGCTGACCCCTGCTCACCATCACACCCTTGCCTTTAGACTCCTGCAGGCAGAACCAGATCTAGTTACTTTGCTTCTCACATAAACTATCTGACAGTCTCAACCTGGTCCAGAAAGATGGAAAAAGGAACCCAATTCACAGGGTAGAATATTATTTAGCACTAAAAAGAAATGAGCTATTGAGCCATAAGCAGACTTGTAAGAAACTTAAATGCATAGTACTAAGCAAAAAAAAAAAAAATCCAATCTGAAAATGTTAAAACTGGCTCTGGCTGGTGTAGCCCAGTAGATTGAATGCCAGCCTGTGAACCAAAAGATTGCCGGTTTGATTCCCAGTCAGGGCACATGTCTGGGTTGCAAGCCATGTCCCCAGTAGGTGGGCGCATGAGAGGCAAGCACACATTGATGTTTCCCTCCCTTTGTCTTTCCTTCCCTTCCTCTCTCTCCCAAAAAATAAATAAAAATTTAAAATCCTTTTTAAAAATTAAAACTGTATGATTCCAACTGTGTGGTATACTGGAAAAGGCAAAACTATGGAGACAATAAAAAGATTGGTGGTTGCCAGAAGTCAGGGGAAGGGGTGGATTAAAAGGCAGAGCACAGAGGACTTTTAGCAGTGAAACTAGGATATAACACAGTGGCGGGTACATGTCATCACACATCTGTCAGACCCACAGAATGTATAACACTAACTGGGACCCCTAAGGTAAGCTATGGACTTTGAGTGACAATGATAAATCATTGTTAAGTTCGTGGATTGTAATGAATATATCACTCTGGCATGGGATGTTGCAAGGCTGTGTGTGTGAGTATACAGAGTACATGGAACTCTGTACTTTCCACTCCATTTTGCTATGAACCTAAAACTGCTCTAAAAATAAAGTTTATTAATTAAAAAATAAGTCCTGCCCTGGCCAGTGTAGCTCAGTTGATTGGAGTGTCATTGTCTGTAGACTGAAAGGTTGTGGGTTCAATTCCTGATCAGGGCACATACTCAGGTTGCAGGTTTGATCCCCAGTCAGGGTGCAAGCAAAAAGACAACTGATCGATGTTTCTCCCTCTCTCTCTCCTTCCCTCCCCTCCTCCCTCTAAAAGCAATGAAAAAATGTCCCGGGGCGAGGATTTTTAAAAAGTGGATTTTTACAGATACATACAGAAAACTTTATGGACAAGATGTTATCCAATCTAGAAACTGCAACAAAATATGTTGTGGGGGAAGCGGGTAGAGCAATGAACAAAATAAGATTGAGAACTGAGTTGACAGAAGGAGCTGGGTGAAGGGGGTCCATGAGCATTTATCCTGTTATTTCTTCTATCTTTGTTTATGTTTGAAATTTTCCAGCAATAAAATATTTTAAGAAGAGAGAAGGGATGTGACTACGATTTCTTTGGACATCCGCTTTGGTGAGAACAGTGGCCTGCGCATTAGGCTCGGAGAAGAGGGGATCGCCTGGGGCTGGGAAGTCTGATCTGGGAGCGGACAAGGCCCGGAATAAAGGAGGCGGGAAGGGAGACACAGGACAAAGGACGGCACAGGAGAACAAAATGGAGAGACACAAAAGGGACCTGGGCTCACTGCCTTCCCCCACCCTCTTTCTTCCTCTTTTCTTCACTCACTCACTCCTTACTCTTCATCTCTGTGGATGGAAAGTCATCTTGGGACTTGACCATGAAGAGTCCAGGCACAGCCTGGGAGTCTGCATTTTCAACACGTCAATCATTCTCAGTGATTTTATGTTCACTGAACAACCTTCTGGTTTTAATGGGATTCTACTAAGAATTAAAAAACAAAAACAGCCCTGACTGGTGTGGCTTAGTGGACTGAGTGCCAGCCTACAAACCAAAGGGTTGCCAGGTCAATTCTCAGTCAAGGCACATGCCTGGGTTGCAGGCCAGGTCTCTAATGAGGGAGTGCATGAGAGGCAACCACACGCTAATGTTTCTCTCCCCCTCTTTCTCCCTCCCACCCCCTCTCTCTAAAAATAAATAAAATCTTAAAAAAGAATAAAAAACAAAAACAAAAGTGCTCACCAGTTGCCCTAAGTGATGCCATCATCTTGGTAGTTTTACCTTTTATTGTCAATTTTAATAAATTGCTTTTTTACTTCCCTAGTCTCCTGAAAGCCTGTATTCAGAAGAATTAGGTCACCAAGATCTCATCACCCATCAGCAAACTAGTAAACTTAAGCTTTAAGACTAAGATAACGAATCAGTCCATGGAACTGAGCTGGAACTACCAGAACAGTGACGCTATGGCTTGGCTGAACCACCAGCACATTAGGGTTAAGCTAGATAACTCCCTTGCCCACACATTCCTGGCCATATGCCTTCCGTTAGGGAAAGAATTAGAAGTTATAAACCAAGTAACCAGGATGCTGCCTTACCTACCTAGATCCCAGTGCCTGCTCAAGCATAATGCGAGGTTAAGATGGTGAGCCCAGTCAAGTTGGGGAAAGAAGTTCTGAAACAAATGGGGCAGTCTGCAGGCCCCTGGGCCCTGATGCTGGCAGGAGCATTCCCAGGGACTAATTTGTTTTCCTCTGCAACCTCTGATAAAAGGAGACAAAAAGAACTACCAGCAGCTGGAGCCCACACTGTCCCACAGAACAAGCTGTGAAATGTCAGACTCGGTTGTCCAGTTCACAGCATTGTCCCTTCTTGACTCACCCTCTGTGTCAGCCCATCCCACCAACTAAAATAAAAAGAGGCAAAGGCTTAAGGCCTTCTAGAGGGCCTCCCTATTCCCATTTGTAATCTCTGTAGTACAACATGGTTCTTTGAACTACAGCTACTCAGGGCCTGCTGGCATCCATCCATTCAGGCCTGTCTCTCTAGCTGGCATGGCTCTGTACATGGCTACAGAGAAAGTTGCCTCTTGTCCCTTCCAGCACCTCACTGAAGCACACAGGCTGCGGTGGAGACACCAGGTATTCAAAGGCGAGGTGGGTGAGGGCCCATGAGGCCTCACAAGAAAGTCTGAGTGCAAATCCCTCAGCAATGCACCTTGGCCAAAGTAGGGGAACTGACCGAACATTCCCTCTGCTTCCCTGAAAGAAGGGGTGGGGGATAAAGGGAGCGACGTGCTGAGGAGACCAAGAGGAAAAACCTTGCCATGAAAATTGGCCCAGGCCAGACAAGAAAAATATACAGCGTTGTTACAGCACTTCTCAGGTAGGAATTATAGTTTAAGAACAGAGTGAAGAGGATTCTGTCAGCTGGTTCAGAGAATATGAGCGAGGGATTTGAAGAGTGACGGAGAAGAGGGACGAAGAAGAGGGGCAAGTATCAGAGAAGGTTGGACTGGTGGCACCAAAGGGCCGGATGAATAGGAAACAAAAGCGTGGAGGGGTCGCAGAGTTCAGGAACAAGGGGAAAGTGGGCAAGAAGCCAGAGGTAACTGGGGGAAGAGCCCGGGAACGGCGAAGGAGGAAGGGAAGGGGCAGACACAGCTCAGGCTCAACGAAATTGGAGACTTGTGCGGAGAGAGGTCGTCCCAACCAAACCACTACCGACATAAGTGCCGAGAAAAACGAACCCCACCTCAACCCTGCCGAGCCCTGGCCCGGCAGCACGCAGCCCTGCAAGCCCCGCCCCAGCCCCGCGCGCAGTCCCAGCGCCGGGGTCCCTCAGCCGCGCGGCCCTTTAGTTCCGGCTGTGGCGCGCGGGCGGAAAGTTTCTGCAGACGGACTGTGCCGGCGATGGAGGCCGGGTGAGTGGGAGAAGCCCGGGGCCTGGGGTTGTGTTGCGTTGCTTGTTGGACGTGTAGGAGCAGGGGTCAAGGGTGGGAACAACCGGGAGCCGGCGCCCGGCCTGTCCGCCAGCGCGGCTGCCGCTCCGCGCGGTCTCTGCTGCGCCAGTTCCGGGGCCCTGTTCCCGGTCTCCCCCTTTCTCTAGGGCTCGGGGGTCGCCGACTCTTCATAAACACGATTTCAGACCTCTGGCCCTGTCTTCCCATCTCCGTATAAGAGGTTTCTAGATCCTTCTCTGTCTTTCTTTCACGCTT